CCGATTATGTAATCCTTAAAACACCGATGCAATAAACTTTTCAGAGTGTCCGAACACGAAAAAGCAATTTTTTATCAGCAACTTTGTCTCTTCTCGTCGGCTATAAAACCCGCCCCTGTCCCGCGTTATTTGCAGTCGGCCTCAAATTGTAGGTGTACATACACAAGATTGCATTTAATTCGTCGAAATATTTCACGATGCTTATTAGGTATAACGCGAAGGCGCATCAGATGAGTCCCCGTATACAGGGCGATGCGAAAGTTGGGTGCCCGTAGCATTGTAGCATTTGATTAGCTAGAACAGTATTTTCTTATGAGAACATATAATATAATAAATATATATATTTATTATATTACTATGTATACTGTCCCAGACCGGGCCAGTCACTTTTTCAAACAGTTTCTGAAATATCTGTTTTTTCTAAATTTGAATGCAAGGGAAGTGACAAGTATACCAGGGTACTAATTAAATACATAATTTATTGGAAAATATAAGATTTATTGCAACTTTGAGCATATTATACATTAAATATCTTAAAAACAAATAATACAACACATCAGTGGCGGCTGGTGGATTTTGGGTATACCGATATCTCAATTATTAGATATGGGACCCACACCAAATTTATATGAGTTTATAATGACATTAAATAAACAAGCAGCATTGTTTTCAAGATGACTGTCGTGCAAAGGGTGGGCTCTGTAGGTAATTTTTTACCAACACTTGACTTAAAACGAGGACTTGACGTTTAAACTTCAATATTTCGCAGGAATTTTGAATTTTAACATTGGACACAGAACTGACGGGTAAAAGTCAGTAGGTACAAAGATTATCAATTTTTTAAAAATTGCTATTATTCGAATCTGTGATAAAATATAAAAAATACATTACTTGATGTTTTATAGTTTGTAGTGAAATTGAAAAATGTATCACTCATAATATTATATCATTTAAGTTATAAAAACTAGTAAGTTTATGTGAATTTTTACATTTTTTATTTGACACGCATTATTTTTAACACAAATTTTACAAATTTTTAACTGTGTAGAATCTCACATTTAGGTGTTTCCGTACTCGACATTTTATTTTTTGTGTGCTGGGGTAATGTAAAATAAAAAAACATTTCCTGTAAAATTTAAGTATTTATCAATATCCATGTGTGAACACCTGTCTAAATCGTCGTCTTCCTGTTAAAATTCCAAATGGATAATTACGTTGAACTCTCCTTAAATTCAATCAGTCATTTACTGAAACCAACTCAACTCCTGTTAATTTACTTCTTACTTAGCAACTTGCTAACAAAAACTCGTTCGACATCTAAACACAACAAGTCTTTTTCCTTATTACACTATTCTTAGAAGCAAAAGCGAAAAATAAAACAGCGACGATAAACAACATTTGATTAATTTACTTAGCTCATTATAAGTATGTGAAGAATTTTATTATTGGTAATGTATTAATTTCTTCTACAAACACCTGTCACATCCAATTAGATAATCCACATTATAACACAACATAGACTCAGGAACGCAAAAAGGTGTCATGAAATGTTTAATTTTAGGAGATTTATTTTGCAATCTTTAATATTTGTCAATTTAATAAATTAACACTGTAAAGTGCGAAGTTACCACCCTGTGTCTCAAAAACGAACTGTTTTTCCAATTTTTTCTATCGACTACTAAATTTCCCCGATTAAAATCTGGGAATAACGGGAATTGTTCAATTTCGCAGGTTCGGAGGGTCCGGTTGTCATAAAATTTTCTTTATTATGTTGGTATACATGCCCCCGAAGTATGATAAAAACTTTAGCTGTTTTCATTGTTTACTTTGTCTGTGGCAGCCGCTAAGGTTAGACGTGTTTTATGAGCTCGGCGATTTTTCGTTTGTTAAAAGAAATGGATCAAAGAATTTGTATCCAATTTTGCTTAAAAAATGAAATAAATTCTGTGAAATGTTAACAAAGGCCTATAGTGAGTCTGCTACAAGTAAAACAAGAGTTTACAAGTGGTATAAGAGTTTCCAAGATGGCCGTGAAGACGTTGAAGTTGACGAACGCCCCGAACGCACAAGCACATTAACAACCGATAAAAACATGGAAAAAGTGGAAGAAATGGTTATAAACCATCAGAGAAGTCGCTGATGATGTTGGTTTATCGATCGGCTCATCCCATGAAACTTTTTCGAATGGTTTGGGTATGAAACGCGTGGCAGGAAAATTTGTTCTAAAATTGTTAAATTTTGAACGAAATTTTTGGCCATAAACAATACTGTAATGATGCCCTAGCCTCCATATTCGCCAGACATGCCTCTGTCTGACTTTTTCCTATTCCCAAAAATAAAGAGAACCTTAAAGGGCCGTCGTTTTGCAAGCATAGATGACATTAAAAGCGCATCGCTGAAAGAACTAAAGGCTATCCCAAAGATCGAGTTTTAGAAGTGTTTCGAGTTTTGGAAGAAGAGCTGGCACATGTGCATAATATCCAATGGGGACTATTTTGAAGGCGACAACATTAATGTAGACGAATAAATAAATATTTGTTTCAAAAAACGAAAATTCCCGATATTTTCTGAACACACCTCGTAGGTTAATTGTGACGTTATTCTCTCCATGATTTATGATGGACTCTTGTTTACGCTTTGGATAATTATAATTAAAGTGTGCATTTTTGTCTTAATTAAATATAAATTGAGGAAACTGACGAAAAAATTTTAATCGACTTTCTACCAGATAGACTTGTTATTCGTTTTGAAATTCCAAGCACAAAACAAGCATTGTCTTACAAAGTTAAGTGTGAAGAGCTTGACATAAGTAATGTTTGAACAATGGCCCGTCAATTGGGAAGTGAAATAAAGATGTTTTCTTAAGATACATTTTTAAACAATGCCTTATTCAATGAATCAATTTTTTATTGCTTTTTATTAGTAGACTTTTACTATACAGGGTTTCCGGAAATAACGTTAATATATTTTGAGAGATATTTTTAATAGATCGAGAACTAAAAAAAACACAAAAATATTATGATGGTTTTTTCTCCAAATAGCCTATGGGCATCATTTATCCGAATTAACACCACCAGATGATTTATTGACCAAAAAATACCCCAGAAATAAAGCATAATTATTTATGGACTAACCGTTCCAAAATAATTCTTGTGTCATTTTCGGAAACCCTGTAGGTAAGTAGGTATTATATTTATTTATTATTATGATAAATAATGGTATAAAAGTTTATTGTAATAAATAAAAGGTCATTGCAGAATAAGAATAACAGATTTATATATTATATTAAGTATATTATCTATAGACTTACAGTTACGTTAATAAGTATACTTGCTATAGCATACATATAATAGATAATAATATTTAATACCGCAACGTATGACATGCTTTGTTTTATTAAATGGAATAATAATTATTTAGGATGATTTTCTTATTTAAATATTTATTAGATATTATAATTAGATTACGGGAACTTTATAGTTGTTGGACAGTCAAAGCCAAATCATTAGATGACGCTGTATACAATTATAAATATCTCAGTCGCAAATAATTTAGAACTACTTATTTTGGGTCCAAAATAGGACAAAAAGTTCGCACGTTACTTTGGTGGTAAGATTTTTGTTTTTTTGTTAAGAGTAGGGCTGTGTTTAAATAACAATAAAAAATATTTCTAAAAAGTGTACAGATCATTGTGTGGTATAAATGTGTTCCTCATGGTTTAAACATTGTCACTTTAATGCGTTTTAATTTTAATTCTGAAAACAAACAGTAAAATGGCCAGTGTCCAATTACTGGTTGGTAAAAAATGTAAATTTCTATTATTGGACATATGTCCAATATCATACTCTATTTGTATACCGGACATTTACCAATTCTTATGTACAATTGTCTCCTGAATCCGAAAAGACTGTCAAAAACTATAAAAGTTAAGCAGTTTTTGAGATAAAGTCAATTTCATATTATTGATTATATTGATTATATTTCAAAAACTCCTCTACTTTTATAACTTTTGACATTTTCGGATTCAGCGTATAATATTTCATAGAAATTGACTGCTAAATATCCTGGATACAAATGGCTGTTGACGAGAATTATTAGTGGCTGCTTTTTCGCTATGACATTTTTGACTAATTCATTTTTAGAGAGTAAGTAATATAGTGATTTCTTCGTCACAGGACATCTTGCAGAGTAACAGTGATTTAAATACAGTGCATGATAGAGAACATAAAAAACTAATGGCAACAAAATTAATAAATTCGGAAAATACTTTTAACATACCACCCGAAAAAGTTTGTAGTTACCTTCAGAATGCAGAAAAGGGATGAGGAATCCGAGAAAGAAATATGAATTTTATGATATTTACAAAAACGAAATAAAAAAATTTACCTAAAACAGCAATTAATCTTTAAAAAATATTTAACAATTTATGTTATTTGATGTAAAGTTGTTATGTTTATATAAAAATTGTATGTCCAATAACTATGGTCCATGTGTCCAATTACTATATAAAATGTCCAATTACTATACTTTTTTGCATGTTTTTATAACACTATTATTAAAAATTAAAATATTCTTATTTTTAAGTAAACGGTAATAAAGTTTAAACAAACTAACTATCCTTTTTATCCTTAAGTGCCCAATAACTATGATGTTTACAAAAAAGTCGTTTTTTGAAATTGTCAGTCTAATATCTACAATTTTTAACATGTCTAACAAAAACTATTAACCAACAAAGATAAGTAGAAACACCCTGTATAGATAAATTGTTTACATTTAATTTTATGCGCTTTGTTTCTTACTTAATTACATTACAATGCCATTTATTAATAGGATTCTAAAATAAGCAGATAAATAAATATATAAACTATAAAAAATCCCATAATTCACGATTAAAAAAAAGGCAGTTCCGGTCCCCCACGTGATATTCGCGCTAGCTAGAGAGGATGCAGGGAAGAGCTGATATCTGGTGTGCTATGGAAAGAACACATTCTCCGAATAGGCGGCGCGCCGACTAGATCTAAGTAACACAGACAAGACGTTTAGACCGCAGACGTTGGTGACAAAAAAACGTACAAAAAATAGTGCTTTCAAATACCAGTGCCTGTGCTTTTAAAGGATACAAATACTTAAAGAATTATGCGTTTTTAATCAGGTAAATACACGTTTTTATAATTTTTTGTAATATCAATATTTTAACTTAATACTTAAATGCTTTAATATGTTTAATAAACTCTCTAAAAATAAAATAGTCAAAAATGACTAATTGTCATAGCAAAAAAACGTCAAAAGTTAAAAAAGTAGAACAGTTTTTGAGATATAGTCAATTTTCCATTTAATATGGAATTGACTATATCTCAAAAACTGCTCTACTTTAATAATTTTTGACGGTATTTTCGGATTCAGGGGACAATTTTTCATAAGAATTGGATGTTAAATTTTGGGATACCATGGTACCAATGCTTAATAACCATGGTACAAGTAAAAAAGCAGCCACTTATATCTGTAGTAATTAGCCTTTTTTGAATAATTCATTTTTAGAGAGTGTGTTTTACAAAATACCACTTTTATTATTGAATATTATTTATTTTAGTTTTAGTTTTTTTTCTTATAAATATATAAAAAGGATAGTTTGTTTGGTTAAACTTTATTAACGTTTACTTAAAAATAAGAATATTTGAATTTTTAATAATAGTTTTATAAAAACATGCAAAAAAAAGTAATTGGACCATAGTTATTGTACATACAATTTTTATATAAACTTAACAACTTTACATCAAATAACAAAAATTGTTAAATATTTTTTAAAGATAAATTGCTGTTTTAGGTAAATTTTTTTTATTTCTTTTTTGTAAATATCGTATAATTCATAAATTTCTTTCTCGGATTCCTCATCCTTTTCTGGATTCTGAAGGTAACTACTAATTCCTTGGTCTGACTTCTGAAATAGTTTGTTTCAAATATCATTAAGTGTGGAATCTCTAGTTTGTGAAGCATTTATAATGTTTGGGCCGGAACAGGATGATTTATATATATCTAATATTTTTTCGGGTGGTATGTTAAAAGTATTTACCAAATTTATTAATTTTGTTGCCATTAGTTTTTATGTTCTCTATCATGCACTGTTATTCTGCAAGATGTCCAGTGACGAAGAAATCACTATATTACTTACTCTCTAAAAATGAATTAGTCAAAAATGTCATAGCGAAAAAGCAGCCACTAATAGTTCTCGTCAACGGCAATTTGTATCCAGGACATTTAGCAGTCAATTCCTATGAAATATTATACGCTGAATCCGAAAATGTCGTCAATATTTATAAAGTAGTTCTATATTATTACCGACTGAGATAGTTATAATTTTATACATTGTCATCTAATGATTTAACTTTAAAGTAACTATTTATTGAACTATTGTGTTTACAATATAAATGTTAATTGTCCAATAACTATAGTGTCTACTTTAGTTTACCCTGTTTTCTTGGGAGACCCCAACGCCTAATAAGACAACGAAACTTAACTCAAAAAATTTTCTAAAACGTAACAACTTTGAGTAAACCAAGCTAACCACAATAAAAATACCTTTCTCATCTACCGTCTTGCATATTTTACGACATAAAAACTCATAAAAACAACATAAAACCACAAAATAATCTGTATGCTTGCTTATCAATTTTTTAATTAAGTGTTAGATGTTGGTCTTATAATTTATGGCCGATTAGTGAAAACAACATTGAGGTTTCGAAATTGAATATTAATTCCTATAAATATTGACGATAAATTACTGGATTACGTCGAAAAATCAATTTAACTTATACATAAAACAGTTTATTATTAGTTAGTTAGATGTCCCTATTATCAGCACCTTAAGGTCATCCCATATAATAATAATAATAATAATAATGTCTTTATTAATTACGTATACAAAATACAATAATTAAAAGGCGAAGTCTAGCCAGGGTGGAAAAAAAATTTAAAAGCGTTTATAATTCATTTCGATATATGGGTGATTCTACAAAAGTTGGGCAACTTTTGACCTCATTTTGTTTATATAGCTTTCGGAGAAAATTAAACAGTATTTTGTTATGAGAACATAGATAATATAATAAATATACTGTTCCAGACCGGGCCAGTCACTTTTTCAAACAGTTTCTGAAATACCTGTGATTTCTAAATTTGAATGCAAGTTAAGTGACGAGTATAACAGGGTAGGTACTAATTAAATACATAAATTATTGGAAAATATAAGATTTATTGCAACTTTGAGCATATTATACATTAAATATCTTAAAATCACATAATACCACACATCAGTGGCGGCTGGTGGATTTTGGGTATACCGATATCTCAATTATTAGATATGGGACCCACACCAAAATTATATGAGTTTATAATGACATTAAATAAACAAGTTCTGCGCAAGCAGAATTTAAATTGAAGTTTGCGAAAAAAAGATAACCGAAACATCGAACACGGAACTGACGACACGGTACTGATGAATTGGATACAAATTTGAGATTATAATTCGGAATTAAGTATTTTACTGATATTTTTTATTAGTGGATGCTACTCATCAACAAATCACATAAAACCTTATATAAATTACTATGAAATATATAAACGTAAGAAAATAACTACTCACCACAGTACTGAAATTTTGACTGGAACTATACGTGAATTCACCACAACTTCGCCGCTTGCATTGTTTTCAAGAAGACTGTCGTGCAAAGGGCGGAATCTGTAGGTAATTTTTTACCAACACTTGAGTTAAAACGAGGACTGGACGTTTAAACTTCAATATTTCGCAGGAATTTTGAATTTTAACATTGGACATAGAACTGACGGGTAAAAGTGAGTACGAAGATAATCAATTTTTTAAAAATTGCTATTATTCGAATCTATGATAAAATATGAAAAATACATTATTTAATGTTTTATGGTTTGTAGTGAAATTGAAAAATTTAAGATAAATTGAATATATTTTAAAATAAAATCACTCAAATATTTGATTCAGGAGTTGTGACACGCCAAGGTACTGATGTTTTGAATATTTATTATGTTTTTCTACAAACGTGCTTTTGAAAAAAATACATTAAAATTGGGTGAACAAGTTAAAAAAAAACTAGATCTTTTGTAAATATACTAAAATATTTACAAAAAATATTAAAATACCTACTCTATTGACTGATGATATCAAGTTGTCCAACTTTTGTAGAATCACCTATATGTATTAGTAAAATATTTTGAACAAAATGCCTCTTCCGGTAGTAAGTTCCGGAAGTAACATTAACGTTGTTATTTTAAATAGAACACTCCATATATTTTTACATTTTTAAATTCTGAATAAAATTACTAAACCATGTCCTATACCTAAAGTGAATAGTTTTCAAGTTAACAAATGCTAAATCGAAAATAGCCTTAAAAAATGTTATGTCAATTCTTTAACATTTTCCAACAAATTACCTGGGAAATTAGGCCAACTTGAAACGTTAATAACTTTTTTATTTTCAATGCATGATTTAAATAATTAAATTAAAAAACCATTTGAAATCAGTAAAAACAATAAATGTAAACAGTTACCAAAATATTCATAAAGTTGCCTGTTAATGATTCAATAGAGAAACAAAGAATGGTTAACTGCGCTCTTTTATATTTAGCTTATAAGGTGCTTTGTTATTTGCATTCCTAATTAAGGCCCCAACATCTGTACAATGCAATTAACAAGAATCGTATTACAATAATGTATGCGAAATATTTTCGCTTTTTATTTAGCTTCAAAAAAATATTTAACAACCTAAAATAGTTGAAAACAATAAATATTATTACTGCTTATAAATAATTTGGCATATACACTGAAAAAAATAATCTCTTAAAAGAGATGAAAATTACTTTGATTTAAAAGATTTGCGCTTTTGAATAGTGCCAAGAGCTATGTTTCTTAATCTTAATCAGAAATTATCTTTACATACATTTTTTTAAATTACTTGAGTGAATGGATTTATCTATTTGTTTAAGGATATTACAATATTAGCTTAAAAAAAGAGCAAGCGATTTCTTGGTACAAGAACCAAAAATATTTCTTCAGAAGATATTTCTCTTAAAATTGAATAAAGAAAACCATTTTTTACAGGTCACGTTTACCTGTGACGTCACTTTTATCGCCTCCTAAAATTTTAAGATTTACCTCGAACGATTTCTGAAACAGATGGGAAATGTTAACTACGCAGATTTGGCGAAGTGTATTAATCAAGAAGACTATTATAAAAATGCAAATAAATCAGTACAAAATAATGTGCTTTGTAGAATGTGGAAAATGCAATAAGGAACTTAGCATTAAGCATTAATTAGAAATCAAAAACAAAAATGCACAGTCGCATTATTATGAAAACAGCAAAGATAAAATCAAACGCGTGTTTCGCATTAAGTAGTCCAACATGGAATTATCTTCCTAAGAATAGGGATAGGCGAGGTGAGGGGAGTATAGAAAAAAAGAGCTTGTATCTTGTCTCATGCCTTTTAAACTGGCCTAACTGCGGATTGAGCGTTTATAATTTGCAATTGATTAAAATATATGCCATGCAGAAATGTGGACATAGCCCCAAGCCAGTTTAAATGACAACTTGATGAAACAATTAAATATAGGTATGGTCTATCTATCCATCTATCTACTTGCAATTTATAACTTCTCTTTAAAGAATAAACAATCTCACAGCATAAAGAAGTTTATTTCATTGCATGCAAGTGCAACACAAAAATTATACATTTTTTAGAACCCATTGTACACTGTTCAAAATTTCATAACCATTTTAACACCAAATTAACACCAAACATGGTCTATATCGATACAAACCAAAATGGTGTTAAATATGGTTCGTTGGTCCGGTGTAAATTCAAATACTAAAATAGTGTAAATTTAACTTTCACACAGTATTAAAATACATTTTACCTGGTGTAAATTGAACTCCTTTTCAGTTTTATATATTATGTTTTTTGGGCAAATTAAATCATACTACACAGAAAAAAAGGAAAAAGGAACTTCCTTGACGCATTATTCCAGAAAAGTGAACCTTCAACTCGCTAGAAATAATGTTTTTAGTGCGTTCCACCAACTTAAAATTCTTCAAGTATTGAGAGCTGTTTCCACCTATTTAAAGTCTCTTTAGTATCGAACAACTTGTAGTGTCACACCAAAGCAAAGGACTACCTGAGCTTATATACTCTTCATGTAAGTCAACAGAGGCGAGATTTAAGAACATCACGTGATCCAGACCGCCTTTGCCGCGATCGGTACACACTATGCAACCAGGAATGCACGGCAAATTGTTTTAATCGTTTTAACAGAGTGCTTTAGGTTGAAGTAACTCTTATTTTACAAACAACATATTTAGTAAACTGAACCATACAGCGGGTTGGTTTCACTAAAGTTTTCTGGGTTAAATTAACCAATTAAAAAAAAAAAAAAAATTATCTGGTTTAGTACCGTCAAACTAATCTTTGTTTATATTAACCTTCCCACAGTTGATTTAAATAAATACTTATGGGTCAACTAAATAAATATAGGTAGTTAAATGAAGTATTCCTTTTTTTCTGTGTAGGTGCACTTCTCAAATATTTTTAGATAAACACCGTTTTGGTGTTTGCTGTATTATACAGCCTGTATATAACATTTTCAACCATAATTCATGGTGTTTATATTAACACCACTTGGTGTTGGATTTTGACACCATTTTAAGATTTCTCTTTACACCACAGATATTTTAAACAGTGTGTAAGAGTCACCTAAAAATAACCTTAAAAAATTACATGGTTTGTCGTAGAAGTAACTTCAAAACTACAAAAGACTAAAAAATTAAACTTATATCAAGATTGTAATCGAAATGGGTAATTTTATGAAACACCTACAAATAGAAAATTTAAGACGACATAGGAGATGAGACTGATAATAACAAACATTTATTTGTTTTCAACGTAATTTGCATGCAATAATAATAAAAATGAATATTTAAGTAACGTAGTTTTACCAATTATCTATTGCGTGGGAGGTTTTCACCATATGGCACTAAAATATCAAATTTTGCATTATAAATTCGCGATGCGTGCACGCTGACAAGGTATTTCCCGAGAAAATTATGATTGTTTTATGGTCGATCGGTGGAACAATATCGTTAACATTTTTATTGCGCGTTTAAAAAGAGCTTTGCTCGTTAAGTGTCATAAATATGTTCTAACAACGTACCGGTATCTTAGATATTATGTAATGTTTTAAATGACTTGAGAACTCTTTGCTTATATTTTTTGACGTGCGAATTTAATTTCAGATTTGCTGTATAACATCAGGTTTTTTTGAAATTCTAACCCAAAAGTGAACTGGTTGGTTAAAGATAAGGTAATATTTGGTAATATACCAATTGATATATTAATAGTTCTAAGGGAAAAACCATTGGGACATTTTTTAAATGAGCTTTGAAAAAAATAAGAAAAAAGAACATTAAAATTTAAAAAAAATAAAAATTTTTCTTTAATTTAAATACTTTTAAACATAAAATAATATTATGTTTTACTATTGGTTTTATAACCAATAGGTAGGGGAGAGTGGGTAGACATTGGACAATTTTTAGATTTTTTTGCCTGGGTCTCTTAGAAATGTAATTATTTCTAATTTAAAAGTTTCAGGTAATAGTGTTGACTTTTGAAAACGCAAAGATATAAATATGTGCACTTTAAATCGTAAGATGGGTTTGCTACGAATTTTTGAAAATTTTCGGTCATCTGTCCAAAGTCACCCCACATACGGGGAGATTCTGGACAACGTACGGGGTGCATTTTGACACTATAAAAATATTATAAATTTAGGAATTTTATTGAAAAAATCAGAGCAAAACTTATTCAATACTAAATTGCGACAAATTAAAATTAAAGTAAATCATGTTATGGAATCGAACTCCGTCAGTGGGGGGGAAGAACCAATACCACGTCCTTAAAATCCACCACCATGTGTTTCTTTAAATCTGTATGATAGAAACTGCCTTTTAAGGAATTTTACTGTATATCCTTGCTTTAATTTTTGCAATATTCTGCTAACAAAGTGCCGGGACTATGTTTGGACAATAGAGGAAGACTCTAGACAGTGTGTCCAAACTCTCCCTACATGATGTGAAACAAAAAAAATTTTCATAATTTCAAAATATAGCAACGGAATAAAGTAAGGATATAACAAAAGTTCCATGCTTTATACATGCTTTAATATGTAGTAACTTTAAATTATTTATCTACAACGGTCTGGGCAGAAAAGCTTACAAGGGGAATGTAAAATATTACATGAAAAAACTCGAAAATATACTTTTCCACTTACCTCTTCTACAGCTAAACTCAAACTTATTTCACTACCACTATTTGATACCTTACCAACTTGACGATGTGTAATAGTAGAACCAACCTGAAATTTTTACTGGAACCGCGAAATTCGTCCATTGTCCATTGTCTCCCAGTGTCCAGACTCTACCCACTCTCCCCTAATATTGGTAATAAAACCAATAATCTACTTATAGATATTTAACTAGTTAGTAATATTACCAATAGGTTTATTTTATTGGTAAAATACGAGGTGTGCAGAAAATATCGGAAATTTTCGTTTTTTAAAACAAATATTTATTTATTCGTCTACATTAATGTTGTCGCCTTCAAAATAGTCCCCATTGGATATTATGCACATGTGCCAGCTCTTCTTCCAATACTTGAAACACTTCTAAAACTCGATCTTTGGGATAGTCTTTAGTTCTTTCAGCGATGCGCTTTTAGTCATCTATGCTTGCAAAATGACGACCCTTTAAGGTTCTCTTTATTTTTGGGAATAGGAAAAAGTCAGACAGAGGCATGTCTGGCGAATATGGAGGCTAGGGCATCATTACAGTATTATTTATGGCCAAAAATTTCGTTCAAAATTTAAAAATTTTAGAACAAATTTTGCTGCCACGCGTTTCATACCCAAAACATTCGAAAAAATTTCATGGGATGAGCCAATCGATATACCAATTTTTCCGATTGAAAATTTTGATACCATAATGTAGTTATAAAAATCGATGACCACCCAGAAGACAATCACATAAAATGTGCATAAATCATAAAAATTGATTTTATTCCCCAATTAATATTCACATATTCACTTTACAACCAATTAAAAAAAAACTTGTGTAAATCAGATATTAATAGGCAATAAATTTTTAATTGCGTTAATAAACCGAAAATAACAACTCATAAATATCAAAAGATGCGTTGCAGAAACAGTTACTTATGATAGATAAAAATAAGATTTTACGGCATACATTTCATTATAATTATTTATAAGCTAAAATAAAAAATGTAAATTTTTGATTCACTGTTAGTCTAGAATGGGGTTTTTGGGAAGCCACCAGGTCTAGTAATAACATAACATAGGTGGTTCTGCACTAAAGCAAGAATTTTAAGAAATCATACATTTTGAATATTAGAGCTTCACGGAGGTTAGGATTTCGTATGTTTTTTTAAACATCCCTTGTTATATTTGAAATAGGTTATTGTATCTTTTGACACCTTAATATTTTTTAAAAATACAATAATTGTACATACATAAAATATTTATAAAAAAAATATATTTACTGCGATATTACACTCCACGGTGGATAGGTTTTTAAATAGCAAATTAATGAACTTAAACTTTTGAATTATAAAACAGCAACACTCTCATCTGCATTTAAATTCTAACTGACCTTCAGGAATCACATGCATCTATAATGTCGTAAACAGAGGTTTTTGCTTATTTAAAATGATTAAAGCCCCGTCCGTTGCATACAATTTAAAGCAAAAACAGATTCACGGAGGATAGAATCAATTTTTGTAACACCTACATAAATGGTTATAAAAATTATTTCTTTTAATTTTTAATAATTCGATTGCTTTGGTTGTGTTTAATTTACTTAGTGAACTGATATTTTTAGTATGCTTTTGCTACCTCAGATATTTGAACACATATAGGTTAACCTAGAAAGAGTAACAGTCACGGAGGATAGGTTTTAGACTTTTAAAACAGATCGCCTTTATTTTTGTTACATTTTTTGAACTCACTTTAAAAACTGGTTTCCTTTTAGATTCGAAATGTGAACCCAGCCTTGCTTCTGGTATGATATGGGTCAAAAGCCTTCCCATCTGGGAAAATTTAAGTCGCCATTTTCGAAAATTTTGCACCGATCGGAGACCACGAGAAACCCAAACCCAGAGCAACCAATCAAATTCCAGTACAAGACCAAAAGAAAACCTTTGCCGAACCAGATAAAAAACCAGAATTTAAACAACAGTAAAGTGAAAAATACCAATGAAATTAGATGTGGAGGTGGTGAGGTTAGGATTAGTGCGGTGGAAAGGACCAAGTCGGAGCCTTATTTGGGCCCTGACAGGATCAGGGAGAAGCATAGACATAAGAGAAGAAGTCCCAAGATAAAACATTGGAATGATGATGTGGAACAGTTTGGTTACGATATTCCAGATATCGAGTCGTTTTTAACCAAGGTAAGTTTTATTGAGAAATTTCTTTTTGTAGGTACACAGTAACAAATTTTACCCGTGTAAATTTTTTAGTGTAGAGGTAAAAATATTATAGTTGATTTGTAAGTGTAAAAGTTACACTACAAAATACACTAGGTAGCATTTAGTGCTTATTAACTTTATTAAACACATTTAAAGAATATGAACATTATTCATTGGTACACTCACACTATTTATTATTAAAATAAATCAAAAGGGTAGAAAAACTTAATGCGAGTGTTTTTTACCCCTTAATGTGTTAAATAGTGACAAAATGTACACTACAGTGCATGCGAATTTCTTTGTCTGTTTTGATGTTACTAAGAGCTCTTTTTTCTTTAAACAACTAGTGCACATTGTATCACATTTAAAGTTAAATTACACCAACAGTGCCAAAATAGACTGAAAAAACTGGTAATAACCGAAATGCGTTTTAAAATGTTTGGTTGGTACCTATCTACCTACGCAGTGCATATCCGGAGATACCGCGTTGTGGAAATGTGGCATTTTTGTTCAGTTAGATTTTAATTAGGGTGAATCCATAAGAGGACATTCTTATTTTTTGGTAAGTATTATACTTCCTTTTTCTTTAAGCCTTAATATACTCAATAAATACCAATATGTTAAAAGGATGTCCATACGGTATGGACCATACCCGACCTATATTATATATCAATAATTTACGGCAGTAACCTATACCTACATTTTTATTAATATTATGGAAAATTTGTAAACGTGTAGTAAATCTCCAACATACAGCCGCCTGACGCCTCTCTACCAATGGGATCACCCATTTTTTATAACAGAAAATGGATTACTGATGAATTCTCAAGATAATTCATTGCTTACAAGTTGACAGCCAGTAAAACATTGCATTGATCTAAAACTTTTACGTTTTAAATAAAATTATATTTTAAAAGGCACCGATTTTGATAATTTCATAGATTTTTGTTCCAAATAAATGTTTCTCTTTATTTACCTTTTCGTTTTATTCACTACCACCAAGTTTGAATAAAAGAGTAAAAGTTCCTTTCTGAAATTAGAACTTTTCCAAAGTAGTATTAATTTACACTGAACAAAAGTGGGATTTTACCCAGGAAGTGTATAAGTACACGATTTTAGGTAAATTAACACTTTATTACAGTGTAAAATTACTTTATCCTCAGTGCTATAGTGTTAAATCATACTTGCTTACTTGGGGAAAATTACACTACAAATGAACTCTAATTGTAGTGTTATAAAACAACACTATTTAGTGTGGACCTGTGTGAACTCTAATTAGTGTTGCTTAGAGTTGATTTTTTTTACTGTAGCTACTTTTACTTGTACTTGGAGTGTACGTAATTATTCCCAATGTTTTATAATATTATTAAAGATTTATGGTTATTATCGACTAATAATAAACATGTTGGATCTTTTGCATTCCACGACAATGTATAAAAAATCGTTTAATAAACGTTCATTGAAATTAATACTTAAATTAAATAACATAATTGCACACTTGTAGCCATTAAGTACACGATAAACCAATTTAAACGTGTTCAATAACAACCCATTGTATATAACCATGGATTTCAGAGTTAAATCATCTATAAAATTATGCTAAACCACTGGTGGAATTCACAACAAACATTTTATAGATCGAAAAAATCGAAAGTTTTTGTCGTTCATTTTAGGATTTTAGTATTCGTTACCTGGGTCGTTTTCAAAAAACACCCGCCTTCCGCTGTCCGTAAGTTTGAATTCCAATAACTTTGTTAAAAATTATCGGATCTTATTGATTTAAAAACCAAGTGAAAACAAGCCCTTAGTAAACTCTTTCAGAAAATGTTTGTTTAGTTATTTTTTTTTTAATTTTGAAACTTGTGAAACACACATTTTCGCATGTCCCATTAGCGTTTTATAAAACTTACATACATATAAATGGCTACTTTTTTGGCACTCACGTGATCAACAAATGATGTTCGGACGTACAAATTACCCAGCTGAATTTATTTATTCAATCAGGAAGAAGATATCGGTTGAAACAGGTGCGGGTAACGCGAATGTAATAATTGTTTGTCCGCTAAGTTACTCAAAAAAATAATAAAAATAAGGTAAGAAAAAATACTATTTTTCATGTTTATGTTTATTTTAGGGCACTAAAGCTCATTGAGAGTAATTAATGTAATGTCTTATTATTATTTTTTAAATATGGTTTCCCAAAACTTTTTCCACTGCGTTACCGAGTCCACTGCGTTACCTTATGGTAACGCAATGGAATTTAGGGTAACGCAATGGAATTTTTCGACAACAAAGTGGATATTTACCGTCGCTTTTATTAAAATTAGTTTATGATGAACCAATTTAAAATTATTTTTGATTACAACTAATATAGATTACATCCAAGGGAAAATTCCACGCAACAAACAAGTACTAAAAGGGACCTTCACCAGCTTATAGTCATAGAAAAAGGGTGTCTACAATTTTGAAATCTAAGTTGTTATTCTGCAAGTGAGCACCACTACAAGGGATTTTGTTAATGCATTACTCTAAAATCGTACCACCCCTTATAGTTTCTTTTTTACGTTATCTGATTAAGTCCTTTGTGTACCCCAGTCCGTTGTGATACCAATGTATATTTCGTTACTTTTTTTGTTAAAAAAAAATACTTAAAATGATTTTTATACACTATCACTAGGTAATACGTGTTTATAAATAAGAGTTTAACGCACTAATACAGTGACTAAAAGAAAATATTAATGGTATTGTTTTTTTAACAAAGAATCGGAATGGTTTCTTTTAAAAAGTAACGAACATATATATTTAAAAAAAGCATACAATTTTTAATAAAAAATAAAATAAAAAATTGGAGTCAAAAGTTTGTGAACCAAGTACATTTTATTTCAAATTATTTTTATAACAACTTTTTTTATTGAATTAAATTTTGGATTTTAAATTGGTAACACAGTGGAGATATATAGCTAGCTAAACACATTTTTCTGAAAAAAACGTACAAAAAATTAAAAAGTACACTGTGCCTGTCTTAAATGTATACATTTAAGACAGGCACTTATAAGTAAACAAATCTCTAAACATTTATAAAAATCCAACCAAAAGTCAATTTAAGCAAAAAAAAATTTTGATCTTCATTTTCCTGAAAGCGGGTGTTTCTTGAAAATGACCCACCTAATTAATTAATTGTGTTGACCTCACCTACAAAAATTAACAAATATTTGGATATTTGTTCCGAAAAAACCTAAACATGTTAATTAATATTTTTATAAATTACTTCATCAAAAAATCTTGGTGTGGTAACTTTTGCTTGCAAATAGCGCTCACGACCGCGATGGGAATTTAATTGTTACACACTGGGTCGCATAATTGTTTCTTGTTTTCACTCCGTTTCACTTTTTCGCAGCAGTAAATCGCAATAATGGCACAAGTACAAATTGCTGTTTCATAAGATGAATTTAAGGCATCCCGATAGAAACCTCTTCTCGCTGCAGCGCGCCGGCAAAACTTTTTTTCCTGTTTTGCTGTTGCCAGTGCTATGCGCCATACCGCAGACTTGATTTACTGAATACCGGGAAACCGTCTAAATTTATTGCCCTGCAATACTATAATTACCGTATCACTCTCTTTTTTTGCATTTTTAGAGCTCTAGGAAAAGAAAATAATTTATTTAATTATGTTGGTATTAAGTAGAAAGTTATTTATTTTCATATTCAAAACACTGGTCGACAGCAATTTTGCCCCAATAACTTTTCCAGGGTAATTTAAATGATGGCTATTTTGCTCAATAGATAAGCGTTTTTAGACATAAAAACGTTAAAATGTGTAAATATATTTTGTTAATTAATTAATTTAGCCAATGATCATTGGTAAGGTATCTATGCGCAGTAAAAAAATAATTGTTAATTTTAACCAAATATAAATATTTTTTCGGAAGATATTTCTCTTTTGAAGGAAGAAAACATTTTTTATCGCAAAAAAGGATTTTAACAAGAAAACTGCATCTCTTAATTGAAAAGCTAACCAACCCAACCCAACCCCAACTCTAATTGGACATATGTCCAATAATATATTATTCTATAGAAATTTACATTTTTTTTACCAACCAGTAACTGGACACTGGCCATTTTACTGTTTGTTTTAAAAATTAAAACGCATTAAAGTGACAATGTTTAAACCACGAGGAACACATTCATACCACAAACTGATCTGTACACTTTTTAAAAATATTTTTTATTGTAATTTAAATAAATCAATTTCAAACGAAATAGTTTATTTATTTTATTTATTTACCAACATAACGTTAATTTTACCAGGCATAATTGAATTCCCCACTTATTACAAAATAACCATAATTTAAGGTTAATTCAACGTTGTAGCACAATATGACTTAAATGAATTAACCAGGATAAAGTAAACTTAACGTTAATTTAACCAGTTGATTAGTATTAAAAATACCAAAAACTGTAAGCCCCTCAAGCACTCGACTAAAAAATGAGAAAAGAAGCAGAAGACAAACGAAGAAACCCCTTCTTATTCCTCTCGTTCGTGGGTACCGTGTGAAAAAACGAAGCTCGCTCGTATATATAAGAGAAGAAGGCAATTTTGGCTCGTCCATAGTCCACCACCCACTATTGGATAATTACGGTGTGTTCGATTATAATCTCCGCATCCATCTAAATTACATATTGGCCGGCAATTAGGCGTCGCTGTTCACGTTTTTATTATTATTAAGAATGCCTCTAATTATATACATTTTTTAAAAGGAATACGTATGTACAGGTTTCTCCTTAGTCTTTTCACTTAAACGGCAACATAAGGCACCTTCTACTTTACGTCTGCGTTTATGCATTTAGTAGGTTTTTTAAAAAACTAATTGCAAGAATTTTTTAATATCCCTGTTTAATAGTATACAGTAGGGTGTTTCAAAAAAATCGACTTTTTCTTTTTCTTCAAATGGTCGGCAAATTCTTTCAGAGGATGTCAACACAAAGACCTCGTCAAAATTTGAGCTTTTAATTTGAAGATTTAGAGGTCGCGGATCGCAATTTTCTATTTCCCATTTAAATAACATGGGAATTTTTTTTTTTTAACTTTGAAATTTTATACGTCTGAATCAAATCAACTTATGTCAAGGATCATCTTAGATTTTCATAGTAAATTTAACGCTCTATAAAAAAGGTCTCCTATCATTTTTCTATAAATTGATTCCTTCCAGAGTTATTCGAGGCCAAAGTTTGATTTCCATCGAATTTTCGCGTTTTTTTAACATTTATGGTACAATTATCATTATACGGGTGTCCCGAAATCAGGAGGCCAAACTTAAAACAGTGCATTATTCGTATAAAAATAACACTTTTTTTGTTTAATAAACATGTATCAAAAAATGCTCCCTAAAGGATCATTTTTTTAAAACTATTCCTAGAGGGTTGAACATGAACAAATGAATTTTCGGTAGGTACTTTGGTAATTTTGACATGCTGAATCTAGATCTATAATCAAAACTGTTAAAATTTAATCATAGGCGTAACATTTGGAGGGGGCAAAGTTACAAAAATAGCCCCAACTTTTTTCTGGGTTAATAATTTAATTTTTTTTATGAAATTATGAGAATTTATAGTTTTTTACGAAAAATAGGTACTCCTGATTTGAATTGCTCAGATGCACCATTTTCGAGAAAAATGCATTTATAAATAAATTACTTTGCATATTATACACATCTCATATTTTCATTAAAACTTTGTAGTAGGCTTTGGAAAAAAGTGACGTTTTTTTGTTTTTTTGTTTTTTTTACAACACTTCCTATGTTTCAGATATAAATATGTGATTTTTTAACTACATGATGCTAAAAGTTGAAAAAACGAGAAAATTCGATGGAAATCAAACTTTGCCTTCGAATAAATCAATTTATAGAAAAATTATAAGAGACATTTTTTATAGAGCGTTAAATTTACTATAAAAATCTAAGATGTTCCTTGCCATAAGTTGATTCGATATAGACGTATAAAATTCCAAACTTAAAAAAAAAAAAATTCCTATGTTATTTAAATGGGAAATAGAAAATTGCGATCCGCGACCTCTAAATCTTCAAATTAAAAGCTCAAATTTTAACGAGGTCTTTTTTTTGACATCCTCTGAAAGAATTTGCTGACCATTTGAAGAAAAAGAAAAAGTCGATTTTTTTGAAACACCCTAGTATACAGGGTGTCGCCGTATTAATTGTCATCTTTTGTTGGGATGATACTACACGCCAAAACAAGACAACTCTCTTGATAAAAAATTATTAGCGGCAAGAAACAATATTTTAGCATAAAAGAGTTTTTTTGGTATTTCCAATAGTTAGAGGCACAATGGTCATTCAGCCAGTTCACTTGAGTACAGATTTTGAAGACTAATCAACTACGCGTTTCTTCTAGTTTTTGTCGCACATCATAATTTGGAATGTTTTCTTTTAAAATTAATCATATATTATATCACGAGAGCTATGAATTTAATCGGGTAAACCATAGATAAACTAGGCTCAGTAGTTTTTGTTGGAAAATGTTGAATGCAAAATAATTTAATAAAATCACGAGACCGCGTAGCGGTCGAGGGGTTTTATTTTTAATTATTTTGCATGAAACTATTTTCCAAAAAGAAAAATCAAATAAAAAACTTACTGAGCATAGTTTGACAGATTAAATTTATAGGTTGTGTGATATACGTCTAGATTATTTCTCGAATTAAAGGAAACTATTTGACCATTCATAAAATCTGACGTATGTGTCAAAGTTTATAAATATTTTTTTAAAGAAAATTCCATTAATTTAAGGTATGTAATAAGTAATAATTGATATTTCGTAAACTAGATAACTTATTTTTTATTGTTTTTTAAAAAATGTTTGTTAAAACTTGTAAATAACACCATAAAATCGTAAACAAAAATCCAATATGGAGGCTAAAATTTAATTGCTGTTAAAAAGGTCTAGTGATTTAATCGCTTATTTAAACGAAATTTATTCGAAAATTCAAGGCTTTTGATTGGTTCATATTATATTGAAGGAAATAATCAGATTTAATGCAAAAAGAACATATTTATTTTCACCCTTAGTATCGTTTGTCATGGAATGACCCATATGTTAAAAATTATTTATTTGTATTTTTAGGCAACGCTCGAGAAACCGGCCAACATACCCGTCGTTTTAGCCTTTCCCAGCGTTTTGTACCAAACACGAATAGGCGGTTACCAGGCCGAAATCTCCTTACCCTTGGGGATGGTCGTGAATGCCGTCTTCAAAAACCAACACTGGCTCTACGTGCAAACTCCACACGCAGAAGAGGGCTACGTAAGCTACGCAGCGTGTCTGCCTCTAGGTAACATTTAAGTACTATCGCTAACAAAAAAAACTCATACAGCTCAAAAATCTAGTGTTCCTGATTTTCTATCATTTCGTTGGAGTAATTATGGCTTTTAACATGATACGTCACATTTGAAAGGTCTAAAATTAAATACAAAGTTAGGTTGAAGTTTGAAAAAAAAAAATATTTCGTCATCCCTCTGTTTTTGTCAATTACTGCCCGCAAGTCGCCGTCTTGCTTTATCTCGTTCCAAATGGCTTCAATGGCTTGCCAGAGTTCGTCTGCATTGTTTGGTTGAAAATGTTGTTAAAAAAGTCATAATGGATGTGACAAAGCTCGATGTCAGCTTGACATTGACGGAAAAGTTTTATTCACACAGCCACAATATAGCTGTATGAGTTTTTTTTGTTAGCGATAGTACATTTTATTAAGTACTATGCTCCACACCTCAAAGTCCCACCACGTGACCACGTACGGAACGCAGTCTTTTGAATATTTGGCATTTAAGGCTTTTCAGGTTATGTATCTGTCAAAGTATAGTCAACGAAAAAAATAATATTATGTTTAGGCGTTAAAAATGTATAAATCTTTATAACATTACAATAACAATGGATGGTTTAGGAATTTAAGAATATAGATACTGCATTTAATGAAATTCTAAAGTGTATGGTGCCTAATAAGTAATATTTTTGTGCATTTGGTCCAAATATCTGGTTTTCTCCATTTTAACTAAACAGCATTTATTAAAAAAAATCTAGCTTCTCTATTATGGAATTAGAATGTCTGTTTTAAAGGTAGGTTAATATATTATAACAAAAATATCATCTAATTTTGTAATTTTAAGGTTAGAAGAATTTATTTTGACCAAAATAAATAGGTATTTTGGATTATTTAAAAGACTGTATAATATGGTATTTAAAAATGTGGTAGTTTTTCTTATCCAGCTTATAAATCCCGGCGCATTCGCCATTTTTGAGCCAAGGTTTCAAATATATTACCTAACTTTTGAAAATACCTAGTGAACTCTAAAAATGAATTAGTCAAAAATGAATAGTTACTACAGTTATTAGTGGCTGCTTTTTTACTTATACCATGGTTAACCATGGGATCATTTAACAGCTAATTCTGTAAAATTGTCCCCTGAATCCGAAAATACCGTCAAAAATTTTGAAAGTAGAGCAGTTTTAATACATAGTCAATTCCAAATTATATGGAAAATTGACTATATTTCAAAAACTGTTTCACTATTATTATTTTTGACGACATTCTCAGATTCAGGGCAAAATTACACATATAAGTTGACTTCTAAATGTTCAGGGTACCAATTGCTATTGACGAGAATCATTAGTGGCTGCTTTTTTTCGCTAAGACAATTAGTTATTTTTGAATAATTCAGTATTATAGAGAAAACATTTTTTTTTCATTGTAATCATTGAAATATATTATCAGAACCTTGGAAAATGCCGACTCCAAAAACCTACACCACTGAACAAATATCTATTTAAAATTTGCATTTAAATTATTTTAAAAGGTTGGTTTTATTAACTTGTAGGCAACAACATGTGGTGGGTAAAAGAAAATAATTATAAAGGAAGTAGTTTAATTTTAATTGATAGAGAATTTTAAAAAAAATTCTATCTATGAGGATAATGTATATTATTAGAGCAAATTTGTTTAAAACGCATTTTCTCAGTCGATTTTATGATCTTGATTGGAAATTGTTTCTTATGAAAAACATGTTATTAATTGCACGATACTTTCTCAATATAATTGCTTATGTCGACCGGTTTTAACGCTAAAGAAATACTTTTTTGCAGGTAATTATTAATTTTATTTCATGGCCCAAACTTTACACTATTCTCCCTTAAAATGAATTACTCAAAAATGACTAAAAACCCATTTGTTACGTATATGAAGAAACTTTAAAGTGTTTTGCGACAGTCGCCGGTCTCTTTATATTACTCTTTCATTACTAAGTTACGACTAAAGTGGGGAACAATTATTGAGTTCCAAAAAGGTAGCAAATATGTCACTAGCTATAAACCCTGCTACTTTTAACGCTTAAACATAAGTGGTAACACTATAAATATTATTTCTTTCATTGACTATACTTTGACAGATACATAACCTGAAAAGCCTTAAATGCCAAATTTTCAAAAGACTGCGTTCCGTACGTGGTCACGTGGTGGGACTTTGAGGTGTGGAGCATAGTACCTACTTGAGCAATTAAATATATTTAAAAAGTAGAGAAAAATATTAAATTATAAAAAGTTTATTAATAAACGCAATAATTAATAATAATAAAAAAGTATCATCGATTTAAATTTAAGTAAAACACACAAATACATAAAATAACATAAACTGTACACAATAAAGTAGGTATGTAAAGTTAGATAGAAATATGTAATAAAATGGTACATTACATTACAATATAATATGTTAAAGTAAAATGTAAATATTGAAATGATAATAATAAATTAATGAATTATTAAATTTAATCTTTTGCAAAATCTTTAAAAAAGTTTTTTTTTGTTTTTTATTTTTCTCTAAAATTATTAATTTTCTGGTTTAATTAAGTGCTTCATATTTCGTTGACTAGTTTATAAAGAAAAAAGAAAATCTTGATGATCTGACATTTCTCTACCAAACATGAATTGAATAAGTCAAAGCCATCTAAATTTTAAATTATAAATAAAACTAACAATATCGCTTCTTAACTGCATTAAAAAAAATATTATATCTTTTACATGGATAAAAATAACAAAACAAGACTAACTAGACTGAAAAGATGAAGGTGGGGACTACATTTCCTGAAAGTTTCAGATTTTTATTTTTCCTCAACACAATGATTTCTGAGGGCAAAATTGACTAATTTTAAGAATGATCAAAATTCAATAATTTTTTTAATAAAGAAAATGATAGTTTAGAAACTTAAAATAATAGTTACTTACGTTTTCTATTGTATAAGTACTTGATTCCTGAAAAAAAGCAACTTTCTAGATTTAGCAGAATAGGCACAGGAGCCAGACAAAAATCACAAAATTGGCAAATTATCATGAATCTTTAGTGGTTTACCATTCTTTTATGAGATTAACTAATTGGATAATAATAATTTATATCGAAATCACACTTACTAAACAGTAAAACAAAATTAAAATCAATTTAATATTTGTCACAGAAAAAAGTTCTGGCCCACTATAAGAGAGTAAGAAATTGACACGATTTCAGACTTCTAAAAGGTGCCGATTAAAAGTAAAGAATCCAAAAATTAAAACGGCAGCGGATTTTCATATTTGATACCTAAAAGATCATCCTCAATTTTTTTTATCAAAATAAATAATTAAGCAGCGCACCCCATTTGGTGTTTTTATTTGGAATGACTCTAGGACGATATGTAAATCCTTAAAAAAAATGATTTCTCACAAACTTTAATCAATGGGGTAGTTAAATTTTTTCTGACCTATACTTTTTATGGTTTTATTCAAGGCGTTTTGTAATATTAAACATTTCTGTGAAATCAGAATTTCAATTGAGTTTACCGTTTTCGAGATATTTACAAAAAATATAAATTTTTATGACGTCACAAACCTCGCCATGTGACCAACATTCTAAGATTTCTATTGGTTGAAAATTACCCTGTTGTCAAGTTGTCTTGTTAATGATTTCAATCGGTTATGTCAGAAAATACCCGAAGAGGTTATGTACAAATACTGTCACTGTCAGTTGAGTGAAAGATGGTCACCAAATTCATTAAGTACCTATCTTCCTTATTACGAGGTATCATATTACTGTTTGATATTTTAGAGTCCAAGATATATCTAAAAGAATATAAAGAACTAGGCATTATACTAATGAAATGCATTTACGACAAAATATGATTATAATTATACATATAATTACTTCTCAACTAAAATTATAGATCAAGTAGGTACTTACTTTATTTGTTTAAAAGCTCCAATGTTCAATGTAACCAACCATTCCACAAGATTCCTCTGCTTTGGAGTCCGTTATTAATAAATCACTCTAATATCAATTACAAATAACATAACAATAACATTGATTTTCAATAATCTAAATTTAAAAAATATATAACCCGAAAAAAAGAAACGTCAAAAAATCAATTCTTCTTCTTCTCAACTAAAATTATAGATCAAGTGGTTTTAAAACTAAAATATTATAACTGGCAACCATAGAAAAAGCTGGCAACGTTGTCAATAGCCTAGTGACGTAATTAGGAGATTTTTTTTTGTAAATATCTCGAAAACGGTAAACTCAATTGAAATTCCGATTTCACAGAAATGTTTAAAATTACAAAATGCCTTGAATAAAACCATAAAAAGTGTAGGACAGAAAAAATTTAACTACCCCATTGAATAATAAAAATTTACAAGTTTTAAAACAACAATTTAAGTATTTGTTACGTATATGGGACTATTGAAGAAACTTTAAAGTGTTTTGCGACAGTCGCCGGTCTCTTTATATTACTCTTTCATTACTAAGTTACGACTAAAGTCGCCGGTCTCTTTATATTACTCTTTCATTACTAAGTTACGACTAAAGTGGGGAACAATTATTGAGTTCCAAAAAGGTAGCAAATATGTCACTAGCTATAAACCCTGCTACTATTTGGAACGTAGCTGCTACGTTACTAGAACGTTCCAATATCGTTGCTAGAGCGTTATAATTACTTTTATTATCTGTTTTTACTTCTATATTAACTGTCTTTGTCAAACTTATATTAGATTATACTATCCCTCCTTTTTTAAATGAAACCACTACGGACTTGGCTTTTCAATGTCGTCGTTTATTAAATATGTACTGGTAGTTTATAACTTCCAGAATAACAATATAATTTTAATTAGACAGGTAAATTTATAAATCCTTTAAATTTTACTGTTGAACTTATGAATTTAGTTTTTGTAAAATAAATGCGCTTCATTAATATTTAAGTATAAACAAATTATTTAATTAGTAATGTTTATAAATAAAAAAAGCCTTAATATTTATTATTATTTTTTTTATTTAATTATTAATACCGTCTATTCCCAACAAAATTACTATTTATTAAAAAGTAAACAACCATTTACAAACAATTAAAATAATTTATTATTTACATTACCACGTGGTACTGTACAGTAAAAAATGGCCGATAAGAAGCATTTTCCTTTATAGTAGTTTTCGCTACTTTAACGTTTTTTCCACTTTACGGTTGTTTTGGTTAGTACCATAAACGTTCCAAATACTAAAATAATAACTTTTAAGTTATTAACTTTGTAGTTTTTAACTCATGTTCCAGTTTCGAGATTTTAACTTGCAAAGGGACTACAAAGTAAAAATAATTATAATGTAATCTTTAGGTAGCAACCGAAAGTAAGTGCTACAAATTAAATTTTCTTGAAAGTTTTTTTTACTTATAACACCTTTTTTAAAGTTGCAAAGTCTTCTTGGGGGCAACCAATTGGTTACTTAAATGTTTATTACTTTATAGTAACCATTTAGGGAAAAATTAAGTTTCTGTTACAAAATATTGCTATTTAAAAGTTAGAGTTACTTTTAAGTAAAAATTAAAGTAGCTGTTTAGTATAATTAACTAATTTAAAGTTATCAACACTTTGGCAATGGTTTTTGGAACCAAAAATGCTGCTTGGGTTCTTTAAAAATTGTAAACTTTTGCATATAAATTCCCAAAAAATCGAAATAATCCACAGTTAGTATAAAAACTTTGTTTAGGAATCATCCCGCCCCCGGAGGACACGAAGCCCGCCCCCTGCTGGGAAATCAGCACGGACGTGTTCCCGAAACCGTCCGGCAACATGACCGACACGGAAAAACTCAGCTCCAAGTCGGACTGCGGCGGCAGCCGGTGCCGCTCCCGCTCGCGCCACGCCGCCTCCGCCTGCGGCGAGCGCAGCGTGGACCGCCTCTACCTGCGGGCGGCGGCCAGCGCCAAGAGCAGGGGCGGCGGCGTGCGACAGACGCTGCTGGTCATTTGCACGGACTACGGCGGCAGCTGCAACGACGGTTTGGCGGTCTCCAAGGGGGAGGTGGTGTTCTTGCTGAACACGAAAATTCGGGGGTGGTTCTACGTCAAGAATAAGGCGGGCGATGAGGGGTTCATACCCGCCGCTGTCGCGGGACATGGGTTTTTGTAAATATATTGTTGTCTATTTGTAGTATTTATTATCGTGAACAATAAAGATTGTAAGATAAGTAACTTTATTGTTTTATTACATACATATAGATCAGTATTCTGAGATAATAAAAAACCTTAGATTAATGTGCGAAATTGGCGCGAGCAGAATAAAATGTTTTCATTTTTATTTTGTAGTACTTCCCTGATAGCACAGTTTATTCTAAGAATGTTTTTTAAACCTTCCAGTGGGAATATTCTTAGGATCATGCTATATTTCTTCTAGTCATGTTCTAAGAATGTTTTTTAAACCTTCCAGTGAGAATATTCTTAGGATCATGCTATATTTCTTCTAGTAATGTTCTAAGAATGTTTTTTTAAACCTTCCAGTGAGAATATTCTTAGGATCATGCTATATTTCTTCTAAAGAACATGCTTAAAAGAAATATAGCATAATCCTAAGAATATTCTCACTGGCCTATAGGCAGGTTCTTAGAAGGTGCAAAGTTTTAGTGGTAAAAATTAGTCTACTCTAAACAAATGCCTAGAATGTTAAGAGAGTAATTGCTATAGAAAGTTCATTTAGGAATATTCCTGTTAAGCATATTTAGTTCAGTTACCTATATAATAGTAAAATATACCATAAACTACTTATAAAGGTATATTCCTATACTTAAGTACCTAATTAGTAATTAGTATTAAATACTAAGTAAAAAACACAATCCAAAATATTTTTTATAGGTATTTGTCAAATTAAAACAATATTCGATAACAAAAATACTTTTTTTTTCAAGCGGCCATGATATACAACCTTATATGCCTGTATAGAGATAGTTGAAGTGCGTCTTTTTCATTAGCGGCAGACAAAAAACTCAAAAAAGCCTAGGGATAGAAGTAAATCCATAGGTGTCCCAATAGACGTCAAATAATAAAATTAATTTAGCATATCATACAAAGCAATCACGATGTATTAATTATATTAATTATAATCGCACGGAATATTTAGGGATTATTTATTAAATTTTAATTGAACGAAATAAAGAACAACTAGTTTATTAGTATAATATTATGATGATAGACGAGTCGCCAATGTCGGAACTCCAAACAAATGTCAGTACGTCAAAATTAATTCAAGCGCAGCATTTTGACAGAACAGTCTTTATTTTTAGTTTAGGATATTTATCGGCATTGTAAGTAAGGGTTATAAGTTTTTTTAGTTTTTATCAATAATTTCTAATGCTTTTAGCCAAAATTTTATACCACCCCTGATAGCACAGTTTATTCTAAGAATGTTTTTTAAACCTTCCAGTGAGAATATTCTTAGGATCATGCTATATTACTTCTAGTCATGTTCTAAGAATGTTTTTTAAACCTTCCAATGAGAATATTCTTAGGATCATGCTATATATCTTCTAGGCATGTTCTAAGAATGTTTTTTAAACCTTCCAGTGAGAATATTCTTAGGATCATCCTATATTTAAATATAGGATGATCCTAAGAATATTCTCACTGGAAGGTTTAAAAAACATTCTTAGAACATGCCTAGAATATATATAGCATGATCCTAAGAATATTCTCACTGGCCTATAGGCAGGTTCTTAGAAGGTGCAAAGTGCAAAGTTTAGTGGTAAAAATTAATCCACTCTAAACATATGCTTAGAATGTTGAGAAAGTAATTAGTATTAACTAAACTAAATAAAGTAAAAAACAACTAAACTAACTAAAGTAAAAAACAACCCAAAATATTTTTTATAGTTATTTATCAAATTAAAACAATATTAGATAACAAAAATACTTTTGCTATAGGTATATAAATTATCCGGCTTTTACATAAAATCTTCTATCCAACTTAAATACAATGAAAAATCACCAAAACTAAAAAAACGAAACAAATATCGGTAATTTACAAATGACGCAATTGTTTTCTATGCGTAGATTTAAACGCAACAGTGTTGCCGGATTTATTTTTTTAAGTCATTAAATTAACAATAAATTAAACTATTATGTTTATATATATTAAAAATGTTATTTTGTGTAGTTTAAATTACTTTCCATTTAATAAACATTAAGATATATATGTAAGAGATAAATTATTTGTTACAAATAAAACACAAAGGCAACGTTGTAGGCATGCTTTCTTTAGGATACAGACAGTGTTGCCGTTTGTGGGTATTTTACCCGAAAATCGGGTATTTTTGTAATGCTTGCTGGTAAAATGTAAAAGCAGGTATTTTGCAAACTTTGATCAAAATACCAACTTCAGAAATGTTTAGTGAATATTATTGTATATTTATTTACTAAATAAATTATTTTATTATATCCTGTTACCATTTTTATTGAATAATTCAATATTTTATTTATTTTTTAAAATAGGGCGAATTCGCATTAATGCGCTAGAAAATTAATACCGAAAACTATTTTTTTAGTCTTTCGCGTAAAATCGGGTGTTTTGTAATTTTTGGTTGGAAAGTTTCATGAAATTCATCCGGCAACACTGGATACAGTGCTGCTTATGTTTTCTGAATTTCACGCAAGTTACGCCCATATTTGTTGTTATCTATTTTGACAAACTTTTCTATATGTTTTGTTAATTGGTTTTGTGTTTTGTGAAAATATCCTGATATAATATATAAGTAACAGGTAATATGCCTAAGCAAGGTAAAAACTATATTTACTCTTAAGTGCGCAAAGAGGTAAAAAACATATATAAAGACCGACCGTCTAGTTCATGGGAAGTGTTATCTGCCAGAGAACGTTTTACTTCTTCTGATAGTGATATTTCCACTATTGATTACTTATAAAGAAGAAAATCGTCTGGAACAAGATTGTTTGGAACAAGAAAATATCCAAAATAACAACATTTCTGTCTGTGATATGCTTAAAGACTCTTTTGTACGCCACAATATTAGTCATTCCGCTATAAAAGATATTTTATTTGCCCTTTCAAAATCGAGCGATAAAGAGTTAAAAGCCCTTCCAAAAGATCCTCGAACATTTTTATGTACTCCAAGAAAAACAACACAACAAGAAATATTTTATAAGGAAATATTTTGTTTTTTTTATATTTTATTTTATGTTAAAAATAAATATTTATTAATTTGTATACCAAATTCGTATTTAAATGATTTGTTTTTAGAATATACTTTTTTGTTTTTTTTTATGAAGAACTATTTGGTTTTTTCTTTTATGAAGAAATATTTTATAAGGAAATATTTTGTTTTTTTATATTTTATTTTATGTTAAAAATAAATATTTATTAATTTGTATACCGATTTTTTATTTCTGAATTAACATTTTTATGTATAATAATCCTACTATCTTCAACTTCAATCTAATCTTACTTATCCCACAAAATTTTCCAATTTTACTTTTTATGAAATAATGTCATACAACTTATGGTTCAGAGGTCAAATTGTTTATTTAATATTTTTAAATAAATATATATTAATATGTCGCAAATTTTTTTAAGGGAACGACAAATACATTTCACTGTCATATTATGACAGTGAGGCGTATTTGTCGTGAAGAATTTTACGAATGTAGAATCCAACATATTTGACATATCTGACATATTTTGAAATATTCTCAAAAGCTTCCTAGAAGCTCCATAAGAAACCTTCTAAGAACATTCCAAAAACGTATTCTTAAAATGTTCTTAGGATGCTTTTTAGGAAGGTTTTAAGAAGCTTCTAAGAATCTACTTGCAACATTAAAAGGGTATCTATTGAATGTTTTAAAAGTCCCTAAGAACATTCTTAGCAATAAGGGAAGGTTCTAAGAATATTCCATTATTCCGAGTCGTATCTTCTTAGAAGATTCTTAGAATCAAATTTTGCTATCAGGGACATGAGTTATGAGTAGATAAAATAATTCTATTTCTTATCCTATTTATATTACGCCCTTGAAAAAAAAATTGTATAATATACATATTATGTTATTTGGAGTAGAAGCTCTTTTTGTGCTTCGTACAGTTGCCAGCCTCAGCTACGCTTCGGCCGTCAATCTCTGTACTCACCACAAAAAGGGTCACTTCTACTCCTTATGACATAATCTACTATTACTTTAGGTATTTTATTTTATGTTAAAATAAATATTTATTAATTTGTACACCGATTTTTTATATCTGAATTAACATTTTTATGTATAATAATCCTAACTATCTTCAACTTCAATCTAATCTGACTTATCCCACAAAATTTTCCAATTTTACTTTTTATGAAATAATGTCATACAACTTATGGTTTAGAGGTCAAATTGTTTATTAAATTTTAATATTTTTAAATAAATATATATTAATGTCGCACAATTTTTTAAGGGGACGACACATACATTTCACTCTCATATTATGACAGTGAGGCGTATTTGTCGCCTCCTGAAGAATTTTACGAATGTAGAATCCAATATATTAGATCGTGGGTATCTGACATATTTGGAAATATTTTCAAAAGCTTCCTAGAAGCTCCATAAGAAACCTATATTATAATAACATTCCAAAAACGTATTCTTAAAATGTTCTTAGAATGCTTTTTAGGAAGGTTTTAAGAAGCTTCTAAGAATCTAATTGCATCATTAATCTATTGAATGTTTTAAAAGTCCCTAAGAACATTCTTAGATATAAGGGAAGGTTCTAAGAATATTCCATTATTCCGGGTCATATCTTCTTAGAAGATTCTTTGAATCAAATTTTGCTATCAGGGTTTGGAAAACCGACTTCTTTGATTTCCTTTTCACGAAATAAACCCACAAAACCGATTTTCGATCAAACCCCAAGCAGCATTTTTGGTTGCAAAAAACCATTGCCAAAGTGGTGATAACTTTAAATTAGTTAAGTATACTAAACAACTACTTTAATTTTTACTTAAAAGTAATTCTAACTTTTAAATAGCAATATTTTGTAACATAAACTTGATTCTTTCCTTAAATGGTTACTACGAGCCCTAACCACATAATGTTCGGACACTTTATAATTTATACAGAAATTTTTTTCGTGAATACTATCTCAAAATTATTAGAAGTTATGAAAAATTCAGCTTATTTTGGCATATACCCCTCGAAGCGATTTTTATTTTTAAAAAGTTTACCTTTTATTTTTAGCTTTTAAAAAAAGGCTAACTTTTTAACTTTTTTTTGTATGAGTAAAAAAAGTTATAAATGGACCCATTAAAAAGAGCATAAAATATTATACAAACCCTGAAAATTTGGTAAAAAATAAATAAGTTATAAAAAAGTATAAGTAATTTAAAAATGCTATTTTTAAAGAGTTTTTGCAATTTTCTTAGGAAACGGGAGATTTTGCAGATATATATATCGCTATAACTTTCTTATTATTTATACAATTTTTACCAAATTTTCAGGGTTTGTATAATATTTTATGTTCTTTTTAATGGGCCCATTTATAACTTTTTTTACTCATGCAAAAAAAAGTTAAAAAGTTAGCCTTTTTTTAAAAGCTAAAAATAAAAGGTAAACTTTTTAAAAATAAAAATCGCTTCGAGGGGTATATGCCAAAATAAGCTGAATTTTTCATAACTTCTAATAATTTTGAGATAGTATTCACGAAAAAAATTTCTGTATAAATTATGAAGTGTCCGAACATTATGTGGTTAGGGCTCGTATAAAGTAATAAACATTTAAGTAAACTTAAGATTTGCAAGTTAAAATCTCGAAACTGGAACATGACTTAAAAACTACGAAGTTAATAACTTATTATTTTAATATTTGGAACGTTTATGGTACTAACCAAAACTACCGTAAAGTAAATTAAGGTGGAAAAAACTTTAAAGTAGCGAAAATTACTTCAAAGGAAAATGCTTCTTATCGGCCATTTTTTACTGTAAAGTACCACGTGGTAATGTAAATAATAAATTATTTTAATTCTTTGTACTGTCCGTTCAGGCTAAGTTGAGCGGTCTTAGGAATGTCACCCCGTCCATCATCTCTATGTTTAGTCACAATTAAATACATGTATTTCGGTAGCCACTCTGTACCAACAAACCGCAAGCCCCGGCACTGATAAATCAACTTCTTGTTACCGAAATCTTGCGAGGATTAGATATTTAATTTAATCAACGGTCACAAGATCCCCCACCAAAGCGCTCAACTTAGCCTGAACGGACTGTAAATGGTTGTTTACTTTTTAATAAAAAGTAATTTTGTTGGTAATAGGCGGTATTAATAATTAAATAAAAAATTACTAATAAAAATTAAGATTTTTTTATTTATAAACATTATTAAATAAATAATTTGTTTATCCTTAAATATTGATGAAGCGCATTTATTTTACAAAAACTAAATTCATAAGTTCAACAGTAAAATTTAAAGGGTTTATTATAAATTTACATAAATATAAACATTATATTGTTATAGTTATAAAGTTTATAATATAAACTACCAGTACATATTTAATAAACGACGACATTGAAAAGCCAAGTCCATAGTGGTTCCATTTAAAAAAGGAGGCTAGTATAATCTAATATAAGTTTGACAAAGACAGTTAATATAAAAGTAATAACACATAAATAAAAATAATTATAACGCTCTAGCAACGATACTTAAACGTTCTAGTAACGTATAGCAGCTACGTTCCAAATAGTAGCAGGGTTAATAGCTAGTGACATATTTGTTACCTTTTTGCATAGAAATATAGTATTATTTCTATGGGGCAAACTAAAGGTTATTCTTATGTTACTCTCAGCTGTAGAGCTTCGGGCCCACAAATCCTAGTTACGTCACTGTTCCAACCATTGACACGTGGAGCCATGCAGTGACACAGGTAACAAAAAACAAATTGTCAGTTGTTTTGACCAGTGTTCTGCGATTAGTTATGCAAGTATTTTGTGATTTATTTATATTTTTTTCTTGGATTTATGTTCTGTGATCATAGAACAAACCTGCTTGGATTTGAGTGTTTTAAAACGTGATTTTAGTGTTTTTAGGTTTTTGAGGATTTAAAAACGAAGAAAGGAATTCAAAGGTAAATATTCGAATAAAATAGTTTAAAAATAAGTTTAATTTATCACCCATTTTATTTTTGAACTTTAAACGGTGGACAAAATTTTACTTCTCCCACTACTGGTTTCTGTTTATACATTATTAATAATTATTCAGATAGTGCAAAATTAAGGCCTAACACATATTTGTTTGTTTCTTAAGTTGCCAACTTAAAGTTGGCAGCACAAAATTTAAAACAATAATTTTAAAAAGTTTTTTGAGATCACCTTTGATAGTTTAAAAACGAATTTTTGAAAATAACACTCATGCATATTTTCCATACATTATTTCAAAAATTCGTTTCCAAATTGGAGAAAAATAGAAGTGCTCTTACTGTATAGGATGAATTGGAATAGGTATAATTCGCCAACAAGTAATAAAATAAATAAATAAAATAAAATGTAGGTATGTAATTATGCCATGACCTTGGGCCGGCTTTCTACAAATTAAAATCGTATTTTACACAGTAAAGTTTTGAATCATCCGTGATAATTTTCAAGTGTCTACATTAACAAGGTTTAGGTAAAAAACAACAGGTTGTTAGGTACTAAAATAATTAATAAATAAAAAACAATTATTGTTGCTTGAAATCATTATCATAAGATTTATACATTTTATAGATAAAATGCAAATAAATTAAAATAATGTGATTTGTGGTTTCAACATGAATGGTTCATCACAGAGTACCTTAACACAGGAAAATAACGAAATTAAAGTTTATAAATACAGATGGGTTGTTTTGGGAATATTTTGTTTGTTTACTATAAACAATTTTGTGCAGTTTTTGGAATACTCAATTATAGCAGACACAGTAAAAAAGTAAGTAAGTTAAAAATTCTATTGTGTTTATTATTAATTTTATATAATTTTAGATACTATGGGGTAGACAGCTTTGCAGTTGACATATCAGGGTTGATATTCTTTATTATGTACTTAATAGGGTTTTTACCAGTGAGCTACTTGATTGAAAAATATGTATGTATCATTCCAAAGCACCCTAAAAGATTTTAACAATATACATTATAGGATATGAAAATAACGGCCATATCCAGCACTGGTTTAACACTTATAGGGAATGTTATCAAGATTTTTGCCACCCCAAAAGACAAATTTTATTTGGTGATCGTTGGGCAGGGTTTTTGTGCCTTAGGGCAGGTTTACATGATAAGTATCCCTTCTAAATTTGCCGCACTATGGTTTGGGGCCAAGGAAGTGTCCACTGCGTGTGCATTGGCTGTTTTAGGGACACAATTTGGTACGTCTTGAAGTATAAATAAAATTGTTTTATTTATTTTGTTTTTTAGGAGCTGCTTTAGGCAGTATAATGCCCACGTTTTTAGTTAAAGATGGTACTGATGAACAAGTTAGGGAAGATTTAATGACCATGGTAACAATACATGCAGGGTCATCGGCTGTTATATTACTTATAGTTTTAATATGTAAGTTAGAATTTTTTTCATACATTTTTTAAACTTTTTTTAACAAGTTGCGATTTCTTAAAAAATTAAAATCACAAAAATTAGCACAAAATTAAGAAACAAAATAACTTGGTATTTTCTGAAAATAATACAATATAACAGGTATTATATAATAGACTGGGCCAAAAAAATCAACTATTTTTTTTTAAAGTATATTGAAAATATGGTTTGGGGTGACAAAAAAAATTATTGTGAAAGTTTGAGTCCATAATATTACTATTAAGAGGTCTATCATCGCAATTTTAATTTTTTTTCCCTCAGCAAGTTTTTGTCTCAGAACTCCCAAACCATTGAGTTTAACAAAATTGTATCAAAAATATGTTGAAAATTAAATGCTCTACAAAAAAGGATAAAGTGAAATTTTTCGTCAGATGAACCGTTTCCTTAAAATCATGCCTTAAAAATTGGTATAGTTTTACATTTTGGTCTTTTAAATTGGAATTTTGTAATTCATGTAAAAATCAGTACCCATGAAAAACCGATAAATATTCTTATGGGAAATCAAATTCTATACAAAAAAAGCCTCTTAACATTTTTGGCTAAATTCACTCAATCAAAAGTTATTCAAGGTTAAAATTTCGTTTTGACTTCAAATTTAACCTTGAATAACTTTTGATGGGGCGAATTTAGCCAAAAATGATAAAAGACTTTTTTTGTAGAGCATTTGATTTCCCATAAAAATATTTATCGTTTTTTTTTCAGGGTACTGATTTTTACTTGAATTGCAAAATTCCAAAGTTAAAAGATCAAATTGTAAAACTATACCAATTTTTAAGGCATGATTGTAAGAAAAGGGTTCATCTGACGGAAAATTCCAATCAAACCTTTTTTGTAGAGCATTCAATTTTTTTCAAAAAATATTCTTAAGTCAATTTTGTTAAACTCAATGATTTGGGAGTTCTGAGACAAAAACTCGCTCAGGAAAAAAAAATCTAAAATTGCGACGATAGACCTCTTAATATTAATATTATGGACTCAAACTTTCACGATAATTTTTTTTTGTCACCCTAAACAATATTTTCGATATACTTTCCAAAAAAAAATAGTGGATTTTTTTGGCCCAGTCTATTATATTATCATTGAGTAAAGATGATATTATATAATATATTATGTATTTTTTGTGTTCTTAATTAAGACTTTCAATTATTTGTATTCAAATGTCAATTTAGTTTTTAGAGCAAAACCCAAACTACCACCAAGTCAATCCCAGCTAAACTTACTCCAAAGTGAAGATATTACTACTTATTGGGCCTCTTTGAAAAAACTATTCAAAAATAAAGACTTCCTAATTGTTTTGCTATGTTTTGGAATGAGCAATGGACTTTTTAACAGTTTTGGCATCGTTTTAAACAGTTTCTATGAAGAATTTTTTCCAGTAGGTAGTTTTAATTATCATCAGAATTTTACCACCAGATTTAGTAAACAGACCATTTTTTTAATTAGAGGAATAAAATTTGACAATAGTTTATCTATTGGCTGGTAAAATTCTGATGATATAAACTCGACCACCCTGTACATTGATCAATTTTAGGATCATATAGATGATGCAGGATATTTGGCTGCTGCAGCAATAATTGCAGGGGGATGCATAGGGAGTATTATTTTTGGAATTATTTTGGACAAAACACACAAATTTAAGTAAGTCCCAAAAATGACGTGTTTTTTATTAAAGAAAAGTTGCGCAATTACAACAATATCAATTCAATAACATAAAATTTAAGAAAAAATGCCATTTAAAAAAAAACTAAAAACCTTTCAAAAGTAAAAATTATTTTTAACGATTTTTTTTACAGTTTTTCTACTGAAATCAATAAGAATTCATAATTTACTAGAAAATGGCATTTTCATTAATAAAATAATAATTCCGAAACTTTTGGTAAAGTTGTTCATATTATCAACTTCAAATGAAAAAATGTGAGGTAAAATAAATGTGACAATGTCAAAACTTTGAGCTTATTTTTTTTGTCCAAACAATTAAAAAAAATTGAGTGAATTCACTTAATTTTTTATATATTTTTTGCATGAAGTAAACATTTACCTACAATTAAAAAAAAAATTGAAACATTTTTGGCCAATTTATCCCATTTTCAAGAAAAAAAAATCAATTTTTCTGTCCATTTTTCAAAAATTTTCTACGGATGAACAAAACAAATTTAAGCAAAAACAAAAAATACGGGTTTCATCGATTTCGGTGGAGAAACTGTTTAAATTTTTTTTAAAAAATAACGACCTACCCCTTTTAACAAAGTTATAGTAATGTATTTTTTAGGCTAACATCTTTTTGTACCCTCTTCTTATCCGCAGTATCTTTAGTTTTACTACTGCTAGTATTTATGTATAAATCCAGAATGGCCAGCTTCACTGTGATACCTTTACTAGGGTAAATATAAATATACAGGGTGTCCCAGATTTTAGTAGCATTTTTCCTGATCATGTCTTTATCGCACGCGAGTTGTTGTCACTTCGTTTAAAAGTTATTAAGAAAAATATGGAAAATTTTGCACTAATCATTTTGTGGAAGACAAGTTTTTTAGAGGATTTAATTAAGTTTGTTCTAAATATTTTTTAAAGAATGCAATATATCAAAAAACGCAATACTAAAACCTAGGACAACCTCTATAATGTACCATGTACATTTTTTGTTTTAAATAATTATTTTTTAGGTTCTTCTTGGCCAGTACTTTAGTAATAGGCTTTGAGTACGCAATTGAAGCCTCCTACCCTATTCCAGAATCTCTTGGTTGTTCCTTACTTAACGCAGCCATCTACTTATTTGCAATAATAAATACTTTAATACAAGAAGTATTATTTGAAGCCATTGGCTATTTAAACACCATGGTAGTGGGAATTGTTGTAATGTTTATAATGTCTTTTGTGATACTTTTTATGTCGTCAACTTTAAAAAGAAGGGACGCCAATTTAGAGAGTAACAATACTCAAGGAGTTAATAATGTTAACTTTGTGGAGAGATTGTGATTTTTTACATTGAAATGTTTTTATAAATAAAGTTTATTTTCTTTTAGGTGCAATTTTTGTAAGGCGTAGCGTTTGACATTTTCAGATTCATTCAACTTTTTTGTCAGCAGTAATATTCTGCTTTCTGTTAGTTCCAGTAAATTCATGTGCTTTTGCAGGATTTGCGCCAAATATTCCAGCTAAAAAATTAATACATTTTATTGTTCCCTATTGTTTACAAAATGTTTACTGGGCCTTGTTCACTTTTAACTGAAGTTCGAAGCAAATTCACTTCATTAATCATTTCCTTGCAACTTTTTACTTGCATGTTCATTTGTTCCGCTATTTGGTATCTAGAAAAAAAATTGTGTATAAAAAATGTATTCCGACTGCTCCAAAACGGTTTTTGGCAAATATATAGAATAGGGTGATTCATTTCCGCAAAGTTTTTGTTTTTTTTCGGTGCTCAAGCAAAATATTAATCTGCATATAGGAAAAACATTCTCACCAAGTTTGAGCTCTTAATATTAATTTTAAGCACTTACTATTTAAATTTAAAGTTTTACCGTTTAAAATGCATGTAAAAAATATATTTTTTTTTTCAAATTTCTAATGCTTACCCACCTTTGACAATAATGCAAATCGGTTTAATACACCTTATGGGGAATTTCACGCTCTTTAAAATTGCTTTTGAGTTTTTTTTGTAACTCGCTTGGGTTCACCAGTAGGAGTCATCAAAGGACAGTTTTTGAAAAAATCGTTTTTTTTTATTTTTTCGAGCAAATCGCCAAAAGTAGTGAGAAAAAAGGGCTGATTCATAAGAAAAAGTTATCCAACCAATATTTAATGAATTTACTGCCATTTTTATAACTGAAAACGTAAGAAATTGATAAATACCAACCCATAATGTTATTTAGATTGATTTTTTCTATTTATTATCATTATATTTCCCTACACTAAGAACTTTTTAAAAATTATTATGATTTCTCACTCATAATAAATATGAAAACAACACATAAATTCATAAAAAAACAACAACAAAACTTTAATCGGAAAATACAGAAGGTTATGTAACATATTTCAAATTTCGCTTCAAAAAATTAAATAATCTTCATTTATATTTTTTTGCTATATGACAGAAATGTTGAAAAATTGCAAAATCCACGTTACAATTTTCTTATTGTTTTTTATGAATTTATCTGTTGTTTTCATATTCATTATGAGTGAGAAATCATAATAATTTTAAAAAACTTCTTAGTGTAGGGAAATATAATGATAATAAATAGAAAAAATCAATCTAAATAACATAATGAGTTGGTAATTATCAATTTCTTACGTTTTCAGTTATAAAAATGGCTGTAAATTCATTAAATATTGGTTGGATAACTTTTTTTTATGATTCAGCCCTTTTTTCTCCCTACTTTTTGCGGTTTGTTAGAAAAAATTAAAAAAAAAACGATTTTTTTCAAAAACTGTCCTTTGACGACTCCTACTGGTGAACCAATGCGAGTTACAAAAAAAAACTCAAAAGCAATTTTAAAGAGCGTGAAATTCCCCATAAGGTGTATTAAACCGATTTGCAATATTGTCAAAGGTGGGTAGGCATTAGAAATTTGAAAAAATATATATTTTTTTTACATGCATTTTAAACGGTAAAACTTTAAATTTAAATAGTAAGTACTTAAAATTTATATTAAGAGCTCAAACTTGTTGAGAATTTTTTTTCTATATGCAGATTAATATTTTGCTTGAGCACCGAAGAAAACAAAAACTTTGCGGAAATGAATCACCCTAATATAGAACTTGTGACAGGTTTTTTCATAAAAATATTTCCTTACGTTGGTTTCCTATTATTATCCACTGGACATTCACAATCCCCTCTACTCCTTATTTGCTCTTCAACTTTATCCACAAACTTTTCAACTTCAAGCTGCGACATTTTTAAACCATTTATATCCACCTCCACCATGCTTTGCAAATAATACAAAATATTCATCTTGTCGTTTATACTTTTAAGTTTCGACTCTCTATCGGATACTTCTTTTTCGCTCCGCGAGAGTTCTTCAGATTTCATGTAAAAGGTGTTTTGCCAGTCTGAAAGTTCCGACGCCCAAATATCTACCAGGGAATTTAGATTAGCGAAAGTTAAGGTGTTACAATTTAGATCCAAATTTTGTGACATGATTGCTAATGACAAATGACAAATTTGATAACCAAAGACTTGGAAATATTATGGATTAGACTGGGCCAAAAAAATCGACTATTTTTTTTGTATATCGAAAATATTGTTTGAAGTAACAAAAAAAAATTATGGTGAAAGTTTGAGTCCATAATATTAATATTAAAAATTTTAGATTTTTTTTCCTGAGCGAGTTTTTGTTTTAGAACTCCCAAACCATTGAATTTAACAAAATTGACCTAAGAATATTTTTTGAAGAAAATTGAATGCTCTACATAAAAGGTTTGATTGGAATTTCCCGTCAGATGAACCGTTTTCTTACAATCATGCCTTAAAAATTGGTGTAGTTTTACAATTTGATCTTTTAACTTTGGAATTTTGTAATTCATGTAAAAATCAGTACCCGAAAAAAAAAACCGATAGATATTATATGGGAAATCAAATGCTCTACAAAAAAAGTCTTCTAACATGTTTGGCTAAATTCACTCCATCAAAAGTTATTCAAGGTTAAATTTGAAGTCAAAACGAAATTCTTGTTTTTTCCGCTCTAGATTTTTTTTGGGTCAGTTAAAAACTTGGATTCTTTTATCGATGATAATCTTTGTTATTGATAAAATTACTGAAAATTAAAAAAAAAACACATTAGAATTTTTTTGCTTTATGAAGCTATTTCCTTTAGAAAATAACAATTATGTTTTTTATTATTTGAAATTGTTAATTAGTTAAATAATACACATTTATAAAGAAAAAAATCAAATTATCATCCATTAAAAAATAAATCTAGAGGAAAAACCAAGAATTTCGTTTTGACACTTCAACTTTAACCTTGAACAACTTTTGATTAAGTGAATTTAGCCAAAAATGTTAAGAGGCTTTTTTTGTAAAGCATTTGATTTCCCATAAGAATATTTATAGTTTTTTTATGGTTACTGATTTTTGCCTGAATTACAAAATTACAAAGTTAAAAGATCAAAATGTAAAACTATACCAATTTTTAAGGCATGATTTTAAGAAAACGGTTCATCTGACGGAAAATTTCATTTAGCCTTTTTTTTAGAGCATTTAATTTTCTTAAAAAAATATTTCCGAGTCAATTTTGTTAAACTCAATGGTTTGGGAGTTCTGAGACAAAAACTTGCTGAGGAAAAAAAATTAAAATTGCGATGATAGACCTCTTAATGTTAATATTATGGACTCAAACTTTCACAATAATTTTTTTTTGTCACTCCAAACCATATTTTCGATATTCTTTAAAAAAAAAAATAGTTGATTTTTTTGGCCCAGTCTATTGTGGATATATCGGGTTTTGAACCCACCTATTGTTTTTGTTCCTTGGAGCCACACAAATCGCTATTTTCGTGGTCCATTTCCTCTACAGCTTCAGCAAGATTTTCAAAAAAGTCGCAATATTCGCATGAATTTAATTCTATGGAATGACAATTTTCGTCATTGGAAAGTTCCGAGGCACTGTGTGTTTCTTTAATTTCCCTATTTTTTCTCGATTTTTCCTTACGGGAATTTTTTTTCTTTGCTGCACATCCTACACTAGCACTACTACTGCTTTTACTCAAAGTATCATTAGTTTCATCTGCATCTCGTTTTATGTTTGATCTTGATCTTGTTTTAGATTTCCCACACTTTCTTCTACTTCTTCGAGGTTCTACAAAAATATGCATGAATACCTGTAAGTCAAAATATTCGCACGAACCTAATTTCTTGCATTTACAATTTTTAACATTGGAAGGTTCTGAGCCACTTTGCCTTTTTTTAGTTTCCCTATTTTTCCTGCATTTTCTTTTACGTTTTTGGGAATTCTTTTTGTTTTCTGCACTGCCTATACTAGCACTACTACTGCTTTTACTCAAAGTATCAGTAGCATCATCTGAATCTCGTTTTCTGTTTGATCTCGATCTTGTTCTAGATTTTCTAGACTTCCTTCTACGTTTTCGAGGCCCTATAAAAATATTTACGAAGTACTTACATATTAAGAAAATTCATTTTTCATACTTTTTTCATCAACTTGTACTTCCTCATCTTTCTTTTCCACGTTACATCTACAAGGATTTTCTGAAAAAGAAACTTTTTTATCGGATTCTTCTTCCAAAACATCGCACACATGTCCTTTTGTCATTTCAGGGGTAGTTGTAACACTTAATTTTCTTCTCTATAAAATGGTTTCATGTTAAAAATTTGCCGCTGGTACAATATGTAGCAAATTTTAGAAAAATTGCATAAGGCGTTTAACATTTATAATAAAAAAGCGTATTGATCCTACCGACTGCGCCAAAATATTAATAAAAAACTTACGTTTGAGAAATCTATTTGATTTTTCCCACAATTTTGGTTTTTACAATTCTCGCAAAATTGCAAGCCATTTATATTCGTAAAATCGGGAGAACCGTCTGAAAAGCAATAGATATCAACAAGGAAAAAAATCTGAGACATTTTTTACTTGAAGTTTGCGTTTGGCCATTACTGGGAATCAAATCGGTTGTCGATGACTTTTTATTATTGTGAAAATTCAACTTGAAAGGATTTTTGTTCATTTGCTCTTGAAATTTTAACATTTCCAGACAACAGTTTTGCTGAATATTTTGCATGTTCTTTAGTTGTGGATCCATGCCATAGTTGGTTATATAGGGTGTTTGTTGGGGAGGGGAAATAAAGTTTGAAATAGGAAAAATGCTAAGTAAATATGTTTTAAATAAACTCAACAAAAATAAAATTACTTACCTGGCATTTGGTGTAAAACTAAAAGTTACTCCACCTGGTATAAAGTGTTTGTAAGCTTCGTTAATATTTTTATTATTATTAGTAGTAATGGCGTTATTATTCCCATAATAAGAAGTATTTAACGTGTCCATTATTATTTTTTTTTGTTCTTGGTTAACAAATAAATTAATACCATTTACCACTGAAGGAACTACAAAATATTCCAAAGGGAATTTTACACTTTTTTATGTTTTGTTCACCTGTTGAATGTATGGTTGATTCATCTATAATATTTGTTTTTGTAGTTAAAATGGGATGATTCATCACTAAAATGTTGATTATGACATAACTAAATGATTAATAATGACATGTATAGGGAATTTGGTAATGTTTGGTAATATCCATTCCAAAATTAATACTATTTAAAAAAATAAATAAAAAGCATTTTGTAATGGTTCAATTGTATATTATATATTAAACAAACTCTTTCAACTGCACTGAATTTACCTTTCCAAAGCTATTCAGCCCTACTAAACAAACAATCTTAATTCAAAGTGCCCATAATCAGAAACTGTCTCAACAGTTGAACGTTTTTTGAAATTTATATACTGTTAATTGAATTACAAGAAAAAAGTGATTTCAGAGTAAACATCAAGACAATACTAAGTAGCGCAGAAACGTGTTTTTTATAATAATTAAGCAAAAAGTTTTATTGAAAAATATTGGCTATAGTTCAGGAGTATATTAGTTCCAGCTGGAGCCATATTGTCCCAAGTTTTCCAAAATCACAAACACTATTTCTAAATTGTTTTTTTTAAATAGTAATTATTAATTGGATGCCCTTTCACCCACAGAGCCAATATACACATATATATCAGAAAATACATTGTTAAATATTTGAATATCAAAGGGAATCACAACATTTCAAAAACAATACTTACAAATTAAATCAAAATTGTCGAATGATTGTTGTTTTCTTTCGGTAAGTATTGCAAAAAATTTGGGACCCCTGTAGTGAGATAAATTAAAAACAAAAACTTGCTACAATTCCAAATATTTCTAAATATGTTAAGCATTAGATTACACTATTATATAGGGATATTATGAATAATAAACAATAAAAGGGGTTTTCCTTTTACAACTTAATAAAGACGATAATTATAATAAGAACATTAAAAAAAGAACACAAAACCCCCTGTGTTATAATGAAAACATTCGCTTAAAACCTAAAAATTAAGAAAGCCTCAGACTGAAAAATAAAAATCCAGCGAATGCAATATAATAAAAATAATGACGATACAAAAAAGAAAATCCGAACGAATTATTAACGAAGGAAAATTGGTTACATAGTTTTCACGAACAATTACTAGAATCTCATCCGGACTAAATATTATCATTTCTATATCATTTGTGAGCTAAATATAATTTTATTAATAAATATTGTAATTCATGGACTACAATGTGCTACGTAATGAATTAAATTTGTCAAGCAACATTTTACTGTTTGTTAAATAAGGAATCATCTTTTTGCTGATTCGAGTTTTTTCGTTAGTGGTTTTAGAGTTTTTAACGCCACGTTTTTAGTTCAGCGAATTTTATATTGTCTTCTATGAGCAATAGCGCAATAATTCTGAACGTTTCGCGAAAATAGATTATACTTTTCCCATTTAAACAATTATTTTCATTTTTTGTTTTAATATAGACGCGTTTTATCATTATTATTCAAAAGAAAAAGTATTTCAAATTCAACGGTAGGACTCTTTTTACGTTTTTTAGTTATATGAATATGTGCATATAATTGGGCATTATATTTTTATTCTTTTTTCAAGCATTTGCTTGTCAATGTGTTAAATGAGTGTTCATAAAAATACAAGGCACAGTCAAACAGTTTAAGTTTAGTTTGTTAAATTATTACACTATAATAATAATAGTAAAATTAATAAATTATGTGGCATTTCATAATTTACTATGTAAACTCAAAAATGTTTTTTAAACAATTTAGTAAAATTTTAAAGGATTGGGAAAGTGAATATTTTTACAAATTTATTTAAAAATATACAAAGTGTACCACCAAAAAAATTCAATTTCCCAATCATTTAAAATTTTACTAAATTATAGTATACTTAATAGTTATTTCATATTAATCCTGTAAAGGATTTTGCTTCATTACCTTTCTGGTTATCAAATTTGACAAAATTTGATTTTTATGGCTCTTTTTTCATTCTTTTCAATGAAGCAACTTATTTTTTTTAATAATAGAAGATTTTAATTTTTTAATTTTTAAAAAAGTTTAATACTTTGACAGGTGTCAAGATAAGAGAAAAAATAATTTAAAATTGCAAAATTATTGAATTTGTTTTAAGAAAAAAAATTGCTTTATTGGGAAGAATGAAAAAAAACTATAAAAATAATTTTTTTAAAATTTAATTTTAAAAATTGTGTATTAAATTTTTTAAAGTTGGTCAAAGGAAAACTGTAATTTGATAATCAGAGGTAATGGAGCAAAATCCTTTAGAGGATAAATGGTTATTAACTATAATTTAGTAAAATTTGAAAAAGATTAGGAAAGTACATTTTTTGGTGGTACACATGGGAAATTTTGCCCCACATACAAAATTATTCTTTGTAGAATAGAATAGAATTAATAAGTCTTTTTGGATATACAGATTTTGTTAAATTTTTTAAATCGCATAATTTACCACGTAAACTCCAAAAATGTTTAAAAATATACATAGGGCAAAATTCCCAAGTGTACCACAAAAAAATGTACTTTCCCAATCTTTTTCAAATTTTACTAAATAATAGTACTACTTATTAACTTTTAATCCTGTAAAGGATTTTACATTACATCTCTGTTTATAGAATTACAGGTGCGCAAAATTGACAAATAATTGATTTTTTAGCTTTTTTTATTCTTTTCAATAAAGCAATTTTTTTGTTAAAAATATCTGCAATTTTTAAAGTTTAAATTATTTTTTAATTTTTAAAAAAGTTTAACAATGAGATCAATACTTAATAAGGTGTCAGAATGACAGATAACACACTCTTGCTCAAACAGTTTTAAAGTAAAGGATTAAGCTTTTTAATAAGCCGGCTATTTCAAGCGCGCGAAACGCACTAATAACAAAAAAAATTTATAAAAAAAATGTAGACAATTTATTATTTAATATTTTGGCATCAAAATTGTCAAAAATATTCTTATTTTATTAGGTTATACATTAAATAAGAAAAAGCAAGAAATATTTTATAAAAGTAGAGATAATTTTAATAATTGAAAGTTGTGAATGGGACAAAAAAGATTTAACCTGTCCCATCCACACCTGTCAATTATTAAAATTATCTCTACTTTTATAAAATATTTGTTGCGTTTTTTAAATTTAATTCAAAAATAATATATAATAAATTACCTACAATTTTTTTTATAAAAAGTTTTGTGATAACTTTTAACTATTTTTTTAAATGCATTTTTTGAAAAGATGAAAAAATAATTTGCTTCATTTGGAAGAATGAAAAAAAGCTATAAAAAATTATATTTTAAAAATTGTATATTTAATTTTTTTTTTAAGTTGGTCAAAGGAAAACTTTGCACCCCTGTAATTTGACAACCAGAGGTAATAAAGCAAAATCCTTTACAGAATAAGAAGGTAATACATAACTATAAATTTTGGGAAATTTTGCCTCAAATACAAAATTATTCTTTATATTATAAAGTAATTTTTGGTTACTTTTTATTATAAATTTAAAACGCCTTTTTAAATTTAATACAAAAAGTCTTTATATTTACACAAGAGCAATAAAGAGTTGCGTATGAAAACATACACAAAAAACTAACCAAGTTTGTTTGACTGTACTCGAGTACAAATAAACACTTTATTTTCGGGTGAAATTAAATTTTACACCGAAAGGTCATCAAATATATATATATTATATAGCGAACCATCATTCTGATCACACGGCGGCGCGTTTCAAAACTTAAGGCGGGCGCCAAAAGCGCCCGGAGGATAAACAAAAGGCTCTTGGGGCGATTTTCGCGCGCGCAAAAGCACAACATACAAAAATCTGCCTCGTTCCGACTTTATTCACCTCTCATCTTTCATCGTATCTTATTAATCAACAGATCTAACGTATGTATATAAATACCATAAATAGGGATCACAGGTGCACACTTTGAGTGCCATCTCAGTCAATATAATATAACAGTAGTAACAAACATAGAAAAATATACTTATATGCTTTTCTCGAACACAACATTTCTCACTTACTCTCTCTCACCTCTATTTCAATAGCAATAGTTCAGATCACTGTTTTTTTTCTAACTCTAAATGCAACCGGCACGGTCAACATTTTCGTGCGGCGAAACCGACGAAAAAATCAAATAAAAACGGTGGCGCCGATTTAGCCGCACGTCACGGTCACTCGACAAAAGTCTCAGTGGAAAAAAATCGTTTCGCGTAAGGGATTGGTGGACGCACGACACTAAAATATCGTTCTTTTCGTGGATTTTTTTTTTTTTTAGTTTAATTTGTGGCCGCTTCGACGCCGTTGGGGGCGTCGCCCTGCCCCTTGTGTTGCTCGGCGGTTTTGGCGGTTTCGGACTCAGTCTTTGCTCCCACAAACGTGCCGTCCTCCCTCAGTACCACCTCCGAAACCGGGACGTCACTGAAAAGAGCGGAAAAGTGCAACAAAACCTTTTTTTGCGATCTCAGGGGCGCTTTATCGCAAATTAAAAATTAGAAATAATTCGCGCCTATTTTTTTATAATTAAAATTGCAAACTTTAATTTGGGTATTTTTTAGGGAAATTTACGAATTCAAACTTTTAAAGATGCGCCTTTTTGGCTTAGGAATGAAAATCCCTTAGTCCAAGTATCTTTCTATGTATTTTAGCCTGTTAAAATAAGATTTGAAATTTGAAAAAAAAACAATAGTTCTCAAAATATAGAAAAAACTAAACTCTAACTCTAAAATGTCTTTACCAATCTTAATGAAATTTTGTCTAAAAATACTTCAACTTATATCTCAGTTTACGTGTTCGAGGGGTTTTAAGGCCCTTTTATTTAATAATAAAAAAACGTTCGAAAAAATTTTTAGGGAATTTTTTTTAAGTAAACAAAAAATATGCTGTTAAGGTAGTTGTCGTGGTACAATATTGTCCAAAATTTTTAGATTATACGCACCGTAAAAGTATACGAGCTTGTAGCTAAGTGATTTTTTCGCAAGACTGTTCCCTGGAGACGTTACCTTTACGTAATACTCAAATATTTTCATAAGTTTGGAGACTGAATCAGTATGTTTGAATTTACTGCGGAAATAATATCTATACTCGCGTACAGCGTTGCCAAGTTGTTTTTATCTGACACTAGTGGTATACTTTTCACAAATTGTTGAACTTTAAACGGTTATTTCTAAACATTTGGACGGTCAAAAAATTTTAATTATTTTTTTTAAACTCAGCAAAAATACATTAAAAGACTGTTAATTTTTTTAAAGCTTCTGACAGTTAGTTTTTTTATAACTAAGAAACTGGTACAGAACTACAGAAAGCGTATACAATCCATGTTAATTATCCAATCTTTAATTGAATTTATCTCGGGTTATAGACGGTCAATCGACTTCAAATTTTAAGGATAATTGTATTGTCATGTCCTTAATAAGTATCAAAAAATTTAAAATTTTCTGATGGTATGCTTACAGCACGACAACTACCTTAAAGACCGCATTTTTGTTACTATACCCTGAAAATTTCGTACAAATCGAACGAACAGGCGGGCTATCCTCGACTTCACTCGCATTGCTCGTATGCGAACCAAAAACGAGTGGTTTATTTGCGAATAGTTTTATGAAATGGTATTCTTGACAACCGTTCGCAAACAAAAGCGTACACGATAAAATTAAGCGAGTGATAGATCTGACAACGCAGCATTTACTAGAGTGTTTTTGGTATTTTTATTTTTTTGTATTGGTATTACCTTGAAGTTTGTGTAAATTTGAAATTTGTGTTTGTTACCAATATTTTGTTTTGTGTGAAAATATTAATTATTAAATAAAGAAATGGAAAGAAAAGGAAACATTACAGAAAATCAAAAAAAGATAATCATTGAGTATATGTAGATTTCCAAACGATTTATTAGGTATTGAGTTAATTCTTTCGTCAAACGAAATACTTTAATAAAATGTAAGTCCGTTAAGTCTTCGAATGGATCAAATCGCTGCCTATAACGACGTCTTTGCCTTGCCTCCACATTTTCTAACACATTTATTAAAATTATCTGAATTAATTCATCCATATTCACAATGGAAGGTTATGTGACATAACTTATGTCAAAAGTTTGAATAAAACGAACACTTATCGACGAAAACGAATACAAATTCCGCTCGCTGTAAATCATTCGCTTTTAATGCGCATACGCAGCATGTGCGAGTGGCCAAGAATAAGAAACTAGATATTCGAACGCAAAAGCGTATGCGATTTTCAAACTCACTTGTCAAGGATAGCACCCCAGTAACGAAGATACAGCGCTTCAAAGTCGGTAAAAATTACCCCTTTTTATTATTTTGCTTAAAATTAGTAATTTTTGACGACTTTGAAAAAAAAAAGTCTTTTACAGCATATTTTTTATTTATTAAATTCTATAAAAGTTTTTTTTCGAGCGTTTTTTATTATTAAATAACCGTATTTTTTCGAAAAACCCTTGAACACGTATAAGTATTTTTATCCAAAATTTTATAAAGATTGGTAAAGGCGTTTTAAAGTTGGATTTTTTTTACTTGTTATGCGTTAATTTTGAAGCGCAGTGTATCAAAACCAAAAATCTTTATAATTTGGAAAGCAGTTTTATACTATGCAAAATAGTATAAAAAAATACCAATATATACATAATGTTTATAAGCATTTTTTCCTATTTTTAAATTTCAGCTTTTTTGGTCAGATTTTTTTTTGTTTTGTTTTTTTAGGATTTTACTTTTATATTGACAAAATGGTAAGGTTAAAAAGAATAATCTTTGGAAAAAAAATTAAAAATATAATATTGCTATAACACTTCCATTGTTATATAACAGAAAAAGTTACCCTATTGAGAGGGTATTGTAAAAATAACGGCATTCAATGAAAATCTATTGTTATTTAAAGTTTTATAAAAGTAAAGATAATTTTTGCTATATGAAAAAAAATGTTGGTTATATGAAAAAATTTTGGAAAAAGTTAAATATTATACAGTTTTGGCAATAATTAATATCGTCACCAAAAGATGTCACCAATTCTTTTTGAGCCTTGCGTGTATTTGTATAAATAATTATGTCAACATTTGTGTAGTGAAAAAAACCTAAACTGTACCACTTAAAATACAATACACAAGTGTTTAAAAATGTATGGCAAACCTGTGTAGGAAAAACAAAAATCCCTAGATTTGGGGACTTTTGTTTCTGCTACACAGGTTCGCCATACTTTTGAAAACACTCGTGTATTTGCAAAAGTCGATTGTATTTTAGGTAAAGTTTCAGTTTTTGCAATAATTATTTATGGAAATAACTCTCCAAATTGAAGCTTTTTTTGCTGTTAACTTGTAAAGGGTTGTCCAGAAGAAAAAAGTAAATACATTTTTTGGAGGAAAATTAGTCTTAGAACTGCAAAAAACTCTAAATAATTTTTTTAAGAATTAGTGAAAAAAACATTAATATAAACATTATTAAATTATTAAACCATTAATCCTGACTTTTGCTAACATTTAAAAAAATTTACTTTAATTTCGTATATCTCGCAAAATATTAATTTTAGACATTCAAATAATATGCAATTCTAAAAAATTTATAAATTATTTTAGAACCTCTGATTTTTTTTCCAATTTTCAAATGCGATTTTAATATACTTAATAACACAACTTTTCTCTAATTTAACCGACTCTTCAAATAAAATACCCATACATAGAAGAATACTATACCCTGTATAATGAATATTTATTTTTACTTGCATTTAATAAAATTGTTTACTATGAAGAAAAATCTTTGAAAATATCAAAATGAAATTTGCGTCACAAAAAATTAATTTTGTGCATTTTAATTTTGCCATTCTTAAAAAGCAAGAAATGAAAAATTTTCTACTAAAATTTGCGGATATTTTAGTCAAAAATTCATATTGACGAAAATATTCAAATAATTTAATAAAAATTTTAACAAAAAGGTGTGAACGCATTTTTGAGTATTTGTTGTTATATTTAATAAATTTTGCAATATTACGTTTACGTTTAAGTTTGCATTGAATATCACAATTTTAATTGCAATTAGTCATACCTTTGGCCAAAGCAAACACTTAAACACCAAACCAAAGACAGTGAGGTTTTTAAAGTGAAAAAAAAAACTATAAGAAAAAATGCACATACCCATTGTCAGTTTTAACGGTTAAAGCAAATCCACGTTGGTTCGTCTTGTTAGATTTGTTAGTGTTACGTTTTTTGTTTGCCTATAAATAAATAGAACAATTGCGAATTAGTATTAATAAATATCAAATTTAAAAGATTAATGCAACTTGTTTTAGTAGATAAGAAAAAGCAAAAAAATGTTCATGCAATAGGTTTTTAGTTAATAGTTATTATGGTGCAATAATTAATAGAAGTAAAGCAACAGCTTTCTTATGAAGTTGGCCACAAATGGTCACATGGTGAGTGACGTTACAAAACGAGTAGAAAACGATAAGATGAGTGACGAATTTCAAGATTTTTTTTCCAAATTAATAAATTTAGAAAGTTCCAAAATTTTAAATTGAAGTTTTTTTTTCAAAATTATTAAGTTTTCAAAATTCCAAAAATTTTAATTTTTTTATTCAAAACTATTAATTTTATTTATCTTCAAAGTTACCAAAATTTTGAAATTTAAGATTTTTTTTCAAAACTATTAAATTTTTTTATCTTCAAAGTTACCAACATTTTGAAGTTTACGATTTTTTTTCAAAATTATTAAAATTCCAAAAATTTTAATTTTTTTATCTTCTGTTTCCAACATTACGAAATTTAAGATTTATTCAAAATTATTAAATTTTCAAAATTAGATACAAACATTTTATTTTTTTTATCTTAAAAGTTTCAAAAAAATTGAAATTTAAGATTTTTTTTTCAAAATTATTAAATTTTGAAAATTCCAAAACTATTAATTTTTTTTATCTTCAGTTGGGTCATTCCACGTTACTCAGTAATTTTTGTCCCGCCCGTCACAATTAAAAATTGTGAGTAAAAACCACAAGTTATTAAATTATTATGTTATAATATTATTTTTATTGTGCTAATAAGCTTATTACAAGCATTACGGCCATTCCAAGCCCATGGACAGGACACATCAAAAACATGTCTAAATATATTCTTGTTACTTCCTTAAGTTTACTTATTTTTTCTACGAGTATTTATGAGAAGTATTAGCCAAATTTGGCTAATACTTCTCATAAATACTCGTAGAAAAAATAAGTAAACTTAAGGAAGTAACAAGAATATATTTAGACATGTTTTTGATGTGTCCTGTCCATGGGCTTGGAATGGCCGATTACAAACAATATTTTAAAATAAATTTAATAACGTATGGTTTTTACTCACATTTTTTTATTGTGACGGGCGGGACAAAAATTAGTGAGTAACGTGGAATGCCCGTTTCCAAAATTTTGAAATTTACGATTTTTTTTCAAAATTATCAAATTTGCAAAATTCCAAAAATATTAATTTTAATTTTTTTATCTTTAGTTTCCAAAATTTTGAAATTTAAGATTTTTTCAAAATTATTATATTTTCAAAATTACAAAAAATTTAATTTTTTTATCTTCCAACTTTCCAACCATTTTGAAATTAAAAAAAAATCCAAAATTTTCAAAATTATGTTATGTTTTTTAATCATTTTGATCATTTTATGTTTTTTCCACCTACATAAACTATTTGCATGCGAAATGTTTTTTTTAATACATAAAAAACTTTGTCCAGACTCAACTCACCGTATTCTTCCTGTTGGCCACGTTGAAGGTGGGCGGTCCGCCGCCGCCAGGTTTCCCCCTTCCCCCTCCTCTGCCGCCTCGTCCGCCGCCGTTATCGTAGCGACCGAAGGCGCCGCCCGCCTGGGGCGCACCTCTGCCGCCTCTCCCCACGGTGGGATTGTAGCCGGCCGGCACCATGCCTTGGTGCGGATGGTGGTGGTGGGGGTGGTGTTGATGCTGCTGCTGCTGCTGGCGGTAGCCGTAGTTCGCGCCCCACGAGCCCACCACCACGCCCGCCACCTGAAGTTGGCCGCCGCGGGCGGGGATGGGGCGCTGGCGCAGGGCGGCGGCGCCTCTGCTCGACGGTAACGGCACGGATGGCAGGCAGTGCGGGGGCGGCAAGCCTTGCCTTAGCATTCCTGCAAAGAAAAAAGTGGGTAAATACTTTTTTCTTTAAAAGAGCACGGTTTAAAAATGCGCGACATTTTTAAATTTGAATTTGGCGTTCTAAAATAAGTCTTGCCTAGGGTTTTAAAGTGTCGAAAAAAAAAACCAAAATTGTCTTTTTATGGGGAAATATATTTTTTTTTCCAGAAAATATACAAAGCAATCAACAACTTAACATTCTTTTAATTAAAAAAATATCCTTAAGGATAACACTAGGCAACAAATTTTAACTTAAAAAAAAGGTCCTGGTTAAAAATAGAATTTTTCGATTGTTTATGACTAAAATAGATCCAAAATGTTTTTAAAAAAATTTTCTGAAGTCGTAAATAAAAAATAAGAGCACAGTATTTTGGTACCATTTATTGCATAGATACACCATTTGAAAATTTTAGGATGACGTTACTTTTAACTTATATTTCAGCATTCCATGAACAACATATCTGTACATATTGTAAAAATTTAAGGCATGTTTTTTTTTGTTTAAGTACTGTTTTTTATCGTTCAAATTATTTTGTTTACTTATTTTTATCGTTATTATTTAACAATTTTTCTTTGTATCATGGTGCAGCCCGTATCGTCTAAACGAGACTTTGGAAAATTTTTTGGTCGCCGGATTTGCGTCGAGCAGGTCAAAATCTATAGGAGTGTGTTATTTTTATTACCGACCTTTTTTATTTACTAATTTTTATCGTTATTATTTAACAATTTTTCTTTGTATCATGGTCCTGCCCGTATCGTCTAAACAAGACTTTGGAAAATTTTTTGGTTGCCAGATTTGCGTCGAGCAGGTGAAAATCTATAGGACTGTGCTATTTTTATTACCGACCTTTTTTATTTACTAATTTTTATCGTTATTATTTAACAATTTTTCTTTGTATCATGGTGCTGCCCGTATCGTCTAAACGAGACTTTGGAAAATTTTTTGGTCGCCAGATTTGCCTCGAGCAGGTCAAAATCTATAGGAATGTGCTTTTTTTATTACCGACCTTTTTTATTTACTAATTTTTATCGTTATTATTTAACAATTTTTCTTTGTATCATGGTCCTGCCCTTATCGTCTAAACGAGACTTCGGAAAATTTTTTGGGCGCCGGATTTGCGTCGAGCAGGTCAAAATCTATAGGACTGAGCTATTTTTATTACCGACCTTTTTTTATTGTTTACTAGTGTAATACATTTATTACAAAAAAAACATTGAATTAAATTGTTTTGTTCTTTTTTTGCAAAATGAGTCAATTGAAAAGTTAAATTACAAAATTATAATTTTGTAAATCGATGTTTCAAATAAAACGACAGTTATTTTAATACGGCACCGAATTTGTTTTTTTTTGCGACCCAGTAGAAGATTCTTACTGAATTATAATATAATAGGAATAATTATTATAATCATGTTTATATATGCGTGTAAAAATTTTACAATTTAGTACACGAATAAAATATTATTATTATTAATTATAGTCATACTCAAAAATTCACTTTTTTCTTGATTATTATTATTATTATTTTCTTGATTATACACATATTTCAAAATTTTAAGAAAAAGTGCTAAAGTCAATTTTTCTGAAAACTTCACAATTTTTACGTTTTTTTCCCGGAAAAAAGGGTTTTTTTCCGCCGCCTCAATTTTTCCGGAACAATTTTTTTTTCTAATGGTGTTGAAAAATTAAAAGTACATTAAAAAACAAAAATTTTGGCGCCTATTTGAGCCCTTAATATTAATATTAAGGTTTGCCTCAATTCATTTGTTGTTTTTCCATTTCAATAACACCGGTTTTTTTTTTAAATTTTGAATTCTTATAACTTTAGAATGATTTGTTTTCGTAACACCCAAGCGAGAGGAGTTATAGACAATTTCACGCTCTACAAAAAACATCTGAAGGTTCTTCAGATCAACCGTTTCAAAGATATCAGTGATCAAAATAACACTAATTTTTTTTTTAAATATTTCAAATATTTTCAAACAGAACCCTAATATGTATAGATATAAAATCAAAAAGTATTTTAAAAATACTGAATTATAAAGATCCTATCAGGATGATAGAAATAATTATTATAATCATGTATTATATGATTATAATCAAAATCCAAAATTCACTTATTTCTTGATATCAGTGTACAGTTATTTGAAAATTTTCATAAAAATTGACCCTTTAATTTTTTTCGTAATACCCTTTAAATAAAATCAAAAAAGTGCAAAAGTCAATTTTTCTGAAAATTACCCAATTTTTACGTTTTTTTCCCCGAAAAAAAAACACGGTTTTTTTCCGCCGCCTCAATTTTTTCGGAAATTTTAAAACCCTAGTTTTGGCACTTCTAAATAATCATTATTTCTAAAAATGTTGATAACGTTCTAATTCTTGTTTAGTTTTTGACAGTAATAAATATAAAATCATCAAAAAGTATTTTAAAAATACTGAATTATAATGATAGAAATAAATAATTATTATAATCTGTATTATATCATAGTTAAAAAAAATTCACTTTTTTCTTGATGAAATTTTCAAAAAAATGACCTTTTAATTTTTTTCGTATTACCCTTTAAATAAAATGAAAAAAGTGCAAAAGTCAATTTTTCTAAAAATTTCACAATTTTTTCGGTTTTTTTTCGGAAATTTTTTTTTCTGCAGCCTCAATTTTTCCGGAAATTTTAAAACCTTCTAAATAATCATTATTTCTAAAAATGTTAATAACCTTCTAAAATGTAATAACTTTTGTTATGTTTTTGACAGAAATAGATATAAAATCTTAAAAAAATATTTTAAAAATTGTTATCTGCAAATCTTTAAACACATTTAAATAATCAATGCGTCTATTGCATCACAGATTTTTATATGCTTCCATAACACACCACAAAAACTATAATAAAAATTGATTTGGTACTTGGAGGAAGCTATTTTTAATAAATAATATGCACAAAAACAATATTTTCAAAATTTCAAAAAGCCACCTTGAAAAGTTGAATAACATTGGGACAAAAAAACAAAATATTAAGGTTAACTTACCTCCAGGGAACGCAGCCATGGGAACCTTGGCAAACTTAACCTCCAAACCCTCGAGAATGGCCTTGCGCATGCGCTCGACCTTCACGACTCGGTCGATGTAGTTCTCGCACAGCTCCAGAATGTTTTTCGCCTGCGTGGACCTGTTCAGGGTGTAGTGGAAGAGCTTGCCGTCGAAGTAGAGCCAGGGGCAGCACATCAGCCAGGGCAGCGGCGCGCCGCAAGCGTCGTTGGCCAGGAGGGCCATGTCGACGCCTTCCATGAACAGGGCTGCCAACTGCACGCCTCTGCTCGTCACCATGGTCAGCTGAATTACGAATTACTTGTTTTAATCAAATATAAAAATTTACGCGCTAAAAGAAGTTTAGCTTTAAAAACAATTTATAATGTTTAAACGCTTTACAAAGTGGTATAATTGAAGAACGTTTATCGCAAAGGAACCAAGCGCCAAAAACTTTTTCTGGGCCAAACAAAATTATTTGAAAAACAACTTATTTTTAATGCCGTTCAAAAAATTAATAATGATTTGGGAACCCTCTCAATCCTTTTGAGAAAAGTTCCAAATGATTATCAACCTTTTGAGCATTACTAAAAATGAGTTATTTTACAAATAATTTTACCAAGCTCAGAAAAAGTTTTTGGCGCTTGGATCCTTTTCGATAAAATTATAATACAATTATACCACTTTGTAATGCGCTTAAACATCATGAATTGTAAAATTTATATATTTGATTTTTATAATTTACGGATCACAGATTGTACTTTATTTATTGCAAGTAATTTGTTAGTAGATTAGGCTGAAGTATGTTTTTAATGAAGATCTTTAATTTTCCAAAATATTATAGTTTTTAAGATTTTTCAAGTTTGCGCGAAATAATAAAATCTTTATCAAATTAATCGAGCAATTCTTAAATATTAAAATAAAATTCGAAATATTATATCAATTAAGATATGTAATCCGTACAAATTTTCATTTGGAAGTTTGCATTTGTTGAAGAATATAATATATTCTTATTATGTTAACTTTTTGCAAGATGCTTATTTAAGAAAAGTGTGAAGATTATGAATTTTGAAAAAATTTTAAGAAATGAAATTAAAACCTTATTTAATTTTATTTAATTATCGTTTTTGAGAAATTATTTGGATTCAGAATATTTTTTTTAGTTACAGTTTTTTAAACATTATAAAATGTGGTGTGAAGTTTAAACAAAAAGTGTTTTGGACGTGTTTTTACACAAGATCTTTAATTTTCCAAAATATTATACTTTTTAAGATTTAACTACGAGTTTCGATCAGTTTTGGGCGAAATAAAAAGTTGTTTATCAAATTTATTCTTAAATATTAAAATATAATTCGAAATAATGAATTAATTAAGAAATTTAAACATGTAATCCGTACAAATTTTCATTTGGAAGTTTGCATTTGTTGAAGAATATAATATATTCTTATTATGATAACTTTTTGTAAGATGCTTATTTAAGAAAAGTGTAAAGATTATGAATTTTGAAAAAATTTTAAGAAATGACATTACAACCTTATTTAATTTTATTTAATTATCATTTTTGATAAATTATTTGGGTGCAGAATTTTTTTTCAGTTACAGTTTTTAAACATTATAAAATGTGGTGTGAGGTTTAAAAAAAAGTGTTTTGGATATGTTTTTACACAAGATCTTTAATTTTAAAAAATTTTATAATTTTTAAGATTTAACTACGAGTTTTGATCAGTTTTGCGCGAAATAAAAAGTTGTTTATCAAATTTATTCTTAAGTATTAAAATAAAATTCGAAATATTAAATAAATTAAGATATTTTAACATGTAATCCGTACAAATTTTTATTTGGAAGTTTGCATTTGTTGAAGAATATAATATATTCTTATTATGTCAACTTTTTGTAAGATGCTTATTTAAGAAAAGTGTGAAGATTATGAATTTTGAAAAAAATTTAAGAAATGAAATTAAAACCTTATTTAAAGATTTACGAGTTTCGATCAGTTTTGCGCGAAATAAAAAGTTGTTTATCAAATTTATTCTTAAATATTAAAATATAATTCGAAATATTAAATCTATTAAGATATTTAAACATGTAATCCGTACAAATTTTCATTTGGAAGTTTGCATTTGTTGAAGAATATAATATATTCTTATTATGTCAACTTTTTGTAAGATGCTTATTTAAGAAAAGTGCGAAGATTATGAATTTTGAAAAAAATGGAAGAAATGAAATTAAAACCTTATTTAATTTTATTTAATTATCGTTTTTGATAAATTATTTGGATGCAGACATTTTTTTTAGTTACAGTTTTTTAAACATTATAAAATGTGGTGTGACGTTTAAAAAAAAGTGTTTTGGACATGTTATTAAGCAAGATCTTTAATTTTCCAAAATATTATACTTTTTAAGATTTAACTACGAGTTTCGATAATATTTGCGCGAAATAAAAAGTTGTTTATCAAATTTATTGTTAAGTATTAAAATATAATTCGAAATATTAAATCATTTAAGATATTTAAACATGTAATCCGTACAAATTTTCATTTGGAAGTTTGCATTTGTTGAAGAATATAATATATTCTTATAATGGTAACTTTTTGTAGGATGCTTATTTAAGAAAAGTGTGAAGATTATGAATTTTGAAAAAATTTTAAGAAATGAAATTAAAACCTTATTTAATTTTATTTAATTATCATTTTTGATAAATTATTTGGGTGCAGAATTTTTTTTCAGTTACAGTTTTTAAACATTATAAAATGTGGTGGGAGGTTTAAAAAAAAGTGTTTTGGACATGTTTTTTAAACAAGATCTTTAATTTTCCAAAATATTTACTTTTAAAGATTTACGAGTTTCGATCAGTTTTGCGCGAAATAAAAAGTTGTTTATCAAATTTATTCTTAAATATTAAAATATAATTCGAAATATTAAATCTATTAAGATATTTAAACATGTAATCCGTACAAATTTTCATTTGGAAGTTTGCATTTGTTGAAGAATATAATATATTCTTATTATGTCAACTTTTTGTAAGATGCTTATTTAAGAAAAGTGCGAAGATTATGAATTTTGAAAAAAATGGAAGAAATGAAATTAAAACCTTATTTAATTTTATTTAATTATCGTTTTTGATAAATTATTTGGATGCAGACATTTTTTTTAGTTACAGTTTTTTAAACATTATAAAATGTGGTGTGACGTTTAAAAAAAAGTGTTTTGGACATGTTATTAAGCAAGATCTTTAATTTTCCAAAATATTATACTTTTTAAGATTTAACTACGAGTTTCGATAATATTTGCGCGAAATAAAAAGTTGTTTATCAAATTTATTGTTAAGTATTAAAATATAATTCGAAATATTAAATCATTTAAGATATTTAAACATGTAATCCGTACAAATTTTCATTTGGAAGTTTGCATTTGTTGAAGAATATAATATATTCTTATAATGGTAACTTTTTGTAGGATGCTTATTTAAGAAAAGTGTGAAGATTATGAATTTTGAAAAAATTTTAAGAAATGAAATTAAAACCTTATTTAATTTTATTTAATTATCATTTTTGATAAATTATTTGGGTGCAGAATTTTTTTTCAGTTACAGTTTTTAAACATTATAAAATGTGGTGTGAGGTTTAAAAAAAAGTGTTTTGGACATGTTTTTAAACAAGATCTTTAATCTTCCAAAATCTTATACTTTTTAAGATTTAACTACGAGTTTCGATAATATTTGCGCGAAATAAAAAGTTGTTTATCAAATTTATTGTTAAGTATTAAAATAAAATTCGATATATTATATCAATTAAGATATTTAGACATGTAATCCGTACAAATTTTCATTTGGAAGTTTGCATTTTTTAAAGAATTAATATATTCTTATTATGGTAACTTTTTGTAGGATGCTTATTTAAGAAAAGTGTGAAGATTATGAATTTTGAAAAAAATTTAAGAAATGAAATTAAAACCTTATTTAATTTTATTTAATTATCGTTTTTGATAAATTTTTTGGATGCAGACATTTTTTTTCAGTTACAGTTTTTTAAACATTATAAAATGTGGTGTGAGGTTTAAAAAAAAGTGTTTAGGACATGTTTTTAAACAAGATCTTTAATTTTCCAAAATATTATAATTTTCAAGATTTAACTACGAGTTTTGATCAGTTTTGCGCAAAATAAGAAGTTGTTTATCAAATTTATTCTTAAATATTAAAATATAATTCGAAATATTAAATCAATTAAGATATTTAAACATGTAATCCGTACAAATTTTCATTTGGAAGTTTGCATTTGTTGAAGAATATAATATATTCTTATTATGATAACTTTTTGTAAGATGCTTATTTAAGAAAAGTGTGAAGATTATGAATTTTGAAAAAAAATTAAGAAATGAAATTAAAACCTTATTTAATTTTATTTAATTATCGTTTTTGATAAATTATTTGAGTGGAGAAATTTTTTTTTCAGTTACAGTTTTCTAAACATTATAAAATGTGTTTTAAACAAAAAGTGTTTTGAACGTGTTTTTAAACAAGATCTATAATTTTCCAAAATATTATACTTTTTAAGATTTAACTACGAGTTTCGATCAGTTTTGCGCGAAATAAAAAGTTAAGACCTTCATTAATTGTATTTAATTATAGTTTTTAATAAATTATTTGGATAAAATTTTTTTTTCAGTTACAGTTTTTTTAAACATGAAATGTTAAAAAAAGTGTTTTTAACATTCCAACTTGCCACTGTGGCAATGGCGCATTCGCTAGGATTTCGCGGTACTCACCGTCAACTCTTGCAGATACTGGGGGTTCATCAGGTTGGGGTTGAAGGCGTGACACAGGAAGGCGTCCAGTTCGTTTCTTCTCAGAATAGCTCGATCCTGCGACATGACGTACCTCAGGACGCAGGCCATCATGAGCATGTGGTGAGGCACGTGGTCCGTGTTCAGGATCAACGGCGTGTCGGAATTCAGGCAGGACAGCAGGGCGCGCATCCTGCGACGTTTGTCGTCGACCGACGGCCCGAACCAGAGGCGTTGCAGGGTGGGCACCGCCCACGGCAGGGGCTCCGCCTTTATTTCGACGGGTTTTTGGAACGGGTTGGCGCGCGTGTACACCCACTCTTTCACTATGATGTCGGGTTGCGGGCAGTTTTCCGGTAGATCATTGTTTTCTTGAATAAATAATTTCATGTTTTTAACAATCTCATTGGAGATGTAAAAAACGTTTTTTTAAATAGAAAAAAAAAATGTTTTCAAAACCGCTACAATAATTTACAATAAAGTAAAATAATTTTGTAAAGAACAAACATTTCTGCACAAAATTTAATTTTTAGGGTTTTTTAGGCCTAGAAAATTATATTTTTTGAAAAAATAAATGTAGGTTGTAGAGGGCGCTGTTTGCAAAACATTGCATACGTTTAAATTGTCACATCTTTTTTGCGCCTTAGTTTAAACATATTATATTAAAAATAAAACCTTTTTCATCTTTATTACGCAAAAACCCCTTTAAAAATTTACATATGTGGACTCTTAGAAATTATACATATTTTACGTGATAAAGATAAAAATGTAGTATTTTTATTAAAAAACGTGAATACACTAGGCCCTCTACAACCTACATAAACTTTTTTTCGGACTGAAAAACCCCCAAAAATCAAATTTTGTGCAAAAACGTTCGTTTTTTCCAAAGTTATTTAATAAAATCAAAAACGAACTTTTAAACTTTCAAAAAGTAATTTCCTGCAAAAGATGTATTTACTTTTTTGCTAAAATTATATTTATATTTTACTGCTAAATTAAGCGAAAGAGGGACCAAAAGGTCAAAACTTACTTAATTAATAAAAGAAAGTTTGAAAAAAAACAGAAAGTGTAAAAAAAACTATTTGAACAAAAAACATTAAAAAAAACAAAGTTTTTTCACATTACATCTCTAATTTTAACATTCTTAAGTCTTGAAACAAGTTTGTTTTCAGCGTTCTAAAATAAATTAAATATGTACCTATTTTTTTAAGTCTTGATATAACTAAATTCTTTTTTTTGGCATTCTTAAATTGTTTTTTTTTTATAAAAATATCGTTATTTTTTGTACAAAACGCGATTCAGATTTGTAATCAGCGTGTATTAATGAAATCCTTGAATAAATCTTGAAAATTTTAAATAAGTTTTTTGACATTCTAAAATAACATCCTTAAATTGTTTTTATGAAAAAATTCGATATTTTTTTTACAAAATGCGATTAGGATTTGTAATCTTCGTGTATTAATAAAATCATTAAATATATCTTGGGAATTTTAAATTAGTTTTTTGACATTCTAAAGTAACATATTAGTTAGTTATTTAATAAAATCAAAAACGAACTTTTAAACTTTCAAAAACTAACTTCCTGAAAAAGATGTATTTACCTTTTTGCTAAAATTTTAAATATTTTACTGCTTACTTAATTAATAAAAGAAAGTTTGAAAATAAAACATAAAATGTAAAAAAAACTATTTGAACAAAAAACATTAAAGAAACGAAGTTTTTTTACGTTACATATATCTAGTTTTTTGCATTCTAAAATAACATTCTTAAATTGTTTTTTATAAAAAAATCGATATTTTTTACCAAATGCGATTAGGATTTGTAATCTGCGTGTATCAATAAAATCCTTCAATAAATCTTGGGAATTTTAAATTAGTTTTTTGACATTCTAAAATAACATATTAGTTGATTATTTAATAAAATCAAAAACGAACTTTTAAACTTTTAAAAAGTAATTTCCTGCAAAAGATGTATTTACTTTTTTGCTACAATTTTAAATTATATTTTACTGCTAAATTAAGCAAAAAAGGGACCAAAAGGTCAAAATTTACTTAATTAATAAAAGAAAGTTTGAAAAAAAACATAAAATTTAAAAAAACTATTTGAACAAAAAACATCAAAAAAAGTTTTTTCACGTTACATATTTAGTTATAAAATTCTTAAGTCTTGAAACAAGTTTGTTTTTAGCGTTCTAAAATAAATTAAATGTGTACCTAGTTTTTAAGTCTTGATATTACTAAATTCTTTCTTTTTTTGTTCGTTCAAAAATGTTGAATTTGTTCCAAAATGTATCAATAAAATCCTTGAATAAATCTTGGGAATTTTGTTGGCATTCTAAAATAACATTCTTAAATTGTTTTTTATAAACAAATCCATATTTTTTCACCAAATGCGATTAAGATTTGTAATCTGCACGTATCAATAAAATTCTTGAATAAATCTTGGGAATTTTAAATTAGTTATTTTGTCTTGTTTTTTTATAAAAAAAAAATCGATATTTTTTGTACAAAATGCGGTTGTGATTTGTAATCTGCGTGTATCCATAAAATCTTGGGAATTTTAATTTAGTATTTTAACATTCTAAAATAACGTGGGCACTTAAATTATTTTTTATATAAAAAAACGATATTTTCTTACAAAATGCGAAGTTTTGTAATCTGCGTTTGTTTGGAGCCAACCAACATGAATTAGTAGGCTCTATTGCATCGCAAATAATAATCTGCTTCCATATCACACCAAACAAACCATGGTAAAGTTAATTTGGTACTTGGAGGAAGCCCTACATGAGGGGTACGAAAACGAACACAAAATTCCCACTTTGACACTCACCTTTTTTCTTGCTGTGCACGTATCGCAGATGGTGCAAGTTGAACAAAACGGCGTAGACGTGCTGCCGCAGCATTTGATAGACCTCGTGTATGGGCGGCAGCTCGCGGTTCGCCTCGTCCTCCATGAGACAGGGAAGGCGCACCTCCTGGATGCTCAGAACGTGCAGGATCATGGGCGCCATCAGGCCCTTCTGGTGACGCAGGGACGCCGTCCGCAAGACGTCCGGCGACACGGACGGCGTGACGAGGTTCGAACTCGCTAAAAATGTTCAAGGGCGTCTAACTTCTTGTTTTTTTTTTTTAATTTAAAACGCGTTTTGCCTTTTTCAAATGAGTCGTTTAATCTCCTTTGAAGAATATTTTAAGTAAACGGCAAAAAACCATTTTAAACAGTAATGGGTAAAAAATGAATATATTTTGAAAAACTTGTTCATATGGCAACTGAAAATATTTTTTCTACAAAATAAGTAAGCAGATTTAAGTTTTAATTACAAAAACATATTTTTTAAAGTACATTTTTGTACTTAAAACTTTAATGAATTATTTTTCTTGGAAATAGCCGTTTTTGTTCGGATATAACTTTACACTAATATACTACGTAATATTTCGATTGTATTGGTGTATATAACTAAGTTTTAAAAATTTTGGAGATGGCCCTTTTTGAAACTAGACGTCTCAAATACGCTTTTAATTAACATTCTTAAATAAACAAAGTTATGGCACGCCATTTCACTGTTTAATCGTAAATTTTTTAAATGTAAAAGAAAATTGAAGTAGGTCTTTTAAAGTTATGGAATATATTAATTATTATAATTTAAATTGACATAATAATAATTAAATAAAATAATTAAAATTAAATAGAATAAAATAATTAAATAAATTTCAAGCATAAATTTAATTCAAATTTAATGGAAACTGATAAGAAAAATAGCGCCGTTTTAGCATTTATTAGATAATAGTTTGAAGAATAAAGTTTAGCACTTAAATGATGTTTTAACAGAAATTTACAAAGTTAATTTTTTTAAACTCAAAACAATTGATAATTAAATTTAAATATAAAATACAACTGTAAAACTTTAAGCTTAAAAATATTGATTTTTAAAAATTTTATTACAAATATATCTTTCTACAAAATTATCTGTTTAAATTTGTAAAGAGTCATTTAAATGATAGTGATAAGTGGTAATTTTTGGATTAAAAATTTATCGACTATCATTTAAATGACTGACAAATTTAAACACATTTTTTTTATTTTTAACAATTTTAAATTGATACATTTTTAACACCAAGTCGGTAATATTTAATTTACAAAATGTAAACCTAGCTTTAGCAGACGGCGTACGCCACAGACCTACAAACAAGTTTGTAGGTCTGTGGCGTACGCCAATTTTTTAAAACCAATATTTTAAACTTAATCTTTTGCATTTTATATTTAAATATTTTGTTGATTATCAATTGTTTCGAGTTTAAAAAAATTAACTTTTTTTTGGTAAAAAATGTTTTATATGTGTTTTTATTTTAAATGTCTCTACCATATTTTTAAATATTAATAATTTAACTTTACTAATTTAATCTAAATAATTTTATAAAATTTAAGATTAACAAATTCTGCCCAAATAAATTATACTTCAGAAATTATTATCTATTAAAAAAAGATGGTTAAAAATTTTTGCAAAAATTGATTTTTTTACTACAGAAGTAAATTTTGTTTTTCAATAGTTGATAGTTGAAAATATTTTAAATTTATAAATGTAAACATAGAATTTTTAGTAAGGAAAATTTTAAACCAATAAATTTTTAAATTAAAAAAATTATTTAATAAATGTTAAAACGGCGTGCCATAGAATTATTATTATGTCTAGGCATAATAATAATTATTTTTTATGATACATTTTAATTTCATAGGCAATTTTTTGTTACATTTAAATATTTTATTTTGTTCATTTTTATTTCATATGAGGTTCTTTACTTTTTACTTCGAAATTTATATTGGAATTATTGTTAGACTAAAAACATTGGTAAACAATTTTTCTTTTGAAGCCAGATTTTTAAACTATTTTTTTTATTCTATTATTTTTTAAGTTGCAATTTCTTATTTATAACACGACAATCATTTTTATTTTACAATTTATTTTAGGTGTACACATAATTTTAATTCTAATAAAAAATGATACAATTAACTGTAAAATTAATACAATGAATTTTTATGTTACCAATAAAATTATGACTTTACATAATAAGAATTATAGAATTAATTTTATGTGTACACATAAAATTATATTATGTCTACGCATAAAATTAATTTGGCGCTTTGGGAATGCGGCAGGAAGTGGCAACTGCAGTAGTTCAAATGCATAGTCAGTATTTATGCGTAATTTATCTACGTCAACTTTGGGTTTTGTTCTTGTATCTATATCATTATAGAAATTATTTCTATGTATATAATTCATAAAACTAGAAGGCTCTAGTTTTGTGATATTATATGGCGTGGGTAAATTAAACATTAAACATTTAAACCAAAGATAATATAGTATTTTTGATTTAAACTACTGCAGTTGCCACTTTCGGCCGCACTTTCGCATTGGCAAAGTAATTTTATGTGTAGGCATAAAATTAATTATATAATTTTATCTGTACACATAAAATTAATTCCAAATTTTTTATTATATAATAATAGTCATAATTTTAATTACAACATAAAAATTCAGTGCATTAATTTTATGTGTACACATAATCATGATGGCACGCACTTTTTAATTGTTTAAGAAATATTAATGTGTCACAAAAATATTGCATACAGAAAAATTACATTAAATAAATAATTCAACATCTTATATTTAAAAAAAGCAATTTATTTTTAAGTTTTAATATTTAATATTTTTTATCTGATTAAAAAGTGAAACGGCGTGTCATACAAAGTAGAGCTAGGAGAAAAAATATTTAACGAATAAAAAATTCAAAAAAGTCAATTTTTTGAATGATTATAATTGGAAAACTAAGTAAATTTTTTTCTTACCGTTGGAACGTGATGAAGAAAGTGCTGCTTTCGGAGAAGATTGCGAACTACTATCGGAACTATTCGAGCTAATTTGGTTTTTAGAGCTGCCCGCGGTACTCTGAGGTACCGATAGGGAACCATTCGAGACTCCGTTAAATCGAGACGTTTCAGATGAAAAATTAGAAGAATCCCCTGATTACAAAACAAAATTTAACATGGTACTAAATTATAGTAAATTTAAAAGTAAATTACGTACACGTCATCAATAAAACAAAAATTTTACGCATTGGTACCAACACTAAATGACTAAATCGGAGTCTGTAATTGAATATTTGAATGCATTTTAACCAAATTAAGTTGGCAACAATTGTGATGTTGTCATGTTTACATTCAAATTTTTCATATTTAAATGACACATAAAAAAGAATTTGACGTTTTAGAATTTCGAAGCTGTCAGTTGTGTTTTTGAATATTTCATTTAATTCGTGTATTATTTCGTTTATTTTGTTTGTTGTTTGTGTTATTTTATATCGTTTAAGTTTTCATTGCCGTTTTTGTGTTTGTTATGTATCGTTTTTTTGTGTTTCCTATATTTAAAATGCCGAAGCATTTAAATAGTCGGAGTCAAGAGTTGGTGTCATCCTTAATACGCTATTTTGAGGCAGAACGGGATAATAATGGACCTTTGTTACCTTTAACAGCTGTTAGAGAGGTAAATAGGATTATTATTAATTATATATTAGAATATTTATCAAAATATATGTTGGATACCTGAAATAATAATATATATACCAGAGACTGACTTTAGATGGCAAAATTTTTGGGTTTTATATCAGAAAATGTCTTTAAAAATGGCTAAAAACATACTTTTGGCGGTGCATCATATAGGTTATAAAAACTCAGACTTTTGACATTTTGGTATTATTCATGTAAACGCCATCTATCGCCCTGTAGTTGCACTACCACTTTCCCTTGATGCAAGGATTTTAGCATCACATTGACAACCGTGCCCGATCAGCTGATTGATGACGTGTACGTAGTTTACTTTTAAATTTACTATATGTATGTATTGATATTACCGTTGTGTGAATTTTTTAGGGAGTTTCCCTCGAGCCCATCAAAATCGGATAATACTGAAATAGCCGTTACGTTTTTGTAGTTCTGAAGACTTTCTTGCTGCAAGGTAATGCAATATTTTTTTAAGTAAAAAAATAATTTTGTTTTTTAAACGCACCTCTTGTTCTGTAGTTTCCGAAGCGAACCCGGAAGTGTCGAGATCGTGATCGTCAGCCTTTATACTCGTGTTGTTGCAATTGTTTGCGACGGGCGACGCGACTTTTTCGGTTTGTTCCGCCGCCGCCGCCACTTTTGTCGTTTTGTTTTTGTCTTTCGGGTTGACCGCGGGCGCGCAGTACTTGAGGAACCCGCTGGCAGTGCCGTTCAGATAGTACTGAACCGATTGTCGGAATTTCGAGGCGCGTTTGTCGCTTAAAGTGTCGAAAACGGCCGACACTAGCGCGTCCATGTCGCTGGGCGGAGGCAAAGTGCGCACAAACTCAGCCAGAGATTTTATGCTACCCTCTGGACCCTAGGGTAAAACAACTTTTTCGATTATCGTCCACAGATTTTGAGATTACACCGAGAGGTAAATTTACGCGGCAAAAACACAATTTTTGAAACAGTAAAACGCATTTGATGAATCTTTATAACAAATACATGAAAGAATCTTCAAAAATACTTTCGGAATCTTGGCTTTTCGTGTTAAAAAGGGTGTTAACGCATAACAAGTAAAAAAAAATCTAAAACGCCTTTACCAATCAAATTTTGGATAAAAATACTTTAAATTATATCTCAGTTTACGTGTTCAAGCGTTTTTCGACAATATAGCCCTTTTATTAAATAATAAAAAACGCTCGAAAAAAAAACCTTTTTGTTAGTATACCCTAAAAATGTTGTACAAATCAAACCAACAGTAACGAAAATACAGTGCTTCAAAGTCGTCAAAAATAATCAAAAATGGGTCATTTTTACCGACTTTGAAGCGCTGTATAATTGTTAATATTCGTTTGATTTTTTCAAAATTTTAATTTTAACAGCATATTTTTTATTTGCTTAAAAAAACGTTTTTTTGTTAAAGATTTTAAGAGAGTTATGAAAAAATGAAAAAAGGACAAAAATTACCGCCAACCTGGTCTTAAAAGTAATGTTTTTTTTTTAAATTTGATAATAAGTATTGTATTTAAGAATGGTGATTATTTTTTTTACTCCTATTACATAAAATTGTTTGTTTTAATATACTTTGCATATTATACAGTGTGTCCACGGATTGGGTTGAAAATAAAGAAAAACTTTTTTATTATGCGAAAAAAATATTTTATATAAAAATTCGTGCTTGTTTCAAAAATAAGATTCCTATAGAAACATTTTGAATTACATGCACAGGGTGCTCAGAATTTAAGAAAACATAAAATCCTAGAAGTGCGCTTTATGGAAAAATTCTTTATAAAAATATTTGAGTTGACAATTTTGTAGAAGTTTCTTTTGTTGTTTTTTAAGAAAAATTTTGACTAAAAATGACAATTTTGTAGAAGTTTCTTTTGTTGTTTTTTAAGACAAATTTTGGTTGTGATATATCATTTTAAAAAGAATTTAATAAAATATAACCTAAAAATATATATTTTTTAAATTACTTTTTAAAAAAAGCACGACAACTACCTTAATTAAACGCAGTCAGGTTGACCTATTTAAATTTAATTTTTAGGATTTAGGAGTTTTAGGAGATTGAATGCAATTTTAGGAGAATTTTAGGAGTTTTCAAGATTTAAGCCAAACTTTAGAAATTTTATGAGGTTTAGGAGGAGTGGGAGCCCTGATATATATCAAGAATCTGGGAATCGCAAAAAATCATTCTTCAAAAAATGAGATTCCTATAAAAACATTTTTATATGTCGTCAAAAATTAAAAAAAAAAAACAGAAAAATGCTACAAGAGGGTAGTACAATTTTTGTATGGGTGTCTCATTTTTGAAACAAGGATAACGCATAATAAAAATAAGTATTCATATTGTCAACAATCATGATATTGGCTAAAAGGTGGTTAAAAAATTTTGGCGAAATTTAAATGTTAACTTAATAATATATTTTTTAAACTTTGAAGGTTATTCATAATAAAAATTATAAACAAATATTTCTAATATTTGTTTAACAAATTATGTTTGCGCCATGTTGCAATCGCCAAAATTGGCGATCGCTCCCTGGTACAAACAATAAACATTTATTTTAAATAGGAAATTTGAAACATAAAAAAAATACGCGAATATTGAAATTAATAATACAAAATAATTTTATATCATTTGGTTAGACTTAGCCTCCTTCGCTTCTTTAATACCAAATACTTTTGAAAAAAATTAGTAAATTTAGCAGCCTTAAAGACAAACAAAGTCACGTGTTTGGAAAAATATTTAAAGAATATTTTTTTCGGCGTAAATTTACCTCTCAGACCACTGCGACTGCGCCAAAACATCAATGTATTATAGTATGCAAAAAAGTTGTGTTTTTACATTCTTAAACATTCCAAAATGTAGTTTTACCAGTCTGGAATGTTTTTTTAATATTCACAAACAATTTTGACATTTAAATACTACTACGACGAAAGTGAATGTAAGAAATAAACAAAATAAAAATTGCACTTACATTTTCTGGAGTGGCGACTGCAACGTTAAGCTTCTTGTACAGGTCTTGCAGTTCGGTTTCGGGCAGCAAAAAGTTGCCCAACAGGGCGGACATGACGCACACTTGTTCCTGATTGATCTTGAGGGATTTGGTCAGCTCGCTGATCATGTACTCTTTGGTTTCGATGGATCCCTTGTAGGTGAGCTTGAGATTTTCCGAGGAAAAATATCGGGGCGGGTCGAAGGCCGCGTACTCAGCATCGTCGGCCAAAAGACCGTGAAAACCGTACTCTCGGCAGTAGGCGATCACTTCCTGGTGGTGGTCGTCCATAGTGCACATCTGAAATTATCCATTTCTTCACAATCCACACAACAAGGTCTGTTCTATCTCATGCTAAAAATACTAAAAATCACTGCAACACTGAGTTTAACGGCGACCATTTTTGTTGTTTACAATTCTTGTGCTTTGGGTTTGTGCTGTTTAATAATTGTTTTAAACGTTGGGTTTCTTTCAGAGGCACTTGTAAGCCTCAAATAAGGCCTTTAAGTGCTGACAACCATTTTACTCCTCTTTTAAAATAAATATACCTTATTCTATCAGGGCTGTCAAATGACAATTTGAAGGTTAATTAGTGAGTTATAATTTAACCTTAAAATTGACATTTGACAGTTTTATGACAGCCCTGATAGAATAAAGTTTATTTTTTACAATAGAGGAGTAAAATGGTTGTTTTTAGCACTTTAAGGCCTCTTTTAAGGCTTACTATGAGAAACACACACAAAACGATTATTAATCTGTATAAACAGAGCACAAACTCAAAGCACAAAAATTGTAAACAACAAAAATGGCCGCCGTTAACCTGTGCAGTGTTGCAGTGACTTTTTGTATTTTTAGTACGAGATAGAACAGACCTTGTTGTGTGGATTTTTTGAAGTTGCACTTCTTCTGGCGTGTTTGAGAGTAATGGCGGGTTTATACAACTTTATATCATTAATTTATTTCATAATTCACAATTTAGTGCATAAGCATAAGAGTTAAATCATACTATATGCTATGACACAGTTTATACAACGATTTAATCCGTAACTCACAATTTAGTGTTTATTGAATAACCTTGAAAGTTCATAAAATTTTACTTTTATGAAATAAATTATGAATTATAAATAGGATTTGACAGCGCATTTGCCAAAAATTTTTCTCCAATTTTTAAGGTTATAAATAATAATTATTGTGTTTTGTGTTAGTGCCTTGAAAAATACTACAAAAATACCTATAAAACATGAGTTTTAATGAGGGATTTTTAATTATCAATATTGTCATTTGAAAAAATAAAATATATACAGTGCCCGTCAAAATTAACGCATATGTAAAAACTCTAAAACGCCTTTACCAATCTTTATAAAATTTTGGATAAAAATACTTTAACTTATATCTCAGTTTACGTGTTCAAGGGTTTTTCGAGAAAATATCCTTAAGACCCTTATTTAATAATAAAAAAACGCTCAAAAAAAACTTTTATAAAAAATATGCTGAGAAATACCGTATTTTTGTAACGAACAGTAACGAAAATACAGTCGTCAAAAATGACCACTTTTCAGCAAAATAATCAAAAAGGGGTCATTTTTACCGAAAGTCGGTAAAAATGACCCCTTTTTGATTATTTTTCTGAAAATTGGTCATTTTTGACGACTGTATTTTCGTTACTGTTACGAAGATACAGTATCTTCGTTACTGTTCGTTTGATTTGTACAAAAATTTTCAGGGTATACTAACAAAAATACGGTCTTTTACAGCATATCTTTTATTTCCCTAGTTATTTTTCAAACTTTTTTTATTATTAAATAAAAGGGCTTTAAATATATTATCTCGAAAAACCCTCGAACACGTAAACAGAGATATAAGTTGAAGTATTTTTAAACAAAATTTCATAAAGATTAGTAAAGAATTTTTTACTTAATATGCGTTAATTTTGACGCGCAGTGTAGAAAAAAAAATAAAACTAAACTTTCAATTACATTAAATTGATTTAAGAAAATAAAAGTAAAAAAAACAGTCTATTGAAAATATCCAAATACAAAATAATGATATTATGATTATATTCAACCTAAATTCTCTTTTTTCTCAGTATCAGTGTATGAATAGTACCTTTTTTCTCAGTATCCGTAAAAATTTGCAAATTTAAAAAAAAATTTACTTTTGCATTTTTTCGTATTACCCTTTGAATAAAATTGATGAAAAATTTCCCGATTTTTCGTTTTTTTTTCTGAAAAAAAAAGGTTTTTTTTTCTGATAAAAAAAAGGTTTTTTTTTTCGAAAAAAAAAAACGGTTTTTTTCGCCGGCTCAATTTTTACGAAATTTTAAAACCCTAGTTAACATCACACCATAGACAATGATTAACACTTAAAATTCAAATATATTAATTAAATTAAGATTCTGTCATAGGATTTCTGTTAATTATTGGTAGGTATGTATTTTTGTATTATTTATTTTTTATTTTATTTTTCACTATGTTTTAAACATTATAAACTTTATTTTAGTAACAACATTCCAAAACATGTTTTTTGACTTTAAAATATGCTCCAAACATTCTAAATTGTGATTTTGACATTGTAATAGTTCTTAAAAAAAAATTAAATGTATTTTTTAAATTTCCCTGTATTTTTTTCTGTATTAAGTTTTAGGTAAAATAAATAAATAATTAATTTTTTAATTAAACCATCTGACAATTTAACAAAATTTTATGTTTTCATAATATTTTAGTTTTGAAGTGCCAATTTATATAAAAAATTACAAAAAACCGTAAAAATTAATATAAATAATACAAAAATGAATCAAGATATACATTTTTCACTTACCACAGTAACTCCTAAATGCCTTAAAGCCATTCTCAAAGCTGACCTGAGACATGTTGGAGCCGTCCACCATATTTTAGGTGGAGGAGTGGCTTTGGTGTTAATATGCTTCAAAACCATGCCAACTTTTTGCCTGATGTTGGCCTGTTCGGCCACCCACTCTTCCATTCGGCATTGCTCAATGGTACCATTAAAAACAACAGCCAACTCTATGTTACCTCTTTCTATGGCACGGGTGAGTAAAGAGAGGAATTGCACCATGCGGTTCCATTGACCACCACAAGCCCAATCTTAAATAATGATTTAGGTTTGTGTTATTTTATTTTTTAATTTGGGTGTTTTTATTTCAATTTTTGATTTATTCAGTAAGATTATGGTGGCATCATTGGATATCAGACCCGAAAGATGGTAAAAGCATCATGTGTATTTTTTTGCATAAAGGTTTACAAGAAGTATTTTTTTACAATAAAAATGTTTAAATATTAATTATTCCACCCATAAAATAGTTAATTTCTTACCAGAAAAGTATCCTCCATATAGACGATCTAAACAATTTTCAGCATCAACAATAAGTTTAAGTTTGTTGCCAATAGGCCTGATTTTACGGTTAGTGTTATGTGGTTGTTGTCTTTGCGTAACATTTCTGGCGATTTTCAGGAGATCCACTGAAACTGCTCCCCTGTCAAGGCTGGAACTCTCCAAAAAAGTTTGTAAATCATTAACACCCATTTCGCTTAATTTAATTCCATCCAAATTCAAAATTATAATAGATTTTTATGCATATTCACACTGAAAGATATACAAAACGAATTGATTAGTTGAATTTACAAGCTTTTTTATTTGAACTTTGACAGACTTGGTTAAGTTGGTAACATCTGAAGTATTTTAAGTAGTAATATAAGTAATTGGTATTCTTGTTTGACAGTTTATTGACAATTTTAAATTAAAATGACAAAAACTACAGCAGAACATACAAACTTGTTATAATTGTACACAACTACTACAACATACTAAAAGATTTATAACAATTATAACATAACCACAATTTATTTTTCACTAGCCAATTACAGGTTAGTCAGATTTACATTAGCTAACCGAACCCCTAAATGTATGGCATTGTCAAAGAACAAATAAAAAAACAATTACAAAAACATTTTTGCATTATGAAACTAATCCGCCATAATGGCGACAAATTTCTTCGTGAAAATGCTCTTTTTAAAATCGTTACCACGCCAAATAGAAAGCTTGACCTAACGCAATTAACTTACAGACATAAAATCAACACTAAATAACATCATTTTTCAATAAAACCAAACACCTACGCAAACTTGTAAAGCAAATGTCAAGTGAATTCTTGGACGCCTTCCCAAAATGCCGGTAAATAAACTTTACATTGTTGACAATCAAAGATTTCACGACACGACTGAACATTGTCTGATATTAAATCATTACTCACGGTTTTGGGTATTCAAAAGGCCATTTTAACTTCCTAATTAATCCAAATTAATAAATTACATGTTTTTCTCCACTACATGAACGAAATGTTTACCGGAAGCTTCAACGCGCATGACGGAAATGTCACTTGTTTTCAACGTTGCCGCACCTACTATTTCTCCAATTTTGGGTACTAAATTTTTATCGATTATAAGTATTGTGTTATAAAAGTCTTATAATAATAAGGTATTTTAATCAATATTGACTTAATCTACTGCTTTTCATAAATAATCCATACAGAAAATCTGACACACCGCGAAACTGATATGACAACTTGTATTCAATGTTGCCAAACCTATCTAATATTCGCACTCATACTTGTTTTTATCGTCGTTTATGATGTGTTTGTCATTTTTTATGATGCAATAGTCAGCTGATACCAAGTAATTGTAAAATCCCGTAAACTCAAAAGATTGTAAGTTTATTCCACGATTTTGTTAGATTTTAAAGAGTTTTTAGTGTTTATAATTTACATTTCTTCATACAATCTGACAACTAAGCTTTGTTTTTGAAATTTCCGGTAAGAACTTTGATTTTCGGTAAGGAATTTTCTATCGGTTTTCAAATATTTATATAACCTTTATGATCTGTGATTTATATTGGTAATATATTCCAGGAATTATTTGCATAAACCAGTAAAAGTGGTTTAATTAACATTTATTAAACTGATAATTAATAATAATAATAATAATAATTGATAATTATTATTGTACTAATTCACGAATAAAAATTATATAAATATTTTTTGTTATTACTAGTACTAGTACCTACTACTAGAAGTAGTCACCACACTGTGAACGACACTTACGACAGTGAGTAGTAACAGGTCCATATTTAAAGCAAAACAACGTTTTTCCCACAGGTATTTATAAAAACTATTGGCTTAGCATAAGGCTTAAACTATTAACACATGTCTCATTCAAAATAAAATATGCAAATGGAAAAAATAACAAAAAACAACAAAAACACGTGTGCACTCACCAGAACAATAAATGAGCAGGAAACGTGGTAAATAAAATGTCGAGTTGAATTTTAACTGATACATGGGCTAAATTTTGCGGTGGTTATTTAATAAAGGGCGTGAGTAAATAAAATAAATTATTAATAAAGCGTGTCCTTGGATCTAATTTGTGGATAGAGACAAATGTTACATAATTTTGAGCGCGAAGTTTAAAAAGTATAGGTATTTATTGGAAGACTGTTTTTTGTACATCCAGACCTGTATTAGGATTTTTAAAGGCCCTTTTAGGATTAGAAAAGTGACTGAATATGTTAAAAATGTTTTTGTTTAAAATTTTTAACAGTTGATACGGTTTATCTTGTATTAACTCTTTGTTATTTAATCATTTATTTTGCAATTTTAATGGCAATAAAAACGTTATTGATTATTATTATTTATTTGCACAAATAACGACTAATTACCAATTTAAAGTGGGTACTCTTATCCATTGTAAATGCTATAAAGGCTGGAACAGGCCGAAAAATATAATTGTTTTTTTTAATTCAGCACAAATGGCAGGAGAAGAAGGATATTTACCATTACCAAAGGGGTTTTCAACCCATGCCATACATCATGACCAGGAACCAGAAAAATGGGATTCCATGGCTGTAGTCACCCCATTGGTAACATCTACCACATTTAAACAATATGGACCTGCAGATTTTAAGGTAAAAAATTTATATTTAAAAAAAAAGCAAAACAATTTTTTTTAGAAATATGAGTATGGTAGATCAGCAAACCCAACCAGAGAAGTATTAGAAAACCTGTTAGCAAAATTGGACAATGGTAAACATGGTCTATGTTTTGCGTCTGGATTGGGAGCCCAGTCGGCCATTTTGGGTTTGTTAAAATCCGGGGAAAACGTTATAAGTGGCGATGATATTTACGGGGGTACCAACCGTCTTTTTAGCAAGGTGGCAACGCGCTTCGGTATTGAAACCACTTTTGTGGACTTTTTGGACCTGTCCAATTTGGAGAAGGCTATCAAAAGCAATACAAAAGTAAAGATATATTTATTTATATATATAAAAAATACTAAAACAAAATTCTAATGGGTAGGTTTTGAGTTATCATGCATTTAGGCTTAAAAAACTTGGCAATGCTGCCAGAGAAGTTAAAATATTACATATAAAAATTGTTGACAGATGTATTTTCTAAAAGTGTGTAAAAACAAATCATAATAATTATTATTATGATGACAAAATTAACTAAAAAACCTGAATATAATACAAACACAAAAAAACTCCCTATATCTTAAATACAGGGAACTGTTTTGTAGTAAATAATTTTTTAGATGATATGGATTGAGACTCCTACCAATCCAACCTTAAAAGTTTTCGATATAAAGGCAGTTTCTGAGATAGCAAAAAAGCATAATATAATTTTGGCGGTTGATAATACATTTTTGACGTCATATCTCCAGCGCCCTCTGGATCTCGGTGCCGATATTACTGTATACTCTCTAACTAAGTATATGAATGGCCACTCTGATGTTATAATGGGGGCCCTCACCACGAATAATACGAAATTGTGGGAGGAATTAAAATTTTTACAAAATTGTAATTATTTTAATATTTATTTGGAAAATTTGGTATTAAAAAGACGTGTTTTAGCTATGGGTATAATACCCTCACCGTTTGACTGCTACCAAGTCATCAGGAGTTTAAAAACATTGAGTTTAAGGATGCAACAACATGGTAAAAACTCATTAGCTGTCGCCAAATACCTTGAAGCCCACCCCAAAATTGAAAAAGTTTTGCACCCAGGTCTTCCAACCCACCCACAACATGAGTTGAGCAAAAAACAGACGAGCGGCTATTGTGGAATGGTGACTTTATACCTGAAAGGCAACCTTGATCACTCCAAAAAGTTTCTACAATCCCTGAAAGTGTTCACTTTGGCTGAAAGCTTGGGAGGCTATGAGAGCCTGGCAGAGCTACCGTAAGTCCGGCAACACCGCCGCTATAACACAGCCGTGGACATGTTTTGCACTTGTTTGTTTTTTAGTTGTGTGATGACGCACGCTTCTGTGCCTGAAGAGCAAAGAAAAATTTTGAACATCTCGGACACTCTGGTGAGATTATCCGTTGGTTTGGAGGACATTGAGGACACCATTGGTGATTTGGAACAAGCTTTAAAACAAATCTAATCGCATTTATTTAAAAATAAAATAACCCATCTTTGTTTTCCTATGTATAAATAAATATTATTATAAAAAATTTTGTTATTTTTAATTTTAATAAATTTAAAATTTTTTGGAGTTTTTGAGTAATTTGTGGGGAGAAGAATTGTTTGTAAATCCAGGACTGTATTGGTATTTTTAAAGGCCCTTTTAAGAATTATAATAGCCACAAAAATGTTAGATATCGATGGTTTAATGTAAAATCACTTATTTCCACTTTTTTAAAACACATATTTTAACCTGTTTTGCTATACATCAATAAACGGTGCTGTTTGGTGGGTAAATTGAATACAGTTGGATATAAAATACAAAACCACGTTTCATCAACAAAATATGGCTGCGGACGAATAAAATTTGTATAGTTGGGGTTTTGGAATTACATTGACACTAACATTGCTACTATTGATTTTGTATGATTTGGCAGTATTAATAATTAATACTGCTAAATCATAAAAATCAATAATAATTATTATTTAGTACTCGATTTCAATTGATTATTCTTTATATCATTGATTAAGAAACTCAACGCTTAAATGCTTATATAGTTACGTTAGTGTGTATTTTATCTAAGGGATCATGGTGAATTATTGTGATTTTAATTGTAAATAAAATTCAAGAACTAAATCGTTGCATTTTTATGTTTTTCCAAAGGATCCAATAAGTAAATTTGTTGGTGCAGAATTTATTAATGATAACTTTACCTAATATAATTTATATTTAAGTTTGGACATTTTTAAGAAATTAGTAAAAAATAATTTTTGCACAAACATAACCTTAAAATCAACCATTTTTATATTTGAGTTCTCTAAAAAACGCCGACAACTGTACAAAAACACTCGTTTGTAAGTTCTACTTTTGTTACGATGATAACAGCCGAGTGGTGGCGCTACTAGCGATACTTCTTAAGCGTATTAGATGACAGTTAGCAATATTTTCTTAAAACTAATTTAATTCAGCGATATGTTCGTTTTAATTGTAATTAACAGTTGATAAGGTTAATCCGGTAATAACAAAACAAATTATTTTTTCCCAAAAACAAAGTATTTATAGTGTTGTTTTGCCATTATTGATAATTTTAATTTAAATTTCTTTGCGCAAATAACAATAAATTAGATACTAAATTAAAGCTTTCCTATAAAGGCTTGAATAGGCGGAAAGAGGCTATTGTTATTTTAAATTAGCACAAATGGCAGGTCAAGAAGGATATTTACCCTTACCAAAGGGTTTTTCAACCCACGCCATACATCATGACCAGGAACCAGAAAAATGGGATTCCATGGCTGTAGTTACTCCATTGGTAACATCTACTACATTTAAACAATATGGACCTGCAGATTTTAAGGTAAAAAAGTTATATGTAAAAAATGTAAAACAAACCTTGTTTTTTAGAAATATAATTATGGTAGATCTGCAAACCCAACCAGAGACCTATTAGAAAACCTGTTAGCAAAATTGGACAATGGTAAACATGGTCTATGTTTTTCGTCTGGATTGGGAGTCCAGTCGGCCATTTTGGGTTTATTAAAATCCGGGGAAAACGTTATAAGTGGCGATGATCTTTACTGGGGTACCAACTGTCTTTTTAGCAAGGTGGCAACGCGGTTTGGTATTGAAACCACTTTTGTGGACTTTTTGGATCTGTCCAATTTGGAGAATGCTATCAAAAGCAATACAAAAGTAAAAATATATTTATATACAGGGTGTCCAGTAAAAGGAGGTCAATCCATTAACCATATATTCCTTGAGTTAAAACAATAAGACTTCCATAATACCATTTTTCAATTTAGAGCTTCATGTCCGATATACAGGGCGACAAAGTTTGAAATTTAAAACTTATTTTTTTTAATAATTCGAGTAATTGATAAGATATTAAGTTTAAATTCGGTACACTACTTCAACATAAATAGTTAAATTTTTTGAGACCAACAAAACAAAAAACAATTGTTAAATAATCAAAATAGGGGGGTCCATTACTCACTGATTCCCCCTATTTTTTAGTACGTGCGCCAATGACTTCCAAACGGTATTTTTTCAGGTAATCATTTATTGTTAAAAAAAATTTGTCTCTTATAAAATTTTGATAAAATGATTTGTTTTAGAGATAATTTGTAAAGTATGGGTCAGTCCATATCAAATCAACCAAAGGTTCTTCCCCCACCATCTCCGATTTTGATCATTTTTGGTAAATTTGTTTACCTCACTAAAAAACTCAAAAATCCCAAATATGAATTTTTTTCTATAGGTTGTTTTTGTTTTATTGATTTTTGAAAATCAAAAAATTCCGATAAATTTGGGTCTTGCAAGTACTTACAAAAATAGCGATATCTCGTAAACTATTAAAAGTAGAAAGGTGAGTGATGGCTTATTTTAAAGGCCTATTAGAGAACTTTTTTATGATATATCACATGACCTACATTTTTTCAAAAAAAATTAAATTTTGAAAATTTGATATGGACTGACCCATACTTTACAAATTATCTCTAAAACAAATCATTTTATCAAAATTTTATAAGAGACAAAACATTTTCAACAATAAATGATTACCTGAAAAAATTCTGTTTGGAAGTCATTGGCGCACGTACTAAAAAATAGGGGGAGTCAGTGAGTACTGGACCCCCCTATTTTGATTATTTGACAATTGTTTTTTGTTTTGTTGGTCTCAAAAAATGTAACTATTTATGTTGAAGTAGTGTACCGAATTTAAACTTAGTATCTTATCAATTACTCGAATTATTAAAAAAAAATCAGTTTTTAATTTAAAACTTTGTCGCCCTGTATATCGAACATGAAGGCCTAAATTGAAAAATGGTATTATGAAAGTCTTATTGTTTTAACTCAAGGAATATATGGTTAACGGATTGACCTCCTTTTCCCGGACACCCTGTATGTATAAAAAAAAATACTAAAACAAAATTCTAATGAGTAGGTTTTGAGGTATCATGCATTTAGGTTTAAAAACTTGGCAAGCTGCCAGAGAAGTTAAAATATTACATATAAAAATTGTTAAGAGATGTATTTTCTAAAAGTGTGTGACAACAAATCATAATAATTATTATTATGATGACAAAATTAACTAAAAAACCTGAATATAATACAAACACAAAAAAACTCCCTATACCTTAAATACAGGGAACTGTTTTATAGTAAACAATTTTTTAGATGATATGGATGGAGACTCCGACCAATCCAACATTAAAAGTCATCGATATAAAGGCAGTTTCTCGGATAGCAAAAAAGCATAATATAATTTTGGCGGTCGATAATACATTTTTGACGTCATATCTCCAGCGCCCTCTGGATTTCGGTGCCGATATTACTGTATACTCTCTAACTAAGTATATGAATGGCCACTCTGATGTTATAATGGGGGCCCTCACCACGAATAATACGAAACTGTGGGAGGAATTAAAATTTTTACAAAATTGTAATTATCAAAATATTTATTTGGAAGTTTTGGTATTAAAAAGACGTGTTTTAGCTATGGGTATAATACCCTCACCGTTTGACTGCTACCAAGTCATCAGAGGTTTAAAAACACTGAGTTTAAGGATGCAACAACACAGTAAAAACTCATTAGCTGTCGCCAAATATCTTGAAGCTCACCCCAAAATTGAAAAAGTTTTGCACCCAGGTCTTCCAACCCACCCACAACATGAGTTGAGCAAAACACAGACGAGCGGCCATTGTGGAATGCTGACTGTATACCTAAAAGGCAACCTTGATCACTCCAAACAGTTCCTCCACTCCCTGAAAATATTCGCTTTGGCTGAAAGTTTTGGAGGCTACGATAGCCTGGTTAAGCTGCCGTAAGTCTGGCAACACTGCCTCTATAATACAGTCGTGGATATATTTGTATCACTTTTTTATTTTTTCAGTTTTGTGATGATACCTGCGTCTGCGCCTGAAGACCAAAGAAAAACTTTCATCTCAGAAACTTTATTAAGATTATCCGTTGGTTTGGAGGACATTGAGGACATCATTGGTGATTTGGAACAAGCTTTAAAGCAAATCTAATCGAGTTTATTTAAAAATAAAATACGTACCTTAACTCAAAATTCTCTCTTTATTTTCTTATGTACAAATAAATTAATAAATTAATTATTATAAAAGAATAATTATTTTTAATTTTCAAACTTGTTTGTTATGTCGGATATTCCTTGTATAATACTGTCACAGGTCAGTTTGCTGAAATTGCCGCACTTTGCAAGATGCATTCTAACACTGTATATATACTAAAAGTAAAAAAACAAGGATATTTACTTTCTTTTTTATAGGGTGGTCCAGTTTATATCATCAGTATTTTAAAGTAGTTAAATATAGGTGACTTCGGCCCAGGAGAGACTAAGTATGCCTAGCGGATAATAATCTTCGCTTTGAAAAGAATTTATATAAAATAAATTAAAATTTTATGTGAACACGCGTGAATGTTGTCCAATCATTGGACTCCAATGGTGAATGGGTATTTTGTTAAAGCCACTGGACGTTAATACTTGTAGTGGCTTAATAATAATTATAATGTATATATTTTCCAGGACTATTAATAATCAGTAACTTGCAAATTGAAAGAAGAAAAAGTTTCGTAATTATTGTTGATCTTTTTTAAACCAAATGGAAGCTATTTTCAAAGAAAATTAACTACTAGATTTTTCACAAAAAGGTTGAACCTAACAGCAAATAATTTTTATTTTTTTATTTCCCCCTTATTTTTTAAAATTTCAAAAAATTTTGATCTGCTTAGCTGAAAATAATGTGCGATTTAATAATTGTAAAACCAAACCATTATTTTTGGCATTTTTATATAAAGTTCTTTTTTTTATCTGGACTGCGGCAACGTTGCAAATTTAGGGTTTTGGTTGGTAAATACAGTTGTCAAGTTGGTCGCATTGATTAAAACAAACTAAGCTAGTTATAAATCTAATTGTGGTTATGTATAAATTATTGTAGGTTACATTGTGCAGTTGTAAAGTTGAGTTGTCGAAATTCGTAGTTAAAAATGCAATTAATTTGGCTTTGGTGGTGCTTAGACGAGTAAAATCATATAAAAAAGTAGTTAAATATAGGTTGCTTTCCGTCCCAGAAGAGAAAGTATTCCTAGCAAATAATAATCTTCGCTTTGAAAAGAATTTATATAAAAGAAATTTAAATTTTTTGTGAGCGTAAATGTTGTCCAATGGTGAATAATGTGTGATATAATATTTATAAAACCAAATTCGTTACTTTTCTACTCCAAAAATGTCCATAAGGCGGTGTACTTTTTCTACCATTGTGGCATTTGGCATAATTTCATTAAAATGAAGTTTTGCCCTCAAAAGGGCTTTTACATTCGAATTCGTTGCTATTATTTTTGGCATAATTATCTTTTTATTTATAATTGACAAGAGAATTATCAATAATAAATATTATTGTCAATTTGACAGTGTCAAAGTATTTAATTAAATGCTTTAGCAGAAGTACAATTTTTAAATACTAAAAATACTAAGTCAAACTGGCATAAGCTACCAACTTAATAAAAAAACACGAGTACAAATAAAAAAAAATTAACTGTATATACACGGTGCTGTTCTGAGAGGTGATTTTTGGACTTTCTGTGAAACCTAATTTTTTTTTATATTCTTGTTAATTAGGTCATAACTAAAATTTTAAGAGCAAAATAAAAAAAATTTGACGGTTAATTTTGTTTTAATTGGATGTTTATTAAAAATATGTATGCACACTTTCAATTCTCCAATTAAAACTTGCGATTTTATTTAAATATTATCATAACTTTTTAAATCAGATTAAAGATTAGTTAATTTTCTAAAAAAAGGTCTATACATTTTTTATATCTTTTACTGTTTTGTTGTAATACACGTTTAAAGTTTTAATTTAAGGTTAAATGAGGCCTGTCAGAGCAAAGTCAACAATCTTCCGTCAGGCTAAAACTGAGTAAATTGAGATAATTGATTTTGGTATTTTAAATTCTAGATTTGTTATTTTTTTATATATTATATTGAAATATTGTTGTTCTAGTAGCCAACTACAAGGTCTCCAGGATGCATAGTATAGGTGAAATCTTTAATTATAAATTGTAGATTGCTTACTTTGATATGAATTGCTGGAGATTGCTAATTTTGTTGTAAACGTTTAAGGAGATTTAGAAAAATAAACAAAAAAATAATTGTATAATGGTTATAAAATTTAACTATACAATCAATGTGGGAAAATTCTGAAATGGACCAAATAAATCTGGAGTTTCTTCTAAATCTGGGACCAGGTTGCCTCGTGCAAAAAAGTTTTTATAGTACAACTCATCATCATTGCCCCGTAATATTTTACTTACATTGTTTTGACATTATCAGCCTTTTCTTGCTTTACCTTTACGTCTTATTATGGTATAATAGCACAAAATAAACAAGATAACTTTTTTTATAATTCTTAAAACAATAAAACGTATATATGCCTATTTTAAATATATTTTTAAGTGCAATTTACTGCAATAGAACTTAACAGTATGTACCAGTAAAAAAACATAAAATTAAATCTCTAAAATACGTTATAACATCAAATGTTAGGATATCAGGTGACACAAATTACTAATTTATAATGGTGGAATTGGAGGTTTTATACTATGCTGCAAATCTATCAGTGGAGATTGTCGACTTTGCACTAAATGTCATTTTTAAAATAGGATTTTAGGCATGATTTAGCTCCTTTTGCAGCACATAAACTTTATCATCTTATAGATAATTAGTTGAAGTACAGTCGCCGCCAAAAATCTAATTTTTGACCAAAAGTGGAGATTGTCGGTTTTGCTATGACAGGCCTCAAATGTATAGTATACATTTATTAAACAATAATTCTAAGGGTGCCACATTTTATTTAAGACCGATTTATTCATTTTTGATTTATTTGACGAATAATTTCTTTGGATACTAGATATTGCCAAGACATGAAAGTTATCGGCCCGATAAACTTTACTAAAGATGAATAAACCGGTCCTTAGTTAAATTTCATGAATTTCTAACTTTCTAACTTTTACTTTCTACTACAATTTTTCATTTTTGTTTATAAAAAACACTTTAAAAAACTAAACAAAAATTATAGAATACGTATACTGAAAATGACAATTCAAACGTTAAATAAATTTTCAATAGATCTAAGTTTCATGGCAACCTTTAAGGATATATTAATTAAGGGAACATAAATATATACGTCAAAGGTTAGATTAAAAGTTTGAACGTTTATTGCAACAAAACAGTAAAATATATAAAAAAATTGTAAAAACCTTTTTTTTAGTTATGCAAATATTAAATTTTTGTATTAAATCGCTATAGTTTTAATTGGATAATTGAAATAGTGCATAATATTTTTAATAAACAGCCAATTAAAACAATTCAAATCGTCAAATTTTTTTTATTTTGCTCTTAAAATTTTTTTTATGAGCTAATTAACAAGAATATAAAAAAAAATTAGGTTTCACAGAAAGTCCAAAAATCACCTCTCAGAACAGCACCGTGTATACTGTAATATTATTTTTCAATAAATTATCCGATGGTATAATATGTAATATTATTTTTCAATAAATTATCTGCTGATATAAACTGGACCACCTTAAAAACTAATAATTTGACAAAACTCACCTTATCCAAAAACGTTATAGAAACATCCTGAAAATAGGGTTTGTTCATCCTAACCCTACTTTCGATGGGGGCATCCTTAACCCCAAACATAACCCTTTGTACTTCTTTCAGAAAATCCTTGACCACAAAATCCTCGGACATGATCCCCACGTGAAACTTGTAAGGCACAAACTGATCCTCGAAGTTTAACTTTTTATCCACGATCATGCATCGATACGGCGAGGCAATCAGGGCGCCGTTGAGGCTGAAAGGGGACAGGATGACCCCTATGCAGGGCTTCCTGGCCCCTATCCACCGCTGGACCGCCTGCTGCGTTTCCAAGTCCTGCTGCGAAGGTTCAGGCGCGAAGGTGGGGTGCGAGTGGAACCAGCCGAGGATGTCCAAACCTTTCGCGTGTATTATTTCCGAGGCTTTCGCCTGCGATATGGGGCACATGTCGCAGTGAGTGGACGAGGACGCCATGTTTTTGCACGTCTCGTAGTGGGTTATGGTGAGGGTTTTGTTGTGGGGGTTCCAGTAGCCCGCTACCAGCCCCATGACCTCGGATAAGTTTGTGTGGGCGTGCAAGTCCATTTTAAGCAGGGCTGATAAGTGAATGTTGACTGTGTATTCTTGCTGTAAATCACATTATAACTTTATCATTTTTTAATGCCACTTAAATAGTAAAAATCGACAAAAATAGAAGAAAATAACCAAAAAATCTAAAATTAACTAAAATCTACAACCCAACTTGTTTCAAGAGTCAAAATTAGAACTTTACTGCCGATTTAATACGAGTATTGTATGCAACCCATTATACATTTTAAGATGTGTCTACTGCTCCTCAGCAGCAACTAAATAATATTTAAAAAAGAACCGTCGCGGAGGTCGATTGAACCCTTTCATAAAATGTTGTTTAATAAAAATAATAGGTTAATTTTATTAATTGGCGGGCAAACACTTTATATGACATTTGATTTGATCATCAAATGACATTTGATTTAATCATCAATATTAATTATTTATGGCACGCCGTTTTACTGTTTAATGTCATGTTTATTAAAGCTAAATATTAATTCAAGTTGCGTTTGTATAATTTGACTGGACATTTTAAAGTAAAAATTTTATGATGTCTTGGTATATTAAGTACACAATTTTAAGCACAGAATTAGAATTAAAGTAATTTTAATTCTGGAACTAAAAAATTCGATGAATTAAAATTTGGGTTGGGAAAATTTTAATAAGGCGCTACTTGAGAAACACGCAGTCAAATTGAACCAAAATTTTAATTCATCGAATTTCTTAGCCAGTTAATTCAAGGTGCGCGACATTTATTTAAGAAAAAGTAATACTGAAATTATCATTATGTCGCAATTATTTTCTATTATTATAAATTTACCTGTTAGAAATTAAAGTGATAAAGTTTCTTATTCACAAATATTTGGCACGAAATATTTCTTTTAATATTTAAATGTTTTTAATATTACTGAAAATTTTATTTGACTAAACACTTTGAAACAATTTTTATACGGGAATAAAGTAGTGATGCAACGGTTTCGGGTTTTACGGTTACGGTTACGGTTAGCTATACGGTTACGAATAAATTCACGGTTATTCAAAAAAAAATTACAGAATTACGAAAAATAAAGTTTTGAAATTAATACACACGTTCAGTAAAGGTTAAATAATAATTTATGTAAAACAAAAACAGAATTTCTAATAAAACTGTAAAACAATAGGAAATGAGTTACATTTTAATCCTAAAAACAGTAAAGTAAAACCTAAGTAGGTACCTGAATAATATATTTAAAAATATAAAAAAATTAAATGTTAATATTCAAAATTTACGAGTCAAATTTTTATTTAAAAAACATAACATCTGCAAATTCTGCGGAATCAGCCTGTTCCTATTTGGTGTTTGCACAAGACCTGCAGTCGAAAACAACCTCTCCGAATTCACTGACAATGGTTTGTATAATACCTTAGTGCCAACACTCTTAAACGCCGAAACGTGCAACACGTTTTCCAGAATGTAAACGGATTTGACTTAGGTGGTATATTTGGTAACGTTAATTACTCTTCAATCTTCTTTTTACATGCATTCACAAAGTAGCATGAAAAACCGTAAATACGGTTACGGTTAACGACATACGGTTACGGTTAACCGTATAATATCGAAAACCGTGAATTAACCGTAACCGTAACCGTAACCGTTGCAACACTAGAATAAAGTTGTGGTATAGTTGTTATTAATTATTATGTTATTTAAATCTAGTAATACGAATTTTCATTTAAGCACCTTTCTGTCATACTTCTTTTAATCAGATTATTTTTTTAGATAATAAATTCAATGCTATCTGTATGTGACAAAATAATAATTCCTTAATTTTAATTTTTGGAATAAATATTATGTACCTCGAATTTTCTGACTGAAAAATTCGATGAATTAAAATGTTGGTTTATCACTCGTAAACAGAATTTTAATTCGGCGCTAGTGCATAGTGCGGTTGTGTTACGTACTACTGCCACCAAGCGAAATCACATAACGTCGAGCTCGAAAATAAATTAGGCAACGGTACATTTAAATTCAGTGCTGCAATTTTATTTACTTACCTGTTTTACCTACCTAATGTATTAATTAATTTATTGAAATAAAAATAAAGAAAATCCTTTTTACTAAAATATTGATTTTTATTGGCTAAAAGATAAAAAACGACTTTACTGCCTTGATACATAAATAACCATTATTTATGTATTAATTGTTTTGAAACGTAAATTTCTTAAATAGCTTTGTTTTTACCAAAAGTTTTATGACCCAGATAACATATGTTGTAAATAATTATTAATTTGTTTTTGTGTAATTACATATTATAATTTATTCACCACTTTTTCCGGTAGAAAAACAAGTTAATTTTTAAAAAATGTTGGTAAATTATTTTTTAAACTCGCAAAAGGGTGGGGGAGACTCTACAGGGTGCACCAAGTATCCTTCTATGTGTACATACGGACAGGGCCGGACTAAGGCAAAAGGCTGGGGCTTAAAAATGTATGGGCCCTCAAAGTTCTTTATTAAATGAAAAATGTAATGTTTACTACACTGCCCGTCAAAATTAACGCATAATAAGTAAAAAAATCTAACTCTAAAACGCCTTTACCAATCTTTTTGAAATTTTGTATAAAAATACTTCAACTTATATCTCAGTTTATGTGTTCGAGGGTTTTTCAAAAAAATATTTTTAAAGCCCTTTAATTAAATAATAAAAAAAAAGTTCTAAAAATAATTTTTAGAGATTTTTTTTAAGTAAATTAAAAATATGGTTTTAAAGACCGTATTTTTGTTAGTGTACCCTAAAAATGTTGTACAAATGTACACATCAAACGAACAGTAACAAAGATACAGTGCTTCAAAGTCGGTAAAAATGAGCCCTTTTTGATTATTTTGCTGAAAAGTTGTCATTTTTAACGACTTTGAAGCGCTGTATTTTCGTTACTTTTTGTTTGATTTGTACAACATTTTCAGGGTTTACTAACAAAAATACGGTCTTTCACAGGATATTTTTTATTTACTTAAAAAAACTAAGAATATTTTCTCGAAAAACCCTTGAACAAGTAAACTGAGATATAAGTTAAAGTATTTTTATCCAAAATTTTATAAAGATTGGTAAAGGCGTTTTAGAGTTGGATTTTTTTCCTCGTTATGCGTTAATTATGACGCGCAGTGTATTAATAATAATAATAGATCTTTATTTTAAATTTGGTAAATAATGGAAAAGCCGCGGCTTTAGTCTATAGGGTGACTTTCAAAAAGGTAAAAAAATAAATCTTTTTTTGATAGTACTGATCGACTACTGACGCCTACAGAACAGTTTATATTTTGGGATGTTTTTTGACAAAAAATATTCTAACTGTTTTGTTTTATTTTATCTAGAACACCTGTATACTGTGTATTATTAATCTGACTTTTAAATACCAAGTGTTGGGGGCCCCTTTGAATGGTTCTAGCTTCCAACGACCCCCTTAATTCAGGACTGCATTTGTTTTACTTTTAAGAGCAAGATCAGTTATATCAGAGAAAAGTTGCTTAATTCAAAAATGTCCATGTTCCAAAAAAAATATATAAATATATCTTCATAAAATGACCAGAATAATAAAAAAAAAAATAAAAATCGCGTTTATTGTTTTTTTAATTTTTTTACCACATATTTTTAAGAGTTAAATGTCCTAGAAAATGTACAAATACTGTTTTTTTCACCCAGTAGAAACCCTCTTATAACGAAAAAATTTAAGTAGTGTTTTTTTATTTTAATTTTCACAAATTCTTGCTTTAAGGCAATTTCTAGAAATCTTAATTGATAAAAATAAATGATCTACAGTGTTAAGTAACAAAAATATTTTTTTTCTGCTTGTTTGCAAACTCCTAAAACACCTAAAACTTTTTGAAAATCTCTAAAAGTTTATGATAAAATTACACTTTTCTTCAATATGGAACTTTTTTCAGAGTAAGGGAATTTTTGTTTTTAATTTCCGAGAAAAATGTATTTTTTATTTTTTTTTATTTACTTTTTTTAACACCACAAACTTTTTGAAAATCTCCAACTGTTCCTGAGAAAATAAAAATTTTCTTCCTTAATCTGGGGACACTGTACCTATATTAGGTTTGTTCATACAAAAGTCTAAAACGCATGCGCAATAGGACTTTGGGGTTTTGTAGGAGAAAACCCAAAAGTATTTGATAAATACAAATGTTTCACTGTATACTAAGTTAAAATAGTACTTACCGGTTTTTCGTCATTAAAAGGTCTACAGTAGATCAACCTAACCATAGGTTTTTTGATGTACAACCTTTGCTTCACCACAGGCTCCTCATTTACGATTGTGGTGTTAATAATTTCGCCATTTTCGTCGTGCGTTAAAGTACACCCACCCTCTCCATCCTAGTGACAAAAAACAAATAAAGAAAATATATAAATTTTTTTAATTGTAAAAACTTTACATTAGCAAACTTCTTTTTCATCCTGGGCCTACTACCCAGCTCCCCAGTGTTTCTAGAAACCTGTTTTGGACAATCCTTTGTAATTTTTTGTCTTAGAGGGACTGATGTTTGCATTAAATCATAGAGGGGCCTTGAGTAACACATTTGGCCTTAAAATGATCAAAATATAATGTAACAAAGCATCAAGTCAAATAAATCAACCATTACAGGTTAAATACATTTATAACTTACTGCATCCAAAATTAATAGCCCCAATCTGCTCCAAGAAGTAATGAATCCTCCCTATAATGTTAACATCACCACAAGATTTTAAACCAGCTCTTACTAACGTTTTTGTTACATAAGTCGGCTTATTTGTCCTCCAAGCATTCAATATATGGTTCCTTATCTAAACAAATAAATTTTCAGTAATTAGGTAGGTATATCTGTATAAATTAAAGTATTATTACTTTAAGGTATCGTTCTGGTGTTTTTGACCCTCTGCCTTCAAAAAACTCTGATACAACAGCCTTTTCCAGCTCTATTATAACATTATCATTCAATAAAAACTCCTCTGTTGGCTCTTCAAGACTCATCAATTGTTTTACCGTTTTATCATTGTAAACAGATAAATCAACAAATTGGTTGTTGTGCAGAGAATTTGGAGATTCTTTATCACATTCTTCTATTATTGATTCTTTTTTAATGTTTTGATCGGTTGTTTCAGGTTTCATTGGTTCTTTGATCTCCACTTTTTTGGTTAGTTTTGGTTTTAATTCGTAATTATCGTCATTGTCTTCTATGTCTATGTCAACATCTTCATCGGATTCATTTTCTACCTTTTTAAGTTTAATCTTCAAGAAAAAAAGAACATTTTGTCAATTCGTCAATTTTTGTTGTTAAATGTCACATTTTAATTTGTCAAATGTCATATTTGAATTGTAAACTGTCATATTTAAATTTTCAAATATAAAAATTTTGGGAAAAACCTTAATAGAAAAAAACATGATAATTAATAGTGATATTTGCAACTAGTTTTATAAACGTTATTTATTACATGGACGAACGGAACGAATTTTATCTAAAATCTGTCAGGCAGTTTTAACCTCACTTTTTACCAATCTGACATCTGTCAGACGGGTTTAACCTTACTTTTTTCCAACCTGACATCTGTCAAAAGATTTTAACCACTAGTGCATTAAATTAACACATGCAGTTTATTAAATGTAAAAGTAGATAATTTACTTACAATTTCCTCTCCTTCACATATTGGCACAGATAACCCAACTCCAGTGGTTATTTCAACTTTGGTAATTTCAGTTTTTTTACTGCATTCGTTCATGAATTTTACAGTTTTTTGCCTAACTTGTTCTCTAACCTTTTTAACTTTTTCCTTTGGAAATAATGGAATTTTTAATTTTGTTTTGAATTTGAATTTAACAGATTTTTTCCCTTTGTTTTTCTGTTTCATCTTGGATAAATCACTCTTTTTGAGTTTGTTTTCTTTAGAGTAATTTGACTTTAATACAGAATGCCCACTGGGTATTTCATTTATATCCATATTATAACTGTCATTAGTAAAAGAATTGCTTTTTTTCCTTACTTTTTTACCTGATAATGGAACCGTAGATTTTGCTGTACTTACAGCTGCAATAACTTCTTCAATACTAGCCGGTATTTGTGTATCATCCAAAACATCCGAAACTAAATTATTATCCTCTACCAAACACTCACTATAAGTCCTATATGACCCCTGATTCTCAGTATAAAAATTCTTTAGGTAATACTTCACTTCCGAAGCTGTCTTAGAGCCTATGAACTGTGATAAACGAACGTTGCTTTTACCGAATATTTCTATGCCTCTTTCGAGGAGATTTTTCTCCTTTTCAGTCCACCCACTCTCGTCTGTTATGCAGTTTTCCGTTGAAACGTGCCCCAAGGATTCGCTTTCATTATTCTCCTGTATTTCTGAACCAGTTTGATACCAATTATCGGGATTTGCGCTTGGTTTGTCCAACAACCATTGTGGGTGGATTGTGTAGTCGCAATTCAATAATTCTGCGTTTTCCGATACCAACGTCCTAAAATATATATTTTACGTTATTTTAAGAATGTAAAAATTTTAAAATGTACGCACAAACACGAATCATTCAAACTAAAATCGCCTAAAACGTCAATTTCATCCTCCTCAGCCATCTTTATTGTTTATAGGCAAACGTCAAAATAAAAGGTTAAGTGGCTATATTCACACCAAAATCAACTTGATTAATCAACAAATTTAAAAACAAAAACAAGTTCTGCTTTAAGTTGATCAAGTTACAATAAAAAATTAACAACAATTCAACGCAAAAGATCAAATTAATGCCGTTTTAATAAAACAAAGATAGCTGTGTAAAGTATACCAATACAAAAAACAAAGACAATAAATATATCCTTGCTTGTTATTGGTCAAATAAGATTTTTTCTCTCTTTCTTATAAAGTTTTCTGTTGGCAGTACTGTTTAATAATGCTTAAATGTCAAAACCGTCAAAAGTTGAATTTTCAAAACAAAATACAAAGAAATATATGCGTAAATTCAAAAAGTTTTTGATAAATAATGGAGTCAGAGGACCCATTGAGAAATCCTAACAACACTTTAGAGGATGTTGCCTCTGAATTAAGTCAGAGAGTGCAATTTTACCAGGAAGAAAGTGAGATTGTTGTTTAAATATTTTGGTTATATTTTTATTGTAATTTGTGTTGTAGATGCCCGTATGGAGAGCTTGTTCTCAAAATTATTATTATTAAATGATAATTTGGAGTTTGATTGCTCGATAGAAAGAACAGCTAAAGACTTAGCAAAAATTGCTATAAATAATGATACAACCTCGATTAACCCGACTGTAATTTTACTTTCACAGGCTGATAAGTTAAGAAAACGTAGCAAATATTGTTCCAAGTTGAAAATGTGTAATAAATTGTATGTGAATTTGAATGTTAAGCTGACAGAACAGATTAACTATCTTAAAAATGAGTGTTCAGAATCAAAAGAGAAAGTGAATAGTATTTTAAGTTTGTCGAATAATGAATTGTTAAAGTTGAGGGAGAAAACCAAGAAATATGAACATGAGCTACACAAAATGGACGTAAGTTTTCCTTTAACCAAAATTTAGCCTCAAATTGATATTTATTTTGTAGAAAAACTGTCCATGGTTGAAAAATCCTGAATTTGATTTACTGGCGATTTCAAAAGACATGGACACTTTGACAAATCTTAGGTTGAAAAAAGATGAATTATTAAAGGAACTGGAAGTGTACCAAGGCCTTAAACCCGATCTAAAAGTTGCCATTAACCAGCTTGAGCAAGTTAGGCTGGAAAATGTAGAATTAACTAACAAATTATTTAATTATCACAAATAATTTATGTATTTATGTATAAAATTTATTATTATAATAGTATGGTGTTTTTTTGCATTTAATTAACTTTCAATAGTGCATTGTATCTATATGTACATACAGGGTGTTATGTAATTAATGTTATATATTAAAATGGGTTGTTCCTTACAGTGGCGGCTGGTGGATTTTAAGTATACCAATATCTCAGTTATTAGACATGGGACCCACACCAAATTTATAATAGTTTATATTGACATTAAATAAACAAGTTCGGCGCAAACAGAATTTAAATTGAAGTTTGCGAAAAAAAGTTAGTTTTTACTGTCGCCTACCCTGCCTCCAGGCCCCCCTATTTGAGATAATTCAATTTAAAGTGGTGCAATTTATTATCCGCTATAATTTATCGACAAATTTAAAATTTTATTTAAAAAATCCAAATATTACAGTTTTTATACCATTTTAAATATTTTTTTATTTTAATAAAATAAATAATAAAAATTTAAAATCGAATAAAATCTGTAATATTTGGATTTTTTTAATAAAATTTTAAATTTGTCGATAAATTATAGTAGATAATAAATTGCACCACTTTAATTTGAATTATCTCAAATAGGGGGGCCTGGAGGCAGGGTAGGCGACAGGAAAAACTAACTTTTTTTCGCAAACTTCAATTTAAATTCTGTTTGCGCCGAACTTGTTTATTTAATGTCAATATAAACTATTATAAATTTGGTGTGGGTCCCATGTCTAATAACTGAGATATTGGTATACTTAAAATCCACCAGCCGCCACTGGTTCCTTAGGGTCCATAAAGAAGCACCTGAAACTTTTTTTTTTCTAAATTCCAAAGTCTAAAAATAATTTATAATAACCTTTATCCTACCAAAAAGTACGCCACTGATCGACTAGGAACTTTAGGTTAATCTGGTGGATTTATTATGTTATGGTTGGTAGAGATGGCAAAAAAAAAAATATATTCGATTAATCGATCAATTGATTAATCGAATTAAAATAATAATGTTATAATTAAATCAGTACAAAAATATCGATTAATCGATTAATTAATCGTCCAGTAGCAAACAATTGCCAATTGCGTGACAACCAACAAAAATATTAGGTTCATTCCAACCAGCAGTAATATTACCGTAATATTATCGTCCGTAACAGCGTTAATGCGACTGCGCGAACAAAAATAGTAAAATTATTTTGAATAATGTATAAACTGGTTGGAACCTTTTTTGAACTGGTAGTACTCACAATCAGAAGAAAAAGAATATAACCCAAAACCCACAATTGTATTGTGCTAAAAGCTAAGTAAAGCGCATATAGGTATATCTATTTCAATAAAGTAATAAATATGGCAGGTTTTTTAAATAATTACTTGTATGATTCTTCGGATGACAAGGAATTTAGATTTTATTGGGGACATTGCTACTAGAAATAAATATAACCCAGGTTTGTTGAGTTTATAAATATATATATAAAAGTATATTTTAATAACATCACACATTGATAATAAATTCTTCCATTCCAGCTCACAAATGACAAAAATTAGATGTATTAACATTAAAAATTAATAAAATCACCTTGTATAGCAGTCATTTTTAAATAATATGTCCACTTTAACAGAAAACAAACTTACAATATTACAAACGTTAATAAATAAACAAAAAGATGAGGTTATGTGCCCCTTCTACGCATGCGTCTAATTTTATTATCAACAGTTCTTGCTCTCGAGCAAGAATCGTTTGAACCGTAATTTAACTGTTCGTAACTCTGGTTGGAACGACGAACTGACAGTAATTGCCAGTTCTAAACTAGTAATTTTAGTTGGTTGGAACGACATTTTACAAACGCGCATGTGTATCAGTAATATTACTGGAAATTACTGCTGGTTGGAATGAACCTATTAATATTAGCAGGACTTCGAGCGGGAACGAAAAACTTGCAAGATACCACCATCCGAAATTTCAACCGTCAAATGTTTGGATTAAAGATCATTATCTAAAGAAGAAGAAGAAGATAGCCAAAGACTACTCTTTGCTAGAGATGTAAAAGTAACGAAAAAACTAATACCCGCATGTATTCGTTACTTTGAATGTGACTATTCGTTATAAAGTATTCGTTACTCGTTACTTTCGTTACTATAATACTTATTATACATGCCGCTGCCTAAAGAAAACATAAATTTTGATTACATTTTATTAAATTGGAGGATGTAGGTATAATAACTATAAATAAAAACTTAAAAAAAAAAATTTATTGCAAAAATAAAAACAATATAATCAACACAAAATATTTTCTTTCGTAAGAAAAATTAACAAAAAAATAAGTAAGTTTCTAAACATAAAATAATAATAATGTATGTAAATAAAATATATTGCACATTTATTTGGAAAAAAATCTTTGATTTATTTGGAGAAACAAAATTTTTTCCATTCGCGCGGCATAGATCACCTAGTCTATGGATCAGCTGATATATTTGTCACAGAACATAAGATATTTGTGTATCATGCACAGCGTACGCACAGTGCTGTGAGCGTACGCAGTGTTGCCAGATTTCTTTTCAGCGCATGGCCGTACGTATCGTATCGAATCGAACGAACGCTGCAGAGTACGTAGATACCGGACGAAATTGTGAGTGGCGCAAGTAACGAAACGATGCGAGTAACGAGACGTATTTTAAAGTAACGAATCGGTATTTCGAACCTCATCCAGTACCCGTTACTTTGTACCGAATACATACGGTTCGTCACATCTCTACTCTTTGCATGTTTGCACCTTTATAATCTGTGAAATTCACAGTGTGAATAGTCGCACCAGAGACTCTGAGTCGCACGGTACCCAAATTTGGTTGTTTCATTTCTTGCGTCTGTCAATAGAAAAAAAATTAAAAATGACCGATTAATACCAAATTAGGTAATCGATTAATTATCAATTAATCGAAACCGAAAATATTTTATGATTAATCAATTGATTCCAGACAAATAATCGATTATTTGATTTATTCGATTAATCGTTGCCATCTCTAATGGTTGGTAACAGTGTTTCCAAAATCTCTCAAAAAAGTTGACAAACATTGTTTAAATTTAGCTTAATTACAAAAATGACAAAATTAACAATGCAAATTGTCAATTTGGCGTTTTTATTAATTGTTGGTTATTTCATTTTTGTACTGAAGGTAAATTCAAACAAAATCTGCCAACTTTTATGACAGAATCTAATGCATTTCTTTTAAATTTTAGGTTATGTTTTCAAATTGTAAATATCTTAACTAAGGGAAGTGCTTTTGGATTTATTTACACAATTAAAATGTTAAAAGTTTAACCTGTGAACTGGTCCCAATTTCATCTGAGTAAACAGAGAAAAAAACTGATGAAAAAATTAATTTTGTGGTTATGGATTTCAAATTTCAAAGGTACTAAATTTTCTAATCATTGCTTAAGCTAATAGCTGGATCAGTAAATAAATACAGAAGGGTATTAGAGCTTTAAGGGCATAAAACTTTTGAATTTATTGAGTTTTTATTTATTTTTTGCAAGAAAAATTTTTAGTAACTATTTTTTACATCTGGCAACGCATAGCTACTTTGTTGGTTGGTATCTATGTACTCACAAAATACAGGTGTGCAGAGATAAACAAGTGTGTAACCAGTGGCGTATCACAAAAATATAAAAAACTTCTAATGCATATTTTTTCTTTATCTTTGGAAAAATGTTTTTTTAAATATTTTTCCTTTATTCCTTATGTCAAAAGTTATTCAGTATTTTAATATATAACATTAATTACATAACACCCTGTATATATTCAGGGTCTCTTGTTTCAGAGATAGTGTTGCAATTTAAAAAAAAATACCTTTTTTTCTTATATCTAAAAAAACTCTATTCCAATTTTCCTAAAATTTAGTACAGTTCATTTTTTTTATGTGGACTCTGGTGTTAGGTTGGTGGCTTATGCCAGTTTGACTTGGTATTCTTAGTATATAAAAATGGTACTTCTGCTAAAGAATTTAATTAAATACTTTGAAACTGTCAAATTGACAATAATATTTATTATTGATAATTTACTTGTCAATTATAAATAAAAAGATAATTATGCCAAAAATAATAGCAACGAATTCGAATGTAAAAGCCATTTTGAGGGCAAAACTTCATTTTGATGAAATTATGCCAAATGCCACAATTGAAGAAATAGTACATCGCCTTATGGACATTTTGGGAGTAAAAAAGTAACGAATTTGGTTTTATAAATATTACATCACACATTATTCACCATTGGACAACATTTCCCTATTAAAAATGCCCTATAGAACCCATATTGATCCAGATAAGGAAACTAATATGGATTTATATGGTTCTATATGTCCTATATGGAACGACCTGGTTTACACTTTGGAATCTATATGGTTTAATATGGAATTTCATTTTAAAATGTACAACTTAGGGATTTTTATATGGATTTATCTGGTTTCTGTTTTATGTGTTTTTCCATATATTGCATATTAAACCATATATAATCTATAGATTCCCCTATATGGTTAAATATGGATCTATATGGTAATAATTTTTCTCGATTTTTATGTAAGAAAGTCATATTCTCGCACGCAAAATCGTTGAAGAATGAAGCTCATTCTTAAACGATTTTTGGTAACATTTAGTTTTTAAGTATTGGTACCCCCAAAATGTCAAACTGATTAATAACCTCAAATTCATTACTTTTATTGAAAATGAAGCCTTTATTATTGTTTTGTAATATTAAGTTTGCTCCAACAATGCATTTTAATGCAAAATTTTAAGTTTAATGTAAAAAAGTGCAGTTCAGGTTGTACTTGTGCAGGATAACAAATATTGTCATTTTGTGTTGCCAACTGCCATTTTGCGAGAAAAATCCCCTAACTAACAACGACCACAAAACAATTAAAAAAACCTAAATAAAAGTTAAAATCGAGAAAATAGTATAAATCACACATTGCAGAAGGCTATTCTGGCACTCATTCGTTCGTCCACTCGCTCCTTCGTCGCTCGAGGCCAAATTTCGAATTCGTGCGAGAATATGTGGCCTTCTG